ATAAATGTAAGTATGCAAAATAGAAAGTTGCAATATCAGGCAGAGTAGACTAGAGAACAGTCCACTAGGCCTATTGTGGCCCCGAACGCACTCTAAATCCATTTAGTCATTCATCATGGATTTTCCAACGGAGTCAAACGCCACCGTCGACTCCCGTCGACAACGGCACAAAATAAACAACTGAAATGACGTACTCCCAAAGCATTCAAGTTCGCTTAACCCACGGTCAGACATTTGCCCAGTGTCAAGAACCAAGACCTCCTCGTCAGACCGCACGCATGTCTGACGATCCTCAGTGACACCGGATCAAAAGGCCTGATCGTCAACCGATTTGATTTCAAGAACAACCCCGACAGACGCTCCGAGAAAGGTGGCCATTCTCTTTTGGCATTAGGTTTCCACACCTCCGTACATATAATAGGTACAGTATGGCACGCCAACATACATACATGTACTTAAGCTTTTCTGCAAGGATTCAACTTTCCGACCACCCATAACTTCGTTACTAATCAGATTTATTTTCAGGCCCTGCAAAACTTTTTGGAAATACCTAACAGTTCTTCGTAGATGACGAAAAGGTCAAATGATATATGTGTGCGGTAACGCCTGATACTGGCAGATCGACTAATGTTTCATATTAGCCGCACCCAAACGAACAAACGGACTGTGCTACTACCACTCTCTGCCAATTGCAGCGTTTGCACACCAATCTTGCATCCAGAAGCTCAGAAAGATGATTGCAATTTGCAACCTCGGCCATAACGGATCATGTGCAAGATACTGAGCGGCACGCCATTCAACCATTGCGCGAAAGCAAAAGATAAGGCACAAACGCCTTTCAGCAGATTAGGCAGGGCTTCCCACCCAAGCTCACACTCACAGACTGTGCTTTCGCTGAAGGATTGAGGAGGGCGAACCGCCTAGGGGTCCCTATCTAAGCGGGCCAGATCATACACTTGCCTAATGTTCCCCGAAGCTGCACAGCAAAACGAATTGCATCAGCATAATCCTCGAGCGCATGTGCATGACAACAAAAACCACCATTCCAACGGCTTGCAAAGCTCTTGAACGAATCTTGAACAATACCAAGGTGTTCCCAACATGGTCGGATGAAGTCCAAAGTCCAGGGAGCTGAAATAACCAAGAATGAGAACTCAGCCAACCTTGAAGAAAGCTCAGCACACCGGGTGATCAATCAGGAGTAAGACTGCCACAGGGGACGCCTCCTTGCCAAGAATCTCCTTCAGGCAGAAGGCATAGGCTGAGCGGAAATCCAAGGATTGATCCAAAAATCCTTTGGTGCCTTACATGAAAAGGTCACCCAAGCAGATCACGTGTACAATCATTCAACCCACAGACATCATCTGGCCTGTTGCAATCAAGAAACGATTTGTGGCAGTTTGCCACTCCTTGAAAAAGCGTGACTTACCAAGCAACCATTCCTTGAAATGTGCTTGGATGACGTTTGTCAGCTCCTTCTTTTTGTTCTCCTCCAGAACCGCCGTCTTCAGCGTCTGACGCAGCGTCTCCACCGTCTTCGTCTGCAGACCGGAAATAGTGTCAAAATTTGCAAATGAAATCTGTCGGGCCCGCATTGACACCCAAGTTTATGTTGACTGTGTGAAGTCTTGATAGGTACTGCTTCAAGTGCAAGCTTTACAGTTCGTTGTGTTCCTCCCATCGTTTGTTCCCCCCAGAAGTAACAGGCAAGAAGGGAGCAAAACACTGAAATCTTCTTTGCCGGAACCCAGAAGACAGTCTGAGCTTGTGTCAAAAGAGTTGATTGCTACTGAGCTCCAGCCCACAAAAAACCCGAGACGCAATCATACACGTCGGGTTGCGAAGTGCTTGCTGTCCCGAACCACAAAAGCACACAAACTCTTGAAGTCTCGTGTTTGAGGGTGCGAAAACTGAACCTTGCAATACCTTTTCTAACGAGGTGGATCTCAAAGCTCGGCTAGGGTCTCGCATTAGCTGCTGAATTTGAACGACGTGATAGTCCAGACACTCATCATTTAGGATGGCTCTTTGCTTTAAGTTCTCAGCACCGTCTATTCCAAGGCCTCAATAAAACGGCCCACACCAAAAGAACAAGTAATGCTCTGACAAATTTCTTCACCTTTTGCTGGAGCGCCTGGAGATACGCCTTTGGCAGCACAAACGGGTTGGCCCGTGTCGCCTGCTGCTGCTGTTCCGTGGGGGACGAGGGCGTCGCGGGAGTCCGGAACGGAACCTGAGGGAACGCCGACAGAGCCGGCGGTTTGCTTGAGAGGGACGTCCATGGTGCAACAGAATGGCGAAACGTTCGGTGAACGAACAGAACGTTGCGGTGGACAAACAAACCGCTGCGGAACAAATCTTAATTTGAAACAAGCCATGGACAACGGCAGAGAAAAGGAAATTGAAACGGGCAGTTAGATGTAGCACAGACGGCCAAGCTCTGGGCGCAGCAGAGGTGTGGTCAACTTCGAGCCCCAAACCACGGACATCGGGATATGGAGTGAGTCAATGGAGTTGAAAAGGAGTGAACACGGGCCAGCAAACCAGTCTAATCTGCAACACATTACCGTGATCCAAAGCGCTCGGCCGACAGCAGCAACTGCCGTCCCTTATTTCCCCATCTGCAACGGACATCGACGGCAGAGCATGTAACAAGGCAAGAACAAACGAGCATTTGCAGAACAAGTTACAGAGGCGCAGCAGGACCAGAGCGACAACCCACCACAAACGGTACAAACCGCTCTGGCGGCAGCAGCGCCGCCGTCTCCGACTCCCCGTCCGCGGCGCCAGCTGTCGGCAGGTTGGGGTCGTGTGGGTCCGTCTTGCCGAGCGTGATGGGCACGTTCCACATGTTGACCGAAGGGTCCACCCCCACTTCCGCCAGATGCGCGTCCAGGCGTGGGTAGAACGTGTTGTACGGCGCCACCTGGCAGTTAACGATTGCCGGTTATACATTTGAGCTCAGGGTTAAAGCTAGAGAGTGTCTTCGTTTGATTCTTCATTGAACCATGTAGTTGACAGGCCACGGTCTCCTGTTTCGGCGAGTGCTTGTTCAGCGGCGCAGGTGAGGTTATCCTTGAAGCGCCACCTGGCGAATGAGTGACGTCGGGTGGTTGCGTCGAAAGTTCAATATATTGAATCGGGCACCCAAATCCATGGTGTTTAGGGCCCTTATGCAACTCTGAAAGCCTCCGCTAAGTGCACGCCCGCATGCAGGTAGAGTGTGTTGTTACCTGGGTTTGCGGTGTACGCTTACGGTTTCTCGATATATTGATCACAAACCGGCTCATAAACACAAAGCAGACTACGCATCCAACTGCTTGCAGCAAGGGACGAACTCGCTGCGAGGTTGGGGAACTTCAACCAGGATCGATCGGAGCTGATAGAAACGAACAAACGAAAGGCGTGCATAGCCAAGGCTCGTGAAAAGTTCTTGTCCTTCAGAGTGTCATCCATTGCAGGATTAATTTTGAGACAAAAGCACTCTTCTAGGCCACACCTGTATCTTGTGGTTGTCCCCGAGCACGAGCGGGTTCTGGTTCGTCCCCAAGTAGAACACGCACTCGCGGCAGTTGGCGATCCGGATGCGCGCGCACGGCGCCAGCAGCTGGACCCGTTCACAGTGCTCCACCTTGACTGCCTGCAGGCCCGCATGGATGAGTGTGAAAAGGCGCTGAATTTGGTTTTAGGATCACTGTATGTGCGCAAACTTGTGCTTATGGCATCAGCACCTTTGAATGGCAGCAAGTTTTCCAGAATCGAGCAACGTTGTGCAGAGCACTAAGCAGCCGCTTTATTTATCGAAGTGGGTTTTGACACGGATCTTGAGCGAGCCACATCGCGTAGAATGAATGGAAGAGGTGAACTTGGAAAGCGGCAATCGAATGCATTTGCAACGCCAGAGGATCGGGTGCTCTGACGGATACCTATAGGTTGTAAGGAGCAGTGCCGATTCCACCAAAGTCACGACAACATTGGAAGAAGACTCACCTTCCCAGTAGCTCCGAGGACCACGATGCAGTCTGTGCACCCAAAGATGGAGGCATACCGCAGCGGGGCTAAGACATAAACAACTGCGTCGTGACAGTGTGATACCTGCAAGAAGCAGCGGATGGGTCACTCTTTCGTCTAGACCACATTTGAGTGAGACGCTCCGTTCTGTATCTCTGTTTGTTTGTAAGGGCTCTGACTGATGACAAACTTAAAAGGCGATTGCCTGAACGATAAGGACCAATTGATGAGGCACCCAGATTAGCGATACAAGCTTTGTATGAAATGCCCCTAGAGAACGACATTTCCTTTTCACGGCTTTCGTTCTTTCGAGTCTCAATCTCAAGTGTTGAATAACAAGAATCTGCGCTCCCCAACAAATTCACCTGTTCGACGTCAAATGTAGGAGCTCTATCATTCATTCGGACACTGAATATTGGCCTGTTTCCAGCATGACTCGGATCAGGCTTCCAGGATGTTTGCAAATGGTTCAGTTAGGCTGCATCTTATCCAAGAGGCACATTGCCAGCTTGAACGCTGGCCGGCCTGAAGCAAAACTTGTCGTTTCTCCCGTCCTTTCCTAGGCCGTGGAGACAACTCCACGTCTAAAACATCCCCTGCGGGCTGTACAGTGCAAGTTCGACCAAAGTATGTTTTGGATCGATCGTTGCCCCACAAACTGAATCTCTGAAAGCTTGGCTGCCTTCTTAGAAAGCCTTTGGCCCGCAGAAGACAACTCAAACATTAAGCTCACCCGAATGACCCCATTCTCGATGTTGCTCTCCCCCTTAAGCACCGACATCTTGGTCACTCCGTCCACGCTCGTTACGCCCTGGGGCTGCCAGTCCCTGGGCCACAGGCCCCCGTTTGAGAACGAGCTACTTCCGCTGCTGGAACTAGGACTACTCGGGGCGTCCGTCATCCCGACATCGCCCCCCTGGGGCCCATTCGTGCCTGCGGCCTCCTCCTTGTGCGAGGCGGTGTGAATGCTCTCTTTGAGGTATTGGAGGACTTTGGAGGCAGGAACGGGCGCGGCCGGCATGGCAGGGTCGGAGTTTGCAAAGAAGGGGGTGGAGTGGCAGAGGGGGGCCGCGCTGAGGTCAGCGGAGCGGAGCAACAGGCCGAGCTTGTCAAACTGGCTGGGGCCAATTGCCTGGAGAGGAGAGGTGGTCTCGTTGGTCAAATGGAAAACAAAAAGGAAAGGAAAAATAAAAGTTGATGATCAAGAGAGAGGGGGCGCGCATATGTAAGTGGGTGCATCACAGAGGGGTAGGACGACACTCCAATGACCTCAAGTATTGGCCTGTGTTTCTTAAGCATGGAAGCAGAGCGCAAGGAGAAGCATGAACTTGCTCTCTGCAATTCACAACGATTGCAGTGACACACAAATAGTTGCAATAATACAAGATGCAATTCACATGGTTACTGAACAGTCAACTTCTCTACTAACACTCTTCGATCACATGAAGTAATCAGAGAGCGTAGCTCTATCACAAGACTCCTTCGATGCTTCGATGAGCGGGTCAATTGTTTCAGCTTGACATCTCAAGAACCCGCATAAGCTTGACACCTCAAGAACTCTCAGAATGGGCACTACTGCATCTTCCCAGGTTTAACCTCTTTTCTGATCAGTGAATCCTTGTGCCCAACCGCAAACCTCAGCAAAGTGCCCCCGTGATCATTCAAAGGAACAGGCGTGTACGCTACTCTCTCAACCTCAATAAGTGGAGAAGCTTGGATGACAGGCCGGTTAGCAAACAAGAACACTACCACAGATTACGTGTTGTGGCGCCTGATTTCACCAGAAGCACATTCTTCCAAAACTGTGGCTAAGTGTTAGCTCAGTTTGCTGCTTCATCCTAACCTATCACAACTTTTAAAATGTTGAGCGCTTTGCCACCGTGAAGACTTACTTATGGAACAAGATAAGGGGAGTTAGAGGGGCACGTACTTTCCCCTCCTCGCTGTCGACCGCGAGCGTCTCCAGCATCCCCGGCAGGTGCTTCTGAACAAACTGCAGCTGGTGCTGCTCCTCCTCTGCGCCCCCCCAGGACGACTTATGCCGCAGCCCCGCTTTGTTCTGCACCGGCGGAGAACGCAAGCACTCAGACGTCCAACTTATGCTCTACTAAGTGCATGTTTCAGACACTCTCTGAACTCCGAATTAAAGGCCCACTTTGGTGAACACCAGTGTAAATGCAAGAAATCGTAGCTCCAATCCACCATCTGTCGATCGTTCCACGGACGACGAGAGACGCTCACAAATGTTCTCTCAGCTTTCAATTGGCGTCTGGTAACGCCACGGGAACTTTGGAGAGCTTGGAGGGTCAAGATCGACTTGGAACCCTAAGTAGCTGCTGACCTTGTCACAACTCAACAGGCTGTGTGTGACAATCGACGCCCTCTGTCCATTCTATCGAAGCTGAAGCTCAGTTGCCAAGAGCACAATTGATTGGAGAATTGGGACTTTGAACCAGCAACACACCGGTTCTAGTACATTTTCCCAGCTCCCTCAGTGAAGAGGCGCACATTCGCGGTTCACTTCAAGTTTTGCAAAGGAGCAATAAGAAGCAGACTTACCTGCAAGGGCGATGAAGGTGAGGAGGCCAGATTGTCAAAAGGGCTCGGTTGCGGCCAGACATCGGCGACCGATGCAGGGTCCCTGTGCGGCCTGAACGGCAGCCTCCTGTAGAGCTGGACGAATAGGAACAAAATCAAGACGTCCACGTCCGCCCCCACTGCGTCTACCTCCCCCACCGCAGCCGTAGCCAAGGGGTCGGCATCTGGGCCATCCTCTGGCAGGACACAGGCAAGCGTGTCGAGCAGTAGGTGTGCATGCGTGTGGGAGATGCTCAGCGTTTCTGCAATCGCAGAAGCGTCCACTCTAGCTGAGGTCCCCGCCTTTTCCTGCAGCCGCGCGCGCAGCTTCAGGAAGGCCGGCACACCATCGGCAAACTTGTGGTACAGGGACGAGAGGGGCAGCAGGCCAAATTCAAACGGCTCCCTGCGGACGTGCAGGCCCGGTGTGCTGGGGCCTGTGTGCGCCTCCGCCCCCGCCATGCTTCAATTCAAAATAATCCTTCGCCACAAATCGAACTTACGGATGGTATCAGCAGTAAGGGAGATGCTAATCTGAAATAGCTAGCGCATTTGGCAACATGCTGTTACCACTTTAGCGCTCAATTTTGTGCATTGCCATGCGCAGAGCTCCTCTCGGATTCCTCCCCTCACATTTTCATGTACAAAAGGCTTGTATGGAAGGCTGAGCAACCAAAGCATGAATTATGAGCCCTGTGTTCAGAAGATCATGGCGCTCTTCCCTTGCTATCATTCACCTCCAGACTGAGACACGTTTGTCAGCAGCTTTGCGACAACAGGAGCCTGGAGAGCCTGGGCGAGCCAGGGGAGTTTGGCATTGCCATTTTTTGCGAGGCTCAAATCCGCTCCCATGAGTACTTACATGACCATTGGGCTCAGATGCAGTGTCAAGATGATTGCCCCAAAATATACTCCCTCTTTATGACACCAGCTAATAAAAGAAGGTCAGAAGCTGGGCAACGCCACATTTGCGATTGAGGGCGCGCAACTCCATCTTTTTTCGGGGCGGAAAGGGCAGACGTCGACTTGCGACGGCGTCGACTTGAACAAGATGCCAGATGGACGAGGCCAAGCTTGGTCGTCAGTTCACAATTTGAACTTGAAGTCGAAGCATGCAACGAAGGGCGGAAGGAGGCGGTTCCTTTTCTGGGCAGAGAACGGTCCCTCTTGGTGTCCGTCGTTGTCATGGTTGCAATTGAGGGCACTGAGGAGGCACGAATAGCCGATTGCGTGTCCCTCTAAGGAAGTGTATGCTGTGCCTCATCTGAGGACTTTGGAAGGAACTAAGAAGCATAGAGCTTCGCTGTGCTTACACTAACAGCAGAGGCTCGTTGCTTACAAAGCAAAGGGTTTCGTCTCGTAGTGCTTGAAAGCACACCAATCGATCGGTTCTGAGGTGAGTTATGTCAACATTGCATTCCTTTGGGCTGAGGGGCGTCCCCAATGACCAATTGCAGATGGAATCGCTTGTGGTGGCACTCAGGGGCCGCTTTCTCAGCTTTGATTCGTGTCCCTCGACAATGGTCTTGGCTCAGACTTTGAACAGGAAGTCCTTTGCCGGTGTCAACAAGATGGTTTCCTTGGAAGGATAGCGATTCTTGAAGTGGAAGCTGCTTGGCCGGCTGGTCTTCATACAGTGGGATGCCATGGAGGCATACCTCCGTGTCCAACTCTGTTCCCAAGCATGTATAGGGCCAGTCTTACTAATAGTCCTGCCCCTATGACAAATATTGGGAGTTTAGTCGAGCCACAGCCGTTTACTCTTGGGCAAGGAGTGTCCTTTTAGAAGGGTCTCTATCAGGATTTGCGCAACTTGCAGTCATGCTTTGAAATGAAGTCGGCTGCCTTGCTTTCACTTGGCAATCACACCATCGGCTCTATTGATTGAGGTTTCCTTTCAGGGATCTTAATTTACGCTGTGGTGCTTCTTCTGGAAGGGTGCTTTCTTTCGACGTGTGGGGTGTTCCCTCACTTCCCTCATGAGAGTTTGGATCACTGGCCCAATCTAGACCTCTTGTGGTGGTTGCTGGATTCAGCATGTGATGGTTAAAAGAAAGCGCGGCGAGAGCATGCAAACTGTGGGTACTGAATCCAAGCAACGCGTGTGTGTGTACCCCAATGATATTACGAGAGAACGATCATTCTCAAAAGAACCCGTCAGGGCTTCTTTCTCTAGCTTTCTCTTCTTTGCATAGGCCCCTTGCGCTCCTCATAGCGGGCATGCCTTTTCTTATTCTGGCCCCCACGCCAGTGGCTTCTTCTATCTGAGCTCCAATCTGGCGCCCTTGCTGATTGCTGATTCCGGAATCTTGCACGGTGAGAATCTGGCCTCCAAAGAACTCGCAACCGGACTCTGAAGGTTTCAAAGTTGTTGTCGACGCCTGACCCAGCGTGACCTGTCCTTTCTGGTATTCAGGATCACCGCCGTATGCAATGAAGCTGGTGCGGCCGGGGCTGTACATCGGCAATGCTGCGGATGCGGCAGATGAAGAGACACTTCGCAAGGTGTCCATTACGCACATACTATGCCTGGCACCTACTCTTAGTCGAGGTGAGCCTCTTGGTGCTTGGTTGAAGAAGCTTTCCCCCCTGGTGCTTTTGGCTTGGATACTGACGGTTGAGTAAACATGTCAAACCGCGATCATACTTTGCATGGCAAAAACACTTGGCCGGGAACAGTTGCTTGGCTGGTCATGGAAACTTTTTCTCTTCGGGTTTTAAATCAGACAAGAGAGAGAAATGCTTCTCTTGGGCTAGCGAACTTGAGATTCCAAAACTTGGATCCATGCACGTTTGTGCGAAGTTGTTGCATGGACTCCTCGCTCACGCTCAATTAGTAACTCCAGTTGCTCGTCCTGCCGGGCGTATTCTGCTAATGTCCCATGCACTGTGTTGCAATCAAAGACCGGCCCTCCTCTACAGACCTAGCCGGATCCTCTTCTGCACGTTCACCGAAACTGAGGAGACATTCCTCTTCGGAAGGGACACCGTTCAAAACCCGGTTGTCCAAGCACTCGTTCAGGATACTCTGCTGAGGTGAATTGAGCATGTCGAACGTCTCATCTGCAACTTCATGCCCCTCTAAGACCACGAAGCCCAACACTCCCTCAACCACAGCAGAGCACAAACCAACACAATCTCTTGAACCACAGCAGATACTCAACTCATTCAAATCCATTCGCAGCGTCAAGCGCCCTCGCTGCGCTCTTTGGACCCCCCCGCAGCGGGCAATCCTCGCCCGCCGCGCCCCCTTTCAGACGACTGGAGCTGAGCGTCAAGGACGATGAGGATCAAAACCTGCTCGACCACCTGCCGGAGTGCATCGACTTCATTGAGGAGGGCCGCGCCAAAGGGGGGGTTTTGGTTCACTGTGTTGCAGGCATCTCTCGAAGGTAAGGTTGGGCATCAATCTCAGCCTCGGATCTCGCATCTAGATACTCGCAGCTACACGTTCCTCTGGATGCATGGGACTCAGGTCTATGTTAGCTATCTTACTTGATTGAATGAAACGGTCTGATTGGTTCTGTAGCAGATAGGCTCTTATCCTTCTCGGCTGACGCGAAACTGAGGAGGAGATCAGCTGGTAGATTCGAACGATGCACCGACTCTTCTAAATGTTGCCTTCCGAAGCATACTGAGCAAGCTTTATAGGAATGGGCTGCTCTCCTCGTCAGTCCTTAGAAGATCCATCTGCCGCTGCTGGGCCTTCGGTTTTGGTTTCGGTTGCGGCTTTCATTTTGCCTTCACGAAAGAGCGATTTGTCAAATTCAAGCAATGGAGTTCTTTCCGAGAGGGTGAATCTGTTCGATTGCCTCCTAAGTCGTGTACTTGGATCTGTTCCCAACAATCTGTAGGTACAATACTTGCGTTGCACTTCAGTTACGTTTCTGGCCGCTCTTGTTATGCAGTGGGTCTGTCGTGACGGCGTATCTGATGTACAAGGAGGGCCTTTCCGCCAAGGACGCATTGGCTTCTCTCCGGCAAGCTTCCCCGAGCGCCTGCCCGAATGACGGCTTTCTAGAGCAGGTACGACTTTGGTCTGTCCCACTCAGGGCGCGATCTGAATTGGAAGACTTTCATTGACAATCTGTGCTTTCATTGTGCCGCGTGTTGATCGTACGTAAACTTCAGATAGACCTTCATTATGTGAGATGACAGTATCGGAAGCTCAGCTGATGTCTGATGTACGGTTATGAAGTATGCTTTTCTAGGTCATATGAGATATGTCTGGTTTGCTTAGGGTTAGCGGATGGTATGCACCAGCCGAGGACAAGGGAATCAATTTGTAACGGACGGACAAAGTACTCTTTCAATGGCGAGAACAAACGTATGAACAAAGAAACAAGCAAACCGACGTTCTAAAGAAATTTGTCTCACGCGCAGCTGTCCATCTTTGAGAGCATGGGCAACCGCATCGACGAGCGCAACACAGCGTACAAGATGTTCCGCCTCACGAGCCTCGGGCGTGCGTGGCGCGGGGGCGAGCCCGTCTCGCCTAAGTTTGCGGATGATCCCAACATCGGGTCGCGTAGGTGAGATAGCGTCAGCTCGCCTCCTTTCTTTGCAGTGACCTTCACGGTGATGAGTAACCTCTTTCATGCAACAGCCGAGACTGGCCTTGCCTCCCTATCCCGGCGGTGATCCTTTCACAGAGTCCCCGTCTGGCAAACAACCTAGAGCGTTTTGGCTGCGCTTTTTGGACGGGTTCGTTTGATCCGATCTGACTCTGTATCGTCCTATGAAACGGAAACGCTGAATCCGGTCCAACTCTTAATTCGAATCACAGGGCACAAATGAGTTGGATACCACCACAGATGCACTCCCCTCGATTCGCGAACAGTCCCTTCAGTCTAGGCGCTTCACTGGTGCACCTATATTCACCTAGATTAACGAGTTGCTTCTCTCTGTCCCAACACTAGCCCGAAGGAAGGAACCTAAACTGGTTTGAAGAGAATGCCATTAACAAGCGCTGATGACGTGTCGCTGTTGCACTGCAGAAGCAGCGCCAACAACCTGTTGGAAGAGGGGGAGGACCAGCTGGGGGGATTGCCCGGGGACAAGAAGGTCGTCTGCTACCGCTGCAGGTGAGAGGGGGACTTTTTATGCGAAAACAAGTTGGCTGTCAGGTCTTTGAATCATGGGCCGACCGCATGGATTTTCATATGGTAGATTTCAAACGTGGTACAAGAGCTGCACGTGAGGAGGGGTTTCGAGATCGTCCTTTCATCTGTTCCAGAGCCCATGAACTTTCCAGAGACTCGAGAGTCAGAGGTGTTTGGTCGCGGTCGCAGATGTTGGCATCCGATTGTAGGGTTTCTTATCTGTCATCTAAGCTTTACAGCTCCTGTGTCCTGCATCCGAAGCTCCTGGCGTTCTTGCGTTGACGGTGGGGACGGAACCCTGTATGAATCAACTCTAATGCGAGCTGTGCTCTGTCGTCTTCTAGAAAGTGCCGACGAGCTGTAGCGGGGGTGGAGAACGTGCTGCCGCACGATAAAGGGGGGGGGCAGTCGGCGTTCGACTGGAAGAAACGATCGAAGGTGAGGCCGTCGAAGCTTATCGTCCTGTTGTGATCTTCTTTTGCCGCTCGGAGCAGTCTTTATTAACGGGTTTGGTGAAGCACGCTGATAGCGTGCAAGTACGTAAATGCCCTAGCGGGCGATGGCCAATTGTGCCATTCAACGTAGATGCGAAGCCGGCGAATCGTGTGCTTTTCGTCGGATCGAAAGCGCAACGGGCCCATCTTAGATTTTTGCTGCGCCTTAGTTCAGCCGTCGGTTGTCTTTCAAGCTGCCCGAGCGCCACGTGTCCATTCAGAGCGCACCACGTGTACAGCAAATCATTGGATTAGAGGATCTCATTCGTTGGCACGTTAGGTGGGTGGGACTGACCAGCTGCGTGACGTGTTCTTGAGCCTGATGACGTTTTCTTCCTGACATGCTTTTGGAGCCTGGGAAAGCGTTTTCATGACGTGTTGTTTCGCTCTCTTGTGGTGCAGAGTTTGGACAGCGGGGCCATCGACGATGAGTGCTCCTCGTACTTTGTAGAACCAATGCAGTGGATGAACAGCGGTGAGTGCGCCGCAAAAAGGTGTTTCAAGCAGCTAGAGAGACGGTACTTAATCTGGACGGTCTTGTGTATGAAGTGATTGCTATGGTCCTTCTTCTTTCCTCTTTCAAAGAGCGGTAAGCTGGAAAATGCAAACTTCCAGTAAAGTTTCTGGAGGATTATCCTCCTTCGATCTGACCCCATGATACACAAATCTAGTTTCCAGTCAAAGTGGGACCCTTTGATTTTAAGGGACGATTGTCAAGATAGGTGAGAATCGCTGTGCTTGAGGAGAATACGCAATCTTCCGTTTTTCTAGTCAGGGAAATGCGCGTTGATCATAGAAGGCTGTAGCACCTTAGGGTCAACAATCCAAACTTGCCGGAAAGTCTCCCATTTACGAGATTTTATCAGTTGTAAGAATCAGAGTCACACATCAATCGTACGTTGATGAAGTCGTAGTCCTTCATGCAAATTGCGTACTAGCCAACTGGACATTTGAGCTTTTACGGCAAGATTGTGTGACTCCCCAGTGACTACTAGCCGTCAGATTTCCGGATCATGGTTTAGGAGCGGCTGGTATTGGCGCTCTAGTGTCGATGCTTCAAGCTCATGTGGCAGTCACAGAGTCGCTAACAATAAGAGCCGGTTTTGCTGCAGTGCATGAGGGGGAACTGGAGGGCAAGATTCTCTGTTCGAAGTGCCAGTCGCGGCTGGGGTCGTTCAACTGGTCAGGTGAGTCGGCCATCATAACGTACGCCTTGCCTTCAAGAACCGCTCTTGCATCAAGGCAGTTTGGTGCAGTTGCTGATTTCTTTGATCTGCTTGGAGTGGAGCAAAATGTCGTTGGGATCGTTTAAGTAGGCGGGTGGTCAATCTGATCAACGGGCAGTTTCGGACGAACAGATAGGAATTTTCTTAGTTCTGGTCTACATGGTTTGGTCCGTCTTGTTTGCCCCTGATTTGTCGAACTTTTAGTGCTGCAAATGATGTTGTCAAATGCTTGAAGCAAGTCGGCTCACTTTGACCTATGCTGGTGTACTCAGATCCAGCGTTTTCCTATTGGACACCATTCTGAGCCCGTAATAAGGCTCCCTCGCTCTTCTTTCAGGAACACAGTGCAGTTGTGGAGCCTGGATTACCCCAGCCTTCCAGCTCAACAAGAGCAAGGTTGACGAGTCCTGGACTTGAGATAGATGGCGATAATCGGAAGCACCTCCTTTCTGGAGGAAGGTTAGCATAGATAGAAGAGCTAGTAGTAGGCAGCGGTGTTCACGCAATTTACAAGAATAATGAGTGACTGGCGCAAAATAACCTCGCTCGAACGGAAGGAGAGAATGTTGTTGGTGAAACGCGACGCAGACGCAGCTAAGCCTTGAAGTAGGTGCGGACTATGACCGGGGTCATCTGATCTGTCTTTAGGGATAGGTCAAACTTGTTTGCTTTGCTCGAGCAACTCTAGTTCCAACATGCTTGGTTATCAAAATGTGCGAGCTTAATCAGCTGCATATGCATCATTCTTGTTCTGCTCCTCTCTTCAGGTATGAAAAAGATCCTCAGCTCGGCTCAGAAGAAATGACGTGCTAGGTTGTGCAGTGGTTTCGTTGGTTTTAACCTTGCAGTGAGACGAAGGCTTTGCAGCTGCTGTTGCAACCCATTCTGCGTGTCACATGCCTAATCTTAAGCAAACCTCTGTCTGCGGTAGCTCTGCTGGGCAAAGCTTGTGGGAGTCACAGAACACGTTTCTCGGGACTTAGCCAAAGTAGAGCTTAGGTTTGCAAGTTAAACAAATAGCAGAAGGAAAGGACTCAAAACTAACTACAGTGTACGTAGTCAGTTAGCAGGACCTTTCATTGAATTGGATGCCGCTTTGAGGTAACATATTAGCGTCCATTTCTGCTTCTTGGCATGTGGATTATTCATGATTCTCATGGTATATGATAATCACCATGCCCTTCATCTGAGAGCTATTTCGTATTGAAGCATGGAAGACGGAACAAGCGTCTGACTTGTTCTTCAGACAGAATCATTCTTGCTATCTTGGGGACCGCAAGTGGTGGGAATGCTTCCGACTCTGCCATTCGTATTCAATGTCACGTCATCTTTGCATAGCTGCTTTGTATCGGAACTTGTGTCGGCAGACTCAGCATAGGAGTAATTTCCGATCATATGCATCCAGTGATCATGGCACGTTCATCGAATGATCATGGCAATGCATGCACGCGTGTATGGTGACTCAGTCACCATCATGCTGGCATGGGCCTAGGCGAGCCGCGCGCTTGCGTTAGTTGTCCATGTATTCATGAATAATCTCAGATCTGCATATGCATGGCCATGTGTCATGCACTGCATGATGGCCTGGCAACCAATGGTCCGTATGTCGCTTATATTGCAGCGCGGCCATATAGCCTCTTTTTAGTTGCACCTGAAGCGTCTTATTTAATTGACGTCCACTTTCCTATCAAAATGATCCAAGTAGAGTGGCCATATATATGCAACCGCACATGCAGGTGCGCGCCGGAGCCCGGCATTATCCATGCCTATGATCGCCATATGTGCAATAATGGCGGCATTAGTCTGACCTGAAGACATCCTTCAATCACGTGAACCGGCGGACGGTACTTTGGCAATCCGACATGGTGCAGCTGATTAATCTGCACAGATGCTTGCCTTCTATGCCGATGATGGAGAGCTTGGGGCACAAGAGTATCATCAGAAATTTGTTTGGCGCCACAATGAGTCGTATGCACAGGTCCACTGTGGTAGACGCGCGGCCGCAACAAGGACACGTGCATGTACGACTTTGAGCTCTGAGACTTCCAAGAGGGTGGTACACGACAAAAATGTTCGTGCCGTTGCTTCCCGATTGGTCGCCTGAATCTGTAAAAGATAATCACCCCCAGTCTGCCGTGAACGCTGAAGCTGGCCACCCACCTGGTGGGGGAGGTTGCAGCGAGGGTGGGAGATCCGATTGAGACCCGTGCCATACGTTCGTGGCATCAATCGGCGCCGCTGCAAGCAAGGCATCAGTTTAGTCAGTTCCAGAAAGGCCAGAGTAACGGTCAGGACCAGCTCTATGCACGGAACCAGCTTCATCTCAAGAGGTGCTGGGAAGCAGTTTGCTTGTTCATAGACAATCGAGAGCGCTTCCCTTATCTCGAATTGCCGAAACAAGTCAAACGAGCCCGTGTTCCAGACCTTACGAAGAGCGAGCAGTGAAGTCTTACCTTGAACCAGCTGCACTTCCTGCGGTTGTTGAGCAGGATGGTGATACTTGCAACGGTCCCCGTATGTGCAAAAGCCCTGCCCGAGAATTGGAAATGGGCTTGTGAGGTCCACGGATTGTTAAGGAAACAGACAAAACAAGCGGTTTCTTTGCTTCATACAACCAAAGGGGAGTGATACACATCCAAAGAGTATGGACTACATCTGATAAACAAGTCTGCACCAAGGTACCTGCCCAGCCTCTTGTTCATATTTGCTCGCAAACTTCGGTCGACTTGTACACCCAGAGTCCCAGACTGACAGATGTATCATGAACCTAGTTCGCTGAGGAGTAGGAAGGGCAGAGGAGGATAAGAACACAGCATACTTTCCTTATAACACTCATTCAGAAATGCGTACCTGTCTAACAAAGTTCCTGCAAACTTCTCGTGTTTCCACACCACCTGCAGACAATTTGTGAACCTGCTGAGTTTAAAATGGTCCAGGTTCTTTGACCACCATGGGAAGCTTGCAATTTGAACTACGACCCCCAGCTTCAGACTGCTCAAGGGCTTAATTAGTCTAGGTATGTGATGAGATTGCTTGTGGGTGAAAAGTTGTTTACTGTTGGGTTGCATATGGCAGCTCAGAATCATACTCAGCAAGGTCATAAACTGATCAAACTTTTTGACCGTACGTCAGCTTGGTTCTGGGGGTAAGAGCCACAGATCAGGAATGGGTTCATCTTCTTACTTTGGCTGCTTGCAATATGTAGATAGTTTTCCTGCATTTACATCAGCAGATAAAAGCAACGTGCTGAAGACAGCTTGAGTCCGCTTTTCAAGTTTCAACAAACCTTCAATGTTGTCAAACCATGCCTTCTTGTTCCGTCTATGATTGAATCCCTCCTGCAATCCCACATTGTCACAATTAGGCCTGCCCGCCTTGAACGTGGACCACGCAATCCACCTACAGACGAACATCAAGGAAACATTTAAAAAATCAACAGGGATCCGGAAGTACGGCGTGATGTTTTGAAATGCATTCTGATAGACTTAGCCAAGATCAGCAGCCTTCCTTTTGGGATGCACTCTCGTACCTGGTGCCGCTTCCTCTGCTCTCGAGAATCTCTGAAGGTCACATCACAATAATCACAATGATATTTCGGAACGGGCATGCTCGTCTGCTTGAATCCACTTCCAAATTGCAGTGTTCCTTCAAAAGGTGGGTGGTGCACGAGTGGTGCACCACAATTGTGGTGGCTGCCGAGGGTGGATTTGTCAACAGTGGTAGGGATCTAGTATTTCTCGCTCCCCAAAGGCGCCAAATTGCGCCAAATTCCAATTCCTCCAGCTTAAATCTCCCTGGGCCTCGGCCCTCACTTACTGTCAGGCTCTGCTGGGGCCCACGAAGCCCGTACGTTCAAGCTGAAAAGGGAAGGGGCAAAGCAAGGCCAAAACCCTAAAGAGCCGCAATTGCGTCAGGTACGACAAAACCCTAGGCGAAGCCGAAGTTTGCTGCCGTGTCTGCCACATCAGCTAGAAGCACAACTTAAAAGACTTTCACCTAATCGCAGAGAAGCAATCTGAGAACGTTCTGTAAGGTTTACAAGCCAGCCAATCAGAAGCTGCTTGTGACATGTTGACCTTCCAGCGAGGTGGTGCAATTAAGCCACAGCCGCCCATGCAGTTCCATGGACTATCCGCTTTGTTGCAATGGGCCCAAACCAGCTGGAGAAAAGGGAGGCAACAGAGGAGCTGAGATGTCCTGGTTTTCGTTTTGGTTTTGCCGCAATTGCGAACCCCTTGTAATTCCAAAAGCTGGTTCTTTTCTGAGCGAACCTCTTGGAGTTGGGATATGCTTTTGAAGATCATTCCTGACCAGCTTCTACGAGATTCTTCCAGTTGGTGGCAAGAATCAAAGAAAAGCTAGCAACTGACCTATGTACAGTCCTGCAGCATTCTGTGTTTAAGTGCGTTCTTACAATGGCTGAGATGGATGATGCCAAAAGTGGCCATGGCCGTTCGCTCTTCTGGTCAGCGCTAGCAATCCTAGCAGTGGCGCTGCTTGTGTTTCCTATGGTGCAACCAAACTTACCCGGTTTGGAAACCCTAATTGGGGGAGCCATCTCCCCTCAATTCGAGGAACCAATCCAAGAAAGCACGCCTGGGTTTTGCGCCTGTCAGGTGAGATCATCTCATTGATGGTGCTCAACCTTGGCCGTTGTTGTAAACTGCCTGAATCAATCATCTTCTGCACCATGTGCACAGTTTCATGAGCTTCTTTGATAAAACGTGGCGGGTATGGGAGAAAGGAACAGGCTAAGCTGGCGCTTGTTATGCACCCGGTTGCTCCCTAGTATTTCTGACGAAGAGGTGCTTGATTATAGGCGAGAGTTTTGCCAGGAAAGTTTTATGATAGAAGGGGAAGTTCTTATTGGGTGGTGCAGCTTTGAAAGTAGCGGAGTTGCACTTGTGCATCTGAGTCAAACGATGCACGTTGAAACCTCTTATCTTATTCAATTGCAGGCTACCACAGTTGGCGAGACAGTCAGTGACTGTTGCTGTGACTATCAGACAGTCAACTCACTCAACGGGGGTGTCCTACACCCCCTTCTGCATGTCCTGGTCAAGAAGCCTTCTTTCAGTTACTTCAAGGTAGGTCCGTGCACACTGTCATGGCGCCAAAGGAATAGGTTACATATCATGATGCAGTGAACAGGGAAAGAGTGCTCTACTTTGCAGTCAAAGCAGGCACCGGTTCTTTTTGGATTTTTTACAATCCAGGATTGATGGACTTTGAAAGTCGTATACTTACGGGAAGAGATTTGCAGACGCTTACAGAAGAGACGAATGATCTAGGTGAGGTCCGGGGTAGTTGCACCCGTCAGTAAAAGGACCTACTTGTCACCGGGTCATCTTTGAATCTGATGTCTGGGGGCACTACTTCCTGCTAAACAATCAAAAAAGTGGTTAACAAATACTTCAAATAATCAGAGTTTTAAACGAAGCTCCTTCTGTGTCAAAGCGAGAGCATTCACACCCCCAATTGTGCAGGTCAAGCTGTGGTGTGACTGCCCCTTCTGGCCAGACGACGGCATGTGTCACCTGCGGGACTGCAGTGTGTGCGAGTGTACCGAGGACGAGGTCCCCTTGACTTTCAAAAAGGGGGGGGACAGTAGCCTGGGAGATGAGGGGGGGCAGTGTACAGAGGATCCGAAGGGGGTGGTCGATCGCACGCTAGAAACGAAAGGGTTTCAAGGATGGACGGAGAACGACAATCCTTGGACGGCAGATGACGAGTCATCGGATGGTACGTATCTTGCAGGCTTCTTGTTGAAGTAAGAGGTGTTATCGCGTTAGTCATCTGGTTATAATCTTGACAAAGATCGTTTGCTACGAAAGCACTTGCCGGTGGTTAATGTGAAGCCGCTGGCGCCTAGTGTGTGGTAGAGCAGATCTTTGGTGAAGTCGAAGGTCTTGAGAAAACTCGCACAGACATTCGTCTCAAGACGAAAAGGTCGAAGTACAGCACATAAGGTCTGATGCAGTCACTTGACATTTCCTGTTCACGTTTGACTTACCTGCTCTTGACTTGGACATCTTAATCGACTGTCCGCTATCATGGTTATCCTGGTGTCGACAAACCAGTGAGTCTAGGAAACCAGGATTCCCTAGACACAATAATTTGATTCGCAAAATCAGTCCCACCCGGCAGACCAGCTTCCGAGTCCTTCTTTCGCTAGTATCTGTAGCAATAGAAGAACGATTTGCGGACAATATCGTGTACCCCAGGTCTCTTCTTACTTCAAGCGTGAGGAATCACAAAGTGAATGTCAAAAACTGCTTGCTTCTCTGCCAACTGTGTTATTCAGCTGGACCACAAACCTCAGAGTACTACCGTCACAACCCCAGACTGTTTCAGTCATACCAGATTTACGAGCTTAAGTATTCGTCCTGCAGAATTCTACAGATGCACTTACTGTAAACTGAATCTTCACTCACGAGTTTAGCAGAAGTTCGCAAGGACTCTTCGACATGTTTGATAAGTCGTCAATCTCATTCTTGCAGAGGATATGGTGTACGTCGATCTGCGGATTAACCCGGAGAAGTACACGGGTTACAAGGGGGTTTCGGCGAGCAGGATCTGGGAGGCTATTTATAGCGAAAACTGCTTTCAAGGTGGGTGTCCGCTTTTCAATAACTTGGATCTCTTGCATGCCCGAGTATCGTCCGAAGAAGACGTCAGAAGAAGGGCTCGACCTGCATAGAGCTTACAGCAAGACAATTTGTGCACTGGTTTGCTTCGAGACAAGGCTTTCCCTTCCGAAACATCCTCCAATCCTCTCTTGCATCTATAAGAAGGCTCTGAAACCACGGCAAGCATTTTTAGAAGTTTGTTGATTGTCGAGCACCTGCTTGGCGCCATCGTTTACAAGTCGGGCGAGAGCTTGCTCTACCACTAGCCTTCTTGTTCATAACTGGGGCTTTGGTCTGGTGCTTGCGCAGAGGGCCTGAGCGACACGTGTACCGAGCGGCGCGTGTTCTACCGGCTCATCTCCGGCGTGCATACGTCCATCGCAGTGCACATCGCCAAGCACTACCTCATTGACGAGGAGGCTGAAACGGTCAGTAACTGTCGCCTTTGTACGATTGCCCCTTATCTCAAAGGGACGGAGGGTTTTTCAGCTTGTCAGTGCTTGACAAGTCGGTCCGGTCGCAATCAGATCCCGTCTTCGATCAATTTAAGGTCTTTCCCTCGAGTTCGAGCTGGATTACGGTCTCCTCTTGTCTCTCGATCATCGAGAGACTCGCTGGAAGGTTGGAATTGATTGGTAATGTTCAAACGTTTTCGAAAAGTCTCACTTAACTCAACTTCGCCCGCCGCGGTTCCTTACGAGGTTCAGATCGACGAATTCCAGGTTCGGTCAGCAGAGCGATATGCAAAGAGCATATGCATATCATAAGGCTGCTCACAAGGTCGTTAAGAAAAAGCTCGTCGTTCCGTTTTGACTTGAAACGGAGCAAGGGCTGCAAAGACCTCGCAATAAGGACCATATCTGTTCATGCCTCCCCTGATGCGCCTCCGTATATTCTTGCCTATCTTTACAGAGCAGCTTTTCAATTCGCCATTATCAGTTGCCGCTATCTCCATCCGCCGCGAGCGGCTGTCCCTTCTGCAAATCTCCGCTGAGGGAAAGGACTAGTTCTTTGGAAAGAGATGGCTGCTCTGCTGTCGAAACCTTTATACGTTCATCTTTTCCCTCGCAGTGGGGCACCAATCTGGACATCTACAGAGAGCGGATACACGCGTATCCGGAGCGACTTCAGAACCTGTACTTCACCTTTCTCTTCGTGCTCAGAGCGGCCACTAAGGTGAGCGGGCGAACGATTCTGCGGGGTCTGCTTCTTTTCTTCTTTGCTTTGCCTAGGTCTCGTGATCAATCTTGCTGGTTGGCAGAATATGAGCGACTTTGTCTGCTCCGATCAACGAGTTGAGTGGCCATTTGGAGAAGAGGTTCTCGGTGATTGAATCGACTTGCCAGAGTTGGCGAGCTATATCGGACGATTTTCTGCTGTCGCCCTCTCCCAGGCCGCCGACTTTTGAGCGAGCATGAATGTAGCACGGGCTCTTGTTACAGGACATGGAGTCGGCGGCACGATTTCAGCCGCTGTGTTCCACTACTATGTGCTCATTCAGTGATACAGCTCTTGCTAAAACATCGAGGTTTGCACTAACCTGTCCGTTTCCTTAGTCCCAAGCCGCTGACGTTGCAGCGAGCGCCGAGTACAGCACCGGTTTCCCCTGCGGAGAACACGGAGACGGCGGCTCCACTTCACCGCTTTGTTATTTGCTAGCTTCGTAATTCATGCAAATCAGCACGTTCCTCCAAGAGTACTTCTTGTCTCCCCTTCCTCAGGCCGCCGACTTTTCAGCGAGCGAGCGCCCAAGTACAGCACGTGCTTCTTGCAGAACGCGCGGAGACAGCGGCGGTGGTCCAGCCGCTATGCTGCACTCATCGAAACAGATCCAGTCCACTGAAAATGACGAGTTCCTTCTGAAAACGTTCGTGTTGTATCTCCCTCTTCCCTGGCCGCAGCTTTAGCGGGCGCCGATTACAATACCGGCTTCCCCGCAGAGGACGCGGAGACAGCGCTCTTGTCCAGCAGCTTCGTTCTCATATTGAACGGTGAATCCACTTCCGCTGTTTCGTCAACGATATTGTTCTCCCCTTGTCCAGGCTGCGGACCTTTTAGCGAGCGCCGATCACAGCACGGGCTTCCCTGTCGAGGAGGCGGAGACGGCAGCACTGGTCCAGTTGCTGTGTGCCAGTATTTATAAGCCTACTCAGTATCTCAAGTCGTATACTAAGTATAACGAGTTGCCTGTACAGAAGATTCTTCTTGTTTTTCCCCTCAGGCCCCCGACTTTTTGGCGAGCGCCGAGTACAATACCGGCTTCCCCAGCGAGGACGCGGAGACGGCGGCGCCGGCCCAGCAGCTGTGTCCGATCATTATTTTAGCTCTTTCTGCTGCGATTTGAGTGGCAAGCCTTTGCAGAAAAGCATTTCTTGTGGATGTCCTACAGGCCGCCGACTTTCTGGCGAGCGCCGAGTACAGCACGGGCTTCCCTGTAGAGGACGCGGAGACGGCGGCACTAGTCCAGCAGCTACGTTCCAGTACTCAAAAGCCGATTTACTCATTCTCCAGTATAACGAGTTGCCTGTTTTCCCCCCTCAGGCTGCCGACTTCTTAGCAAGCGCCGAATACAGTACGGGCTTCCCTGTAGAGGACGCGGAGACGGCAGCGCTGGTCCAGCAGCTGGTATACAACGAGCGGCTGATGCAGGCGTGTCCGGTGCCGTTCGACGAGGCGCAGCTGTGGAAGGGCGACGAGGGGCCTGCGCTCCGGGCGCAGCTGACGTCACACTTCCGGAACATCAGGTGAGGGGCCAGCGCTCCGGGTGCCGGTGACGTCACATTATGCGTGCGGCATGGGGGACACAGAGCGGGTGTGTTATTTTGATCTGGTGCTCATTAGATTTGCTGGAAATTCCGGGGTTATCGGTCTGGTGCCTTCAAAGCGTGCGGGCGCCCGCAAGATGTTGTACCGGTTAGGTTTCTCTTCCTTTGAATTGCGGTTGCTGTATTTTCGATTGCTGGTTGTCTTGTTGCGGTGAACTCTTTGAAGGAGACATGTTTGCAAGCGATGCGCTATTGCAAATGCGACCTGGCAGACTGAAGCCTTTGGCGTACATCAGGAGAATGTGTTCTGAAATTGATCGGGGTACCCCCTTTCGCTTAGTAGATGGCCACTTTGTTTACGTGAGTTGAAAACCCGCACGAGTTGTTGGGGTCACTTTTACAGGCACCGAACGGACAGTGCACCAAACATCAAGAATTTTGACATACGACTGAGAGCTGAATTTGCGGTGCAGGGATTATCTTGGTACACAGTCCTTCAAGTATGAAGTTCTTCGTTCAAATCTCGGCTCGCTTCCAACATTCTTGTGCTGTCGAACCACTTCGTAAGCCCTGCTTTTTGTGCCTAACCCTCCATCTGAATCCTTTTCTTTATGCAGCGCGATCATGGACTGCGTCGGGTGTGAGAAGTGCCGATTGTGGGGCAAGCTCCAAATACTGGGGCTCGCAACGTCCATGAAAATTCTGTTCTCCGAGGGTACGGGCAAGCAGGTGCGTCACATTGCAGAAGAAGCGGCATCGCTTTGATCTCTCAAGTCAGCTTAAGCTCTTGGCTTTGCTGCAGGTGTATCCTGAGTCCCCGTCGCTTATGCATTGCTTACGTTGCCAGCATCTGACCGCGTCGTATACATTACGCCCGTTACACAAGCCATTTCTTGGGGGTTGCTATCCACCTGTTTGCGGGTTAGAGGCAGAAGTCGCGCCTTGCTTTTGAGATGAGGCCTTTTTGGGTCAGCATGCTTGAACTTAACCCTTTCAGGCTGCTTTGTGAGTACGTCTATCTGTGAAAATAGATGGATGACATAGCCCCCCATGTTCCTTGCAGCCTGCTCTCCAACGAAACGAGGTGATCGCGCTGATCAACTTATTAGCGAGGCTGTCTGAGTCCCTCGACTCGGCTGTCGTGATGGGGGCGGAGGTTCATAGAGCAGGTAGCCAGAATCCGTTAACAGGTGGTGCTCCCATCTTCTCTGAGCAAGTATCCCAAGGTAATCGAAATACTTTACCAGACGTAGAAGCCGTCAGCTGAAGTTGGGTTACATAATGATCATGACAGTGAGAGACGAGCCCTTCGGCACGCAAGCAGGCATTGCCTTAGCAAGAAGTACCTAGGCACTTTGAGGCCCGAGAATTTTGAAAACAGGTGTCTTGTTTTCACGACGCCCTTAGACAGCTCTTCTCAGGACCTGCTTGTGTGTGATTGTGACCATCATGAGATCATAACCAGATAACAGGTCCGCACGTGAGCTAGTGACCATTGTACAACAAGTGCGAGCTCAATTGTTACAAGCTAGTGCTGCGTATTCGCTTAAATTTCGGAAAAGCATGTTTGGCCTTTCCGTCGGCCAGGGAAAGATCCTCACTTTGCAATCGATATAGAATGGGATGTAGAGTGGGCATATGTAAGTCAAGCTGCATTGCATACGCACGCATCTGAACAAGCAGCTCAACCACGTAGGTTACTTCAAATATGTGCATGCCAGCACATAAGAAAACACCACATGTTATAAACTTACCACCGCAGCACAGAGATGTACCATGGTTCAGCAAGCTCCACACATGTACGGCGGCAGGCGTGCATCATTAAGTCGTAGCCGCGGTCATGCGCGTAATATTAATCATTTGTAATCATGAGACGATCTGCGGAGGCACGCATATATAGCTCATGTGCGCCCGGGGGCTGGATGGCTGCGCCAGCGCAACGATGAGCTAGCCGGGTGGGCGCACGGCCAGCCCATGTGCCATGCATGGGCGACCGCAGCTAACAGTGACGCGTTATATAGATTGACTGTGAATCGTGTGACCCTTAATTCTAGTGAGTCATGCACAAGCGTACTAAATATATTGGAGCAGATCAATTGCACTCATGGTCGAGATATGGTACGTGGTAGTCGCTTATACCTAAGTTGGCAAAGCGACGAAGTGCACAATGCTGGCAAGTAACCTGCGCCACCATTTGTGTGCAGGCAGCTAGCGTAGCCGGCTAGCATGATCGCGCATGCGTAGGAATGCTTAGAGAATCTTGTGCAGCTGGCCTCGCAAAACGTACATGTAATAAACACGTGAAGCAAGATGCTTTTTACTAGAGAATGACAAGAGCCTTGCAACATCGAGAATATCCAGGAGGGCCTTAAAGACTTCCTAGAAGCTACTTAAGCGGCGGTGATCGCCGAGGCATCACTAGACACAACAGGAAAATCAGTATCGTTACTCCGGGCACTACCACAAGCAAAGAAGGACCAATAGTACTGGCTACAGTTATCGTTGTCCTCAACGTTCTTTGGATGACCTCTTGATTTACAAAGCCCCAGATCAAGTACAATAGATGACTGCAGAACTCAAAGGGTGCATGTATCACCCATGACGCGCTGTTCTGAAGCAGCACAACAGCCCCAATCCCGGATTTGACGATGAAAGGTGCTATGCCCAACATGAAGTAGTACCAGCCAATGGGGACTAAACAAAGGGAACAGACTATCAATGCTATTGCTATGCCGACAAATTGAGCTCCAAGATCCTTCCAGCTGGGGTCCTGCCACAGACTTCCCACAATCGGTTCATTTCGGAGCTCCGCAATCCGTGCAAATCCTCCCACTGTTCCCGTGTGGTGATGGTCAACTCCTACCAGGACAATCGCCCCCGCAAAGCCAAGGACAGTGATCCATAGGGCTGTCTTGCCCACAGTTTTTAGAAGACCCCCCATCCAGAACTGTGCAAACAGCTCTCTTGGTGAAATGCTGATGTCCCTTGCGTCTGACGTTCAAAACCAGACCGGCCGTAAGCCCTGCTCTCGCCGAGAAGTCACTTGGTATGCTCAGTCAATTGCTCCCAGTCGCTTGCTTCTAGTTCCTTTGTATTCGGTAGACATTCATAGCAGATCCTTCCTCCTACTCAGCAACAACAGGATGCTCCTCAACCGGTGCCTTTGCAGTGACTGTTTCTGTCTCACCCTTCCTCCGGCTTTCCTCTGCTTTCAGCCACTCAATCATGAAAGGGACGGGGTCGGAAGGCTGGGTCAGGAGCAAGTCCTGCACAGAGTAAGGTCCATAAAGTCTTGTCATCTGCTAAACAAAGCCAAAGGATGCTCTGCTGTTCCTCAGGGGTCTAGTATGGAAGGTCAAAGGCCTTCATTCAGCCCCTGTGTCTGGGGCAAGTGCGTTGCGCACGCACCGACTTGGACTCCCTTAGGTTGACCAAGTAAGTAACAATGAACCCTAATCCTGTTTCTGCTAGAACAGTTAGGGTGCAACAGCAGATGTATCAATGAGCCGCTAAGGCCGCACTGTCATTTACTTTGAAGATACTCAACACTGAGGGTTGCACATGTCTGAGTCTCTGATACAGGATGTGACCAGCAAAGTTGTTCAGAACTCTTTGAGAACTGGGGCAGTGGAGTTAGCAGCATTGTTTTCATGACCAAACAACGCCTGCGTTTAGAATGCTTGCGAGTCGCTTCTAATGGCTCCTGTTGAAAACGTTCAGGGTTATCCTCAGCGTGTCTGGTTTCATCTTGATAATCTTGAGATCGAGAGTCAATGAGCGCCTACCTTGACCATACGGCCCAGAACAACCTGCACCTCTTTGCTGTATGCATACTTCTCCATGATTGCCTTCTGCTCTTTGGCATGGTCCCAAGGACCCTCCATCTTACAATGCTGCAAAAGGCAGCCGACGAGCGGCAGGCCTAAGCTCTGAGCACCTGGCAAGTAGGGGCCCCAAGGAACATGACAGAAAGGAATGTTTTCTCCGACTTGCTTTCATGATGCTAGAGCTGCAAATAATTTCGCTCAAGATTTTCTGCGACATCCTTTCTCGAGCCTCCTAAAACGTCGTAGAGCCGCTCCCTCGTATTTAACCTGGCGAGTGGGTACGCGAGAGGTACGCTACCCATCCAAAACTTGAAGATGTAGTCCTAGGTATGTACTGTTCTTTGTGGAGCCAATCAGTCAGCTACAGTACCTCTAGAGGTATACGGAGATGCGCGGAGGGGGAAGAATCGGACGGCCCTGGAGAGCTTTCGCGTAGAATCGACAACCGCCCTTTGACCAAACTACTTCTCGGGACACGCATCGGACGGTTCAATGGCATCCGCCACCAGAGGCATGCACGAATGCACCCGAGTTTGAGGTTCGAGTTTGATCAGGAAGTGCCCGGTGCGGGGACGGCATTGCAGATCCAAGCTTGCTCCAAGACGACCGCAAAACGCGTTTCGAGGGCTCTCTGCTTGGGTTTCCGTCTGACATGATAAACAAGTTCAGTGGAGATCTGATCAATAAGATCAAGAAGAGATATCCAAGTCTGCTGCAACATTGCGCTTTTGAGTAGAAATGTAGCCTCTGATTCTCACTGCTAGAGAACAAATGAGTCCTCCGCAACCTGCCAAGTAGCAGTGGCCGTTCCTGAGCACGGCAGCATTGCTGCACCCTAAAACTTATTGGAGGAGCTTATTGGAGGAGCGATAATGCTGATGGTGGAGTCATGATCTCTGTTTGACCATACGTGCATCAGCAGAGAAACCAATGAGGAAGCTGCCAGCTTTTCATCAGCCGGTTGTAATTTTAAAGCTCTGATACATTCTCCAGAAGAAGACTTGGTCGAGAGACGATACATTCTGGTCCCGCGATTGCTCAAAACGCGCAGGACAAGGAGCCGTGGGGCCCTAGTCACTCGCCTCCAAGTCCAGCCCTGACGTTCTGGCATACTTTGCAGCCAGTGTCTCCTCCAAGGTATCAATTCTGAGATCGAAAGGTCGGGCACCAAGCTCAATACTTTGTCTCTGCATTAAAAGGTCACTTGTGTGTTTTCCGCACGCCGTACTGCAACGATGGGGGTATCACCGGACTTTGTGGCAGCGCTTGGACTTCTTGGTAAGCCCCAGAACTGATGCAATCTGGACGTTCGACTTCTGGACTAAGCCGAGGGTGTAAACGGATTGGCGAGGAACCTACATACTTGCACCTCAAAGCAATTTCAATCGGACTAAAAGCAGCCTGTGGCGCGCATCTGGCTCGTTCATCCTCAAAAGAGAGATTTCTTGATATACAGTCTCACTCCCGGAAGATTATTTTGCAAGCTGCCTGGGGCTTCAATTGAGGACTAGAAGCAGAACTCCTCCAAGGTCACTTTCCACTACGACAACTCTTGCAAAATTGTCAACTCAGAGCAAAGATACATCAGTTTCAATTCTAATACATACTGGTCCATTCTTCAAGATGATAACGGAACTTGGCACAGGAAGGATCGTCAGTTAAGCTGAACTTTGCACCTTGCTGAATTTTTGTCTTCGAACCTTGCAGCAAACTTCACAGGAATCAGCACCACCCTGAGCCCTGTGCCAACATTCATTCGAGTGGTCAAGAACCGGAGCACTGAGAAGTTTTCCTGCTTCCCATACATCGCCACCCTGCTTTCCAGTCTGGTGTGGCTCATATATGGCTTGGTCACTCCTGGGAGCATGGCAGTTGTGGTGAGCTCTTCGTGACCAAGTGAAACTCTTTGTAGAGAAGCCTGTATTGTACACTTCCAAGAAGGAAGTTCCGCAGTTGCTCGAACTGCACATCTAGCGAAGATGTGTTCGACTGTCTTACTTGAGAATCTTCTGCACTTTTCAGAAACTTCGGCACAAGCATTTTCATCAAGCTAAGTTGATGATGCACGCAAGTCGCTTCAGATTATTTCGTACATGTCAGCCGCTGCCTCAAAAGACCCTTCGTGATAGCATCCGAGATTAAGAGCATAACTGTCTGTCATTTAAGATCGGCTAACTTCTGGTGATGACCGTTGAATTCTCAGATTTCCAACTGGTCCACATGAAGTGCACCAATTCTGGTAAGCCTCTGAGCTTCGAGTGCAGAAGACTTGTGTCGGACCTTCTCTGACTCGGGCTCGCCGTTTCTTCGTTCTTTCGCAGACCATCAATGTATTTTCGGTCACCGTCCAAGGGACATACTGCGCCATCTTTCTTTACTACGCCAGCTCCGCCGAAGTACTGGTGAGTTACTGTTAAGTCGGATACGTTGCTTCTTGAGAGATACTTCCACCGTCTAGAAAGTTCACAGAACCGTTTCCTAAACTTCGAGGAGCCGCGAAGTCGCGTATCCTTTAGCCTAGGATCTGCTCGGCACCTCTCTGCATATCAAAGGCGACGAGCTTTTCCGAGGCGAAGCTGCTGATTGAAAGTTCCTGTTACCTGAAGACGGTTCCCCGAAGGTTATCCAAAGAGTAACAAGAGCAATACTGAGAGCTTCTTCAAGGCTGATGCCGCAGTTTCACAGAGATTGTACCATCGACCTTCATTTCTACCGCAAAACTTCGTCTCACCTATCAGTCGCCAGGGACGCGCTTCGCTTTCGCATCCTTGGATCGTACCCGCAGCAATATCAACTTTCTGTTAGCACAACTTTCTCCAGAGGTCGTCAAAGGTTTTTACAATTCTGTAGTAATATGGACTCCGAGAGGAACTGAAGTGTCTGAACACGCTCGTCAAACTCGGATAGGATATGTCTCAGCCCAAACTTTGTGCAACGATCCTCCCGGCTGCTCGTCAACCACTGCACCAACTTTTCTTGCGCCAACTTTATCTTCAGTACGGATCTCGTTCTCCATACATTTCTGCTTTTTGGAGATTCTCTGAAGCCTCTATTTCTCGATTCCAGGCCACCACCCGCAAGCAGCTCATCTTCGTCGCGCTTGCCGCGGCCGCGACCGCGGTCCTCGCCTTCGGCGTCTTCACAGATGACCGGCGGAGCGAAGTCGTCGGCTCATTCGGCGACCTACTCTCAATCATTTCCGTCGCCGCACCTCTCTCCGTTCTGGGACTGGTGATCCGGACCAAGAGCGTCGAGTATCTGCCGCTGCCTCTGTGCGTCAACAACCTGCTCAACTCGTGCGCCTGGGGCACCTTCGCCATCTTCAAGGACGACGTCTATATCGGGGTAAGTCGAAGCATCTTCTGTAGTATTGACTCCGATCTCGCACTCTCATCTCGTTGGATCAACTTACTGCGAAATCATTGATGAAGAAACTGCGTGTACAGTGGTACAGAAACTGTCCGTACGGAAGAAGAAACTGCCCTTGGATCCGTAGTTTTACGGATCCAGGGTTTGCCTTGGAGGTGCCAATTTCATGTTGCTTGTTTCTCGGACTTCTTCCATGAGCCACAAGCGCAATCTTCCTCCTGGTTCGTCTAAAAGCTCGACGTACATTCTCATCCAACAAAACTCGTGAGAGAACTGTGCGCTTGTCCAGGCTATCCGGAGTCCGCTCACGGCACAGAATCTCTCGCAGGCACCGAATGTCCCGGGCGTCATTCTCGGCCTCATCCAAGTCGGCCTCCACTGCATCTACGGCGCCCCCTTCTCCCGCGCCAAGCTGCAGCAGTTCCCGCCCGCGCGGCGGAACAGCGTTTCTTCCCGTGCAGCTCACAAGAGCGAGAAGACATCGCTTCTGAGCCCGGATCCAGAGGACCAGCTTCCAGTCTCCCCCAAAATGCACTCCCCTCTTCTGGGGGGTCTGGAACGGGTGAACAGCAGCGTGCTGGACCCCGGGGAAATGGAGCGCCCGGGAATCGACCTGTCAGTCGTCACCGAAGCTTCGCCGGTGGATCACTACCCGGACGGGAAGCGTGTGAGCTACATCTCGCCGGCGGATGGGAAGTACCCGTTGCTCGAGGCGAATGGGGAGGCGACACATGGCAATCGACGGCCGTCGGCGAGTCAGCAGTACCCTGTCATGGAGAAGGCGCACTTGATGCCGGAGGCGGGGCACGTGACGCCGACACGTGGACAGACCGGGCAAACAGCGCAGCTCCGTCGGCCGTCGATCAGCATGCAATACCCGTTGGTTGAGAGCGCGCACCAAATGGGGGCGGGGAGCGCGTCGAGAAGGCAAAGCAAAAGGCTTCAAGAGGAGGACCCCGAAGCCGCGTTGCTTCGACGAACGAGCGGTGGGGTGGACAACCTGTTTGTAGCTCAACCGGGGCCTCATACACCGGTTGCGGACGGAAGATCGGATTCGACGTCGTGGGAAGCGCTGGTGCAGGGGCAGGTTTTGATTGAGAACATGAGCTTCGAGCCGAAGAGGGATGCGTGACAAGCATACACAGCCGATCACGGATTGCTGATACGTCGATACTTATTTTAATGAGATCATATATACCTACATACGACAATTGTTTAGACCGTTGCTATAAATCATAAGATGGCCCACGAACATTTGTAAAAACATCTCGAATGCACCCGACTATGCACAGGTTCACGTCAACTCGATGCTAGCGCTTCGTGAAGATATTTTGTAAAAGCACATGAAAGGTCACCTGAAGGTTGAAGATCGCGAAAGATCCTACCGTTCTGGTCTTGAATATTGGTATGAATGAAGTGGCATCCTGGTCTTTCTGCGCCCTTTTGGCGTCCAGCAATGTCGCTATGGGCTTTATATAAGTCTGCACCTACTTATAGCTAGTACGTACCGTCAGGGATCACAGGTTCAGATGGACTGCAAATGAATCGATAGGCAGGCCAGCGCGATGAAGTATGTTCGTGCATAAATCTTGCACTAAGGCTCGCTCCAAAAAGCAAATGCAGAACTGACCTTAGACGTGTACATAGGCTTTTGGGTCGAGCTTGTGGAAGTAGAGCTTAACGGCGCGACGTCGAACAGAACATACGTCCATCTTTCATGGCCTCTTCGCCTACATTAGCCATCTGCTCTAGCTCAGTTCTCCCCAGTCGGCTGGCTTCACCTTCGTACGCGTACCACTGCCATGATGTGGCTCTGCCGGCTCTGTCCTAGATACAGCCGCAGCCGTGGCCCGATCTCGTGTGGTCCTGATCGGACGGTCGTAGTACTGGGGTGTTTCAGCCGTCGATTGAGCATAAAAGAGGTAACCTGGCCGAGGGATGGAGTCTGCTGAGGATGGACGATTGAGAAGTCCGACCCTCTAGTTTCCGTGGTCGCATAATGCAGCCGCTGGCGCGCGGCGTGCAGAGCTTCTGGCACCAGCAGTGGACGTACGTCAACAGCAGAGCGCTGAGGGCCGCCTTCAATCCGTGCAATGCGGTAGAAGAACCTCCGGCAGATGCACAATTCTCGTTCTGGGAGAGGTTGCCGGGGAGGAGTTGTAAGGGATTGGTGCATTGGGGCATTGCTCTTTAGGCGCACTACATATCATATTCTAGTTTCCAATTGCACAGGGGGGTTTGATGTCCACACTTGCCCACGATTGCAGCTTGATCACCCTTTGAAAGGTTCCTTGAAGATAGGCATTGTGTAGAGCCTGCCTAGCAATGGCGCCCAAGCGCGCTCCCGTTCAAGATGCTCCGCCAGTCTCTGCCACCACCTCGCCCCTATTGCCTTTTGACATGGGCGCTCTTCTCCCCCAGCAACTTCGGCTAAGCACAAAGCAGCAAGAGCTGCTCTTACGCCTGGGAGTGCTAGCAATGATCTACCTTCTCGCCTTCAGCGTGCGCCTATTTAGCGTCCTCCGCTTTGAGTCCGTCATCCATGAGTTTGACCCCTACTTCAACTACCGCGTCACGCAAGTCCTGGTCGAGAAGGGTTTCTACGAATTTTGGAACTGGTTTGATCACGAGAGCTGGTACCCGCTCGGGCGCATCGTGGGGGGGACGCTATACCCAGGACTTATGGTTACTGCCGGCGGGTTATACTGGCTCCTCCACGGCCTTATGCTCACCGTCAACATCCGGGAGGTCTGCGTTCTCTTGGCGCCCTTCTTCGCTTCCAACACCGCAATGGTCGCTTATTTCTTCGGGAAGGAGCTCAAGGACTCGTCCACCGGTCTTATAGCAGCAGCGTTCATGGCGGTCTGCCCCGGTTACATCTCCCGCTCGGTGGCGGGGTCGTTTGACAACGAGGGGGTCGCAATCTTTGCGCTTCTGCTGACATTCTACCTGTTTGTAAAAGCGGTGAAGACGGGGTCGCTGGCGTGGGCCGTAGCGGCGGCGTTTGGGTACTTCTACATGGTGTCCGCATGGGGGGGCTACATCTTCATCACGAATCTGCTGCCAATCTACGTGCTGATCCTGCTGGTGTCGGGAAGGTGAGAGTTGGGGCACTGGTTGGTGATACCACCAATTGCAGATTGAATATTGTGCAAAGACAGTAACAAGAAGATTGTGAATCCTTTTCTAGTGGAATGCTTTTCTGAACTTGGTCAATGCATATCAAGCGCGTTGAAGATCGGCATCACGAGTTGTCAGTTTCTGGCATTCTGTTCTTTCTTCTGGATTGCGTTGAACTTCTGAGGAGGCAAGGATGTACGCACTGTTCGTACACTCAGTGGTTGATCGATGTAGTCGTTGTGCCAGGAAGTTTGGAGTGGGTGCGTTGTATACCTGTACCACCAATTGCAGATTTGACCAGTTAGCAACCACCAAGAAAGATGTGAAAGGATAGATGCATTTTGGTGGTTGAAGGTGGTGATGTTTCGTCAAAACTGACTATACTCTCCCACGCTGATTGAGTCTTAAGAGGGACACCTCATCGCATCTTGAAGTTTCCGCTTGGCACTAGCTTGTGGGCCTTCTGCCTTTCGTATGGTCGCAGAGGCTTTACGAATCACCTCTAAGGCGAAATGGCAAGAAAAGAAGAAAACAAAAGAATGAAACAAAGAGCCTCATCAAAGAAGAGAGATTCGTCACTGGATTGAAAGGATGACTCACTTCAGGCTCGTCTTCTCCTGCAGGTACAACATCCGCACATACATCGCGTACTGCACGTGGTACCTCATGGGCACACTGCTCGCGATGCAGATCAGCTTTGTCGGTTTCCAGCACGTGCAGTCAGGGGAGCACATGGCGGCGCTCGGGGTCTTCTTGCTGCTGCAGGTTTGTGTCCTTGTCGATTTCTTTATTCTTTTGAAGATCGAGTATAGGATTTCATTCGTTCTGACTTGTTGACCATCTCATACTCCCCTGTTTTCGGATCTCTGTGGCGCTTCCGCTCTGGCAGAGTAACCTCGCAAACTTCTGGTTCCTGATTTTGTTATATCCGATCCTGCTTTGTCGATCCGACTTGTTTCCTGACCAAATTCGAAATAGCATCTATACTTTCTCTTAGCAGCTTGGGCTCCACAATGTAAACAGCTGCCTCTTGAGGTGCCAGTGCAAGCTGCTCAGATGGACAAATTTGCAGATGCAGTCCTATGATTGCTTTGGCGCTGGGCATCTTAGTTAGTGGAAGGCTCCGCACATCCGCGCATTTTAGATACTCCACCAAGAGGAGTCACAGTGCAAGTTTACAGTAGTATCCTAGTCAGCGGCAAGTTCGTAACCCTCGTTTGTTCAGTTGGTGTCGCAAATCAAAATTGTTGTCGTCCTGCAGGCTTGAGCACTGCTTAAGCGGCCCATATTACCGCATCAACCCCGAATTACAATCACCCGAAATTGAACGCTGTAAGTTCCTCGATTGTTGAAACCCTCTCCTTAACCCAAATCCCTATCTCTGCAGCTCGTCCAATTCACCATCTGGCTCCGCTCCCAGTTCCCTGACCCTAAGCAGTTCCAGGCCCTCCTGCGGTTGACCCTAACCCTGGGTTTAGGCCTGGCTGGCACAGCTGCCGTTGTCGGGTTAGCCACGGGTTACATCTCCCCCTGGACGGGCCGCTTCTACTCGCTGCTAGACCCGACGTACGCGAAAGCGAACATCCCAATCATTGCGTCCGTGTCGGAGCACCAGCCGACCACGTGGTCCTCCTTCTTCTTCGACTACCACCTGCTCATGCTGCTCTTCCCCGCCGGTGAGCCCGCTGCCATTATGTGACGCCAACATCATGAACGTAACCGCAGTTCTCGTCCCTCTCATATGCAACCCTTAGGCGATAGTTGATTTATACTTGAGTCAGCCTGTTGAAGCCCCTTCTCTCGTCATCTGTTCCATCTCAACTTCGCTCCCGACTACCCTTGTTTTTGCCCTCATCTCGGATCGAGTCCAGTCTCCTCAGTTCGAGTGATCGTGCGACGCTTTGGTAAACCTTAAAGCCCAGCCTTGCACCAGGAAGTACGAGCATGTGCCTGCTTCAAACCTGTCGCAGGATTGGAGGTATGCTTCAAGCTGCCTCCCTAATTGGCCAGGACAAGCATCTCGGCGACATAGCCTATGGCGTGTCTGCCTCTGTTCTCGGCAATCCAACTCGCTTTCCCTGCTGTTCATATAAGCTTAGCTTGAGCCCTTCTCTGAGCACTCAAGAGTCTGATCTCGGTTTAAGGGTTCCTTGATTCCTAATTGCGAAGCCCTTGCGAAGTATCGAAGTCGCAGCAACGTGCGCAAAACTCCACTTGCCATGCGGTCGAATCTCTAACCTCCAATCTAGATGGTTTACTTTACCCCGAAAGGTCTTCCGGGCGCCCGCAGGCATGTACTACCTCTTCAAGGACCTCTCCGATGCCGCCATCTTCATCCTCGCGTACTCGCTGACGTCACTCTACTTCGCTGGCGTCATGGTGCGGCTCATCCTGGTTGCGACGCCCGCCGTGTGCCTCGTTGCGGCGGTGGCGGTGTCGTCGCTGCTCAAAAAGTATGCGGCCATGGCGTGGGAGAAGGCGCCAGAAGAGAGCGGCGCGGGGAAAGCTCCGCTGAGCAGGAAGGCGTCTGCCAAGGTGAGGGTGGAAGCTTTGACGTTTAAAAAAGATAATTCAAAACTCCAGAGATTAACAATCTAGGAAAATTGTCGAAGCTCTGACGCTCTTCCTAGAGGTTTTATCTCTGGAGTTGTGATCTTTGGGGTGGTTTCATTTAGGAGGCTTTCGCATGTAGAGACGCCGGGAGAGAGTGGCGGGGGGCAAAGCTCCGCTGAGCAAGAAGGCGTCTGCCAAGGTGAAAAAGGAGGGGGGAATTTTTTCCTTTTTTTCCAGTTTGTTGTGATTTTGCGGTTCTTTTGCTAGAAGAATCCGTCTAGAAAGAGGCCGGAGTTTTCCTGCCCGTCTTTTGTGATTTGTGGTGCATTTCTCTTTTCTTTTAGACTTTTTCTTACAAACTCTAAAAAGACGCCGGAGGAGAGCGGCGCGGGTAAAGCTCCCCTGAGCAAGAAGGCGTCTGCCAAGGTGAGGCTGGAAGCATTGACGTCTTTTCTGCAATCTTGACCTCTGGATTTGTGGTTTTTGTATTGGTTCCAGAAGGGGTGCTTTCGCGTGTAGAGACGCCGGTAGAAAAGAAAGGCGGCTGCGAATCATAGAAAGGAGGGGAATGGTTTGCCGTAGGAGTGTGCTCTTCAAAGTGGGAACGAGTAACGAGTGTACGGGGAACAACCTTATATTCGAAACCCGTCCGCAAAGATCGCTCCGCCTCTGGATCGAAGGAACGGGGGACTTCGTTTTTGTCAAGACGCAGCCGAGTCTTTCGGCCATTCACAACAAATAAATCACATTCTTCACTTGTCGACACGCGAGGTTCGCAAAAGTGTCCTTCCAAACGGACTGCCCAGACGCCGAGTCTTCCTCGTATTGCCAGCTTCCAAACTTGCACTTTCGAGTTGTCTTCTAAGAACGCCTTGCATCTTCTATAAAATCCTCCGAAAACCTTTCTCATCCTAGTTCTCTCCGCATCCAGGCGGAAGCAAAGGGCCTGCCGTCCCAGAACCTGATCGCCACCGCTTCGCTCGCCGCCATCGGATACTTCCTCATCGCGTTCGCGTCCCATAGCATATGGGTCACGAGCGAGGCGTACAGCTCCCCCTCCATCGTGTTGGCCGCACGGGGCGCCTCCGGCCAACGCATCATGTTCGACGACTTTCGGGAAGCCTACTCGTGGCTGCACTACAACACGCCACGTGGAACCAAGGTGGGCGGAGTGGCACGTGTTGCTCTGCTCAAAATGGTTTGCTCGACAGCAGTCGCTTCAGCTGGTCGCAGCGTGTCGTCTTCGTAGTGGTTTCGTAGTTTTGTGGTTTCGTAGTAAATCATGGCAGAGGGGCGATCACGTTTTCCATGCTTTCTACTGGAAATTGTGGATTGTTGACCACGTTCATCTGCTGTCCTCTCTGACGATGGAGTGCGCATGTGATCGAGGGCATCTGCTTCTGTTATGTGGTTTTATGAGGAGCTGGGGTGCTGTTTGTCCGCGGTGCCTTGTAAGGGGCACTGCTTTTCGATGTCCAAGCAGTGCGTTAATGCCTTTGACAACGGACGGATTGAGCAGCGGGTGTCCCTCTCGGGAAGCTTCACGCTTTCAAGGTTCTTTCTTACCCCGAAGAAACTGCATCATTGCCCATAACGTGGAATCGGGTCTTGCTGACGCGACCTCTACTATACTTGCTAACCCGCTTCTCAACCCGCAGGTCATGAGCTGGTGGGACTACGGTTACCAGATAACCGCGATGGCCAACCGTACGGTCATCGTCGACAACAACACGTGGAACAACACCCACATCGCCACCGTCGGGCGCGCGATGGCGAGCTCCGAAGCGGACGCTTACGAGATCATGACGTCACTCGACGTGGACTACGTTCTGGTGGTTTTCGGGGGGATCACGGGTTACTCGAGCGATGACATCAACAAGTTTTTGTGGATGGTTCGAATCGGGGGGGGCGTTTACCCGGTGATTCAGGAGAGCGATTACCTGACGGAGGGGGGGGAGTATACGGTGGGACAGGGGGCAGCGCCCAAGATGCTCGACAGCCTCATGTAAGGATCCGACCGTACGTTTCTGCCGCTACTAGTTGTTGCTTGTTTGGCATGTACTGTGGCGCTTGCTGCCCTCGGCGAGCGTTGTCGAAACGCCATTGCGGCATTGCTTTTTCAAAATTTTGTCGTGATCGAAAGTACGGATGCGCCCCCAACGGAGAACGAAGGGCATCACGGCCGGGTTAAATCTGTACGTTTGGGTTTACAAATTTCTGCCGCGACAGACTGTTGAAAGCCTGCGAAGCTTCTCTCCAGCCTATCCGCCCACTGACTGACATGTATGGAGACTATCCGAGCATTCGGGCCGTCGAAATTCTAGAAGTGATCCGTTACGTCCTTATAGCTCCTGCCAAAGCTGCCAACTTTTTGACAATGGTTGCCGCGGTGATGAAGTGTAATCCGTCCGTCGCGTGTCTCGGTCAACAGGCCTTCCTTGCATTTCGCACGGCCTGTCAAGTTCCAAAAACACCTTGACAGTGTGCTCCCGTTCCTGCTGTGAAAGTCCTTCCTTTTTGTGGCGTCAGCATGGAGGCTCGTGAGAACATGTCAGCAAAGAGGTCAGTCCTTTCACTTACGCGCGTTATGTTTACGCAGGTACAAGATGTGTTACTACCGCTTTGGCGAGCTGCAAACGGAGTACAATCGACCAGCCGGGTAGGCCATTTTTAGGGTTTTAGGGCTTGTTGGCTAAGCGCTCTTCCACTTTGTTTTCACTCTCCTCTGTCCCAATCAAGATTTCTGGTCAGAGGAAGAAAAGCAGGTCATGCCTTCCCCACGCGAATACCAATTGCTATGAGGTGTAGTAGCGAACACTTCCCAGCCGTCTGCCTTTGCCTGGCGGCTGGCCGCAAAACCGTGGTCATCATGACAGCTGGTGTTTTGGAGTCAGCTAGATACCCACCTCGGTCGCGAAGCAGACAAGTTGTTCGTTATGTCATTTTACATGCTGCCACTAACCACAATATGTGCTTCGCTTTTGTACTGGGGCGGAAGATGTTCACGTCTGGCTAGGTGCCCTTTCGCGGTTCGATGTGAAGCATCAGGACCTCCTGTGTGCTAACATCTTGAGCGGACTGTTCCTCGCTTGTGTTATCCTCCTGTACCAGGCGTTTGCGCAGATCTTTGTCTTTCCAACACTCTCCAGTCTGCGAGATTGTTTACAGCGATTGTTGTCTCAGTGGCGCCCTCTCAGTGGTGCTCTCTTTTTCTATCCTCCTTTTTGTCAACTTATGTGGCGAGGGCTGACGTCATCCTGACGATTCTTCGCGCCAGGTACGATCGAGCCCGAGGGTACGAGATTGGAAACAAGCACTTCGATCTGGAGTATATAGAGGAGGCCTTCACCAGCTCGAACTGGATTGTGAGGATCTACAAAGTGAAGCCGCCAGACAACCGGTGGTAGACAAGGAAGCAGTCTTTTGTCTAGTCGGCCGCTGCCCTTGTCAAAGTGCTTGAGTGAAGTCGCGACGAGTGCGCTTGCAGTTTTGAAAATGCTCGATGATCCCAAGTCTGTGTCGAGGTCCTCATCCGACACAAGATTTTGAAGACGGAAGCTTTACAGAGTTTTTTTGATTCTCATTCATTAGTACACTCTCACATTGTCGATTGAAGTCAGACATGCGTGGAAGCGCATGATCGTGCGTACACATCTGCTAAATGCAGTTAGTTATGCCATGAATTCAATGCATGCATGCATGTGTGCAGCTGCGCACCACGATCGTATTGACGCGGTGACCTTCTGAAAATGCCATGCCTGGCATGTATGTCGTCGCCGCCGTTTAGCCATGTATAACAGAAACATGCGTGCGCGCCAAAGCTTACGTACCGGCCCACGACATGCATATGCTTCTGGTGGACCCAGTAATTGCCAGATCGCGGTTCTTGATATGACGTTGGGGCGGCCGTACGTGGACCGACGCGTTCTCGATCTGCATCATTTAACAAATACTTAAAGCTGTTATCATGGTGCACTTTTTGCGAAGACGTCGGACGTGAGTCCGACCCGGTCGGATCCACACATAGAGTTGGCTTTTCGCGGGAGTTAATTATCTGTGAAATGACATCAATCAAGTCAATTTCATAAGTGATTCTTTGCAGATTTGAATGCTTTTTAGCGAGCAATACAGCGGGGAAGCTTCGTGATTATTCTGGACCGACCGCGCTCGGACTGGATTCGGATCGAATCTGATAAAAATAAGCCAGATGCATATGGCCGCTGAGCAACGGAATGCATGATCAAAATTGCTAACGGATGTGTCCTGACACTGCTGCAATCAAAATGTACCTTCACTTTTTCAACCCTACACCAGGCTCTCTGGTATAACTTATGAGTTCCTCTGATTCTTTTCTACCTCGTATTGTGTTAGCAGTACTTTTCTAAAGCACCACCCGCCCCCCTCACAGGCCATGTTCTGATCCATGCTCTTACGGAGCCAAACGAATCCTTTAGCAAATCTCGTCCGATCCCGCTTTTCATACACAAGCGGAAAACTGCTTCGGTCTTGCTAGAACTATCTCAGCGCCGAGAAAGTAAACTATCACGGGGCACTAGGGCTGTTCCCGAGTCTGTTCTCGCGGCCCCCGGATGAGGGGGCAAACCCAACGCCTGACACACCCGGTTGCACTTGTGCGACCGGAAGAAGAGCTCAATGCCCTTCACGTGCTGAAGCGGACCGGATCCGTGCCGGTCATCCAGGCCGTCGGATGAGCGGACGCCCTGGAGGTCGACGACCATGAGCAGCTAAATTGGTGGATTGCCAAGTGCAAGTAAGGCGTTGAATGAAGTGTATCCTATTCGAATCCGGCCTTCGATTCTCGACGACTTCCACACGATGCTCCAGAAGTCTTGGTGCCTGATTGACGACACGGCAACGTCACTCTTCAAGTGCAAACTGGCTTCAAGAACGCAAGAACGATTGTTCTCTGTCAAACCTTTTTCAAAACGTAACAAAGTGAACCCTGTTGCGACAAACCACCATCAGCTCGAACAAAACGCTGCGGCTAATGTAAGGCGGTCCGGCGCCAGATTCTACTAGCTCCCGCGTGTATGGTGACGGAGAAAGCAGAACATTCAGGAATCATTGCGGGAATTGCGGGTTCGATGCTCGACCAAGAGTAGAAAGTAACGGTAGCGGCTTTTCTGCTGACTTTATACGCGGCGCCTAGGTTCTGGTGCGTCAGCGCTTCCCTCCGAACCATTCAATTACAGTCGTTTCTAAGCGGAGCCTTTCTAGACGTGACCATTCGCTCGAATCTTTCGCTGGAGCTACATGTGAGTGTGGCCATATTTTCTTTGACAAGACCATTCGGGGGCTCGCCTTTCTGGCCTTCTGAGATGCATCTCACATTCGGGTCTGGTCGTCCTTCATTCTTTGATTTCTTCTTCTGTGCTCGATCCTCTCACTTCTTTGCAAACTTCTGGGATTGCATCCGCTTGAACAAAAGAAAGCTGAACCGCGGCGCTTTGAAGAAGGTTTGTCGCTTCTGCCTTCAAGGAGACATCCTAAAAAGAGCAGGAGAGATATCCCTGAGGATGTTCATGGGGGGTGCTGCATCTCCTGATCAGGGGTCTGTCGTCGCGGCTATTCTCGAAAAGGGCCGTCAACTCGTTCGCGATGAGGTGGTCACGATTCCGGACTTTGGCAGAGGGTGGCGAAGTAAGTAATATTGCTATCCCCGTCCTGGCCTCTGCTCTTTATTTCCCCCTCTCGGAGACTCATCATCTGAGACCGAATCTAAAACAAGCTTTCGCATCTCTTATCATTCGCGTTATTATGACCTGTTTCCCTGTGAATCGAGATTGGAGATTATGTGATACTTGGCGAAGAAAGGAAGAGAGACAGCACTTGGTAAACATAGTCGAAAGAGCCTTGGTAGGCTCTGTCTCTTGATTCCTGTAAGCTGCTTTTTGATTTGACGTTTGGATCTTCATATGACGTATGGTCCATCCCAGTACGTAGTTTGGGTGAGAACATTCAGAGATCCTTAGAGCTCGTCCTTTATGCTGTTCCTCATTACCAAACGTTCACACTCCTCATCTTCTTGTATTATTATTGATCATAATGGCAATTCATGCTCATTACATTGAAATGTTCTTGCCTGGCCTGACAAGATGTAGCGTCGCATCGCACATTGGAAATCCTGAAAGTAGATCTACATTGCCTCTTATCTTTCGTCGCCCTTAGGCCATTGATCCTCTCCCCGTTGAATCGATCGATAAGGCGCAATGAACTCTTGGACTCACGTTTGAAAATCCACCTCTTGTTCCTGCAGCTGACACTACCAAGGTACAAGGCCTTCCCGTTTGCATCAAGAGCGTCGCGCATCACCGGTATCTAAGCTCCAGTCCCGATGGCGATGTGAAACACCACAAGGAGGCAAAGGAGTGGGAGCAATTCACTCTTTTGCACCTGAGAAACGGTCTTGTGTCGTTCAGGACGGCGCATGGCAGATACCTTGGCGCTCCAGATCCTGACCCGAAATCATCAAAACACCTGACGACCAAGAACTTCTTGAGGGAGTGGGAAATGTTTACCCTGGAACACATCTTTGATGAAAGGTATGCCCTGAGGACCTACCACGGCAAATATGTGGGTTTGATCTTGCCAAAAGGGTTTTGTGAGAAGGTAGTCCTTGCGAACCAGGCACTGGCGGGGGAGTGGGAGCAGTTCGAAATCGAGGTTAACAGTCTGGATAAGAAGGGCCCAGTTGGTGAGGCGGGTGGCGACACCGAAATGTTGTAAGCCAACTATAGGGCCACTTGCGACGTTGCTTCGTATCAAGTTTTTAGGCTAGTGCTGGGACAACAAGCGGGCAAAGGCCAGACAGAAAAATAAGATGTCGTGTTCAATGACCCTGACATTAGCCACCATACTCGATCTGAGCCGTCAGTTGTCCAGAAAAGAGAAAGTAGGTAATTAAGAAGAACATGTATCTGGGCAGGACGTCTCCGCTGGATATCATAATTGGGCTTGTATACTTTCCCGCCAAGTAACTTGTTTCAGATCTTCCAGAAGCAGCGCCGTTGCATTGCAATGCTGATGTATATATATATGTAACAGCTTTGCAACAAATGCATGTGTACGTAGAACAGGATTTATTGATTCATGGTGCTGACATATATATCTAACAAGCACCAATTAGATCATGTTGATTGTCCTAAAGCGTACGCGTTCCCAGAGGTTGACCCCGCCTTTCCATCTACATGTGTGTGCAACCTTTGATCACGATCGCGAAGATCAGGCGGAGGCACAAAGAGCATCCAAAACCATACAATTAAAGGCACAGAGGATCTGAGGTTGTCTGCCGTTGAATTCTACAGGTTCTTACACGCAACGTCACACTATCTTTACCTTATACCACTGTAGTCTCACGCGCAATAAAGCGTGGCCAAGAGCTGCAAGTCCGCAGGTACATCATGGTGTACCCGGCCACCATTTTAAATTCTCGAGCAAAAGTGTTTAGGTTTTTGAAGCCGTGCGGATATTGTCAGACGGCCACATCATTCTTGCAGTATATTACTAACGATGCAGCAGGCGGCGAAAATGACTTAATCAGGTGGGAGATGTCCGGCATTCACGAAGAAACCATCTCATCCCGTGCATGGCCTGCAAGATCGTGTGGCAAGGCACCAAAGACTCAGTATCAACAATCGCATATGTGTGGTTAAAAATCATGAAATCAAGGACCTTCTGGACGCTGTTGGAATTCTTCTGCTTTTTCTAATTCTCTGGTGCCTTCTGAAAGAAAGAAACAGTTTGATCGCTCGTACAAGCTAGACTAATGATTTCGAGCTTCTGTAAACGAGCATATCTTTTCTACAGGTAAGAAGCAAAAAGATGTATGAATCAGCAGTAACAGATCTGAGTCGCTGTTGTTTGGGGAATGCTGTGACGTTGCATAGTGGATTCCTTCGTTTTATGACCGTCTCGGCAGCCTACATCTCTCTGAGTCAAAATTCGAGCAAGCTTTGTGCTCAGCCGGCCCCGACTCAAACATCTTACCCATTGATGCTCACTGCTACTTCTCTTCTTCCTCGATTCCTTTGAACCGTTCCCGAGACTCCCTTTCCTGCCTTTTGACGAAGTCCACATACAGCCGATCATGCACCGCGGCGAAGCACGTCGAGCCTTTACAAAAATTTGATCTGCACCCCTTGCATTGCGAACTGCTTCTTTTTGTACGACCAGGACGCCGGCACCTGACCAGTGCCGCTTTCGACGTCTTGTGGCGGTCCTCAAAAGTCGTCTTGATGAGCTGCCTCTCCTGCAGATTCAAAGAGAGGGTCAATCGTCGAACCTAACCGTGATCCGGTCAAAGAGAGGGTCGAGCGTCGTCCCTAACCCTGATTGGTCAAAGAGAGGATGGAGCGGCGTACCTAACCGAGCGGCGTACCTAACCCTGATCGGTCAAAGAGAGGGTTGAGCGTCGTCCCAAACTCTGATCCGGTACTTCAACGAGAAGGTCGAGCGTCGTCCCAAATCCTGATCAGTCAACAGAGGGTTGAGCGTCGTCCGTAAGTCAGCTCGGTCGAAGAGAAGGTGGAGTGGCGTACCTAACCTGATCCGGTCAACGAGATCGACAACACTTGACCTTAGATTCACCATCTTTTATGCATAAGTCACCATATGGTGACGGAGACAGAAGCAAGAGGCTAAAGCTTCTAGAGGAACCGGCTTATGCTATCGTGGTGACGGCGTATGCACATGTTTAGTGAGGATCATGCACACGTTCAGAGAATATCATACTTCTAACTGATTACTGCGATCCTTTTCGAAATCCGTAGTAGGGAACATAAGGAGGACTGGGCATCGAAAGAGTCAGTGAATTCGTCGCGGCTAGCGACTGTTTCCCTTATTCCAGAAGTTCTCCCAGTCTGTGTCCAGTTTCTTTCCCTCGTTCTTTGCTTTTTTGTCTTTGTTCTCAGAAGGCCTCCCCTTGCTGCGCTCACCCTGTTCAAGCAAATCTAAAGAGCTTTTTCTCCTCGTCCAAGGCAAACATGGGGACGTGGACTACTTAAGGAGGCTTCCGGAAGGTCAAAGGTGCTCGATAACAAGTAGAAGTGGCAAGCAATTCTGACTCCAAAAGTTTACTCTTTTGGATGTTTTAGTAAGCAGCACAATTGGTCTCCTTTGAGAGCGTTTCGTGCACATGATGAATAGATGCAGCGGAAATTCCAGCAAGGGATCCCTACTGATCCTCTTATGGGCTCAACTCAAACACCACCCTACGTTTCCAACCCATCAGACTGCTTTCATCCTAGCGCCCAGTTCAATTGATATCAGAACGGAGCTCAAAAGTCTGGTAGAAGCGATTCAGCGCGTGACTCACGTCATGCGCGCGCTGCAGGGGCAGGTCTTCCTTTCCGCGGCTCTCCTTGTCCGAATGCTTTTCCTTTTCCTGAACACAAAGTTTGTCGAGACATTTGTAAGCTTCTCAGGATACTAAGACAAAATCAAGACAGCGGGGGTTCAATAAAGGTGAATCTTCGCATCGGAGGGATAAAACGCAATCTGGTATTGCGGCGGAAATCTAGGGCCCAAATCACTTGACCGAGAATTATCCAGGGCTCGCCGCAGTATGCCACCATAGGATAGAAGAGGGGGTTTTGCTCGATAAAAGGCCAGCTTGCACATCCAATGCGCAACACTGATATCCGTAGGCTTGCCAGCAAGATATTCTGGTGGCTAGCTGGCCGTACCGGGTCGCCCCACGTGGCACTTCGAAAGGCGCCCAAGTAAAACTTTTAGCTTCCCCCATCTCCGATCAGAAATTCAAGATCACAGAACTTGTAGTGTTGCTACAGCGATCATCTGGAAACTTGTGCAATCCCAACTCCAAAAGATTCTGAAATGGTCGTTCAATTTCAGTTGGAGCAAGAAGAGAATTGCCCACAGATTCTCTGTGGCCTCCAAACCCTCATGTCTCACCTCGCCACTCGCTCCCTCCCCGTGTCGCATTGAATCTTGATGCCGCGCCTCTAAAGATTCCCCGCCTATTCCTGAAGAGCGTCCTCTCCCCACATTTTCTCTTACAACCCCTCTCCCAGCTCCCGCGTCGCTTGCTCGGAGACGGGAAACTGCTGCCCTGCGCTTACTGTCGAGCGGGCTATGTCTGCCAGCTCTCGTGTGAGCTCGTCTGCCCTCCTCATGCGGGTCGCTTGCGCCGCGAACGCGCGTTCTGCGTCGGCTGCTCGCGCATCCGCTGTCTTCGCTCTGTCAATCGCCTCTTCCGCTCGCGCGTGTGCATCTTCCGCTCGTGCGCTGGCAATTTCCGCTCTCGCGATGGCTGCTTCCGCCCGCGCGCTGGCATCTTCTGCGCGCGCGTCTGCCTTCTCCGCACGCGCGTTGGCTTCTTCCGCTCGCGCACTGGCGGCCTTGGCCTCTGCACCGGCCCTTCCTGATGTTGCACTCTCTTCTCACGCCCTTTTTTCCGCCTCCCTCGCTTCCGCTTCCGCGATTCCCGCTCTTTGACGGGCTTCTTCCGCCCTCTCAATGGCTTTCCTTGCTGTTTTCTGCGCCTGCTCCGTTCATGCACTCAGACTTTTCGCTCTCTCATCCGCTTCATCCGCCCTCTTATCCGCCTCTTTCGCCCTCTTATCAGACCCGGCGGCCCTCATATCTGCCTCTGCTAACTTCATATCCTTTTCTCCAGCCCTCTTCCGCTCCTCTTCCGCTCTTCCGTTCGCTGCTTCCGCCTCCTGATCTTTCTCTCTCACCAGCCGTCTCGTTCGTGAGAGCTCAACCTCCAATCGCGCAGACCGGGTGTTTGCTTCCGCCGTCTCTAGTTCTGCCGCTTGTCAACGTCCAATTTCGTTCTCCAAGCAGCTCTCAATCCACGCCACACTCCCTTCTACGTCCGCCGCGCCCAAAAGCGGATCGCCCCATGTCGGGTCTTCCTCTGCCGGTTCCGTTTCCGCTTCCTCTCCGCTCTCCGCGCTGCCCCTCTCTGCGTCCATTCCCCAGTTGGAGGTGCCACACAGCTCGGTCGACGAACGCTCTTCCCCAATATTGCTGCGGCTCCGCCCACTTGAATTCCGCCGTTCCGCCGCTTTTCCCCCGCACGCTGCCTCCCGCACTCCATTCTCCTTGGCCTGTTTGCTTTGCTGCCTGACAATATCTCCGGCCCTCTTCCTTTTCCGACCCCAGTCCGTCCGCCCAGATGGCGGAACGCTGTCCTGTGCCCTAGCCCAAAAGCAACCCCCTTTTGCGGTCCTTCTGGGTGTTCTGACCGCCCCTCCATTACTTCACTAGTTATCTCCCCGTGAGTCTCGTTGACTTTCTCAGTGAGAGCGACTTTCAACTTTTTGACCCAAGATCCTTGGGTAAGGGTCCCAGAAGCAGGGGCTCTCTTCTCTACGCTTTCCGGCTGAATCTAGATTGGAGAGCGAAGATCCGTATCTGAGCAAAGCAGATCATCACAGTCTGGCAGATGCTGGGGCTGTTTGTAACTTCCTGCAAAGCGGCAGAGAAAAGAAGAACGCTGAAGGAGAGTAAGGAGCGCAAAAGCTGGTTTTGTCAAAGAAGCGGAACCTGTTTGTGGTTGCAACATCATTTCGAGAGCCCTTTCAAAGCCCCCTGTTCAGCCCTCCGCAACCCGCTCATTGGGTCGCCGAGTCAAATGCCCCTCAAAGTGAAGAGTGATCAGATGAACTGGGCATGCAATTGGAGCTTGACAACGATGCTCTACGCTCAAATGAACCGCTGACCACATTGAGAGCCTATGTCCCTTTCAGCCGCGGCAACTGGATGGCCACAATCTTTTGCGAATGAGGCTATCAAACCCACGTGTTTGAAATGTGTCAGGAGTCCATCCGAAAGTCCATAAGATGAATTGAAAAGAGACTCACTGCAGCTCTGATCAGACGGCTGACATTACAAATCATTTCCAACAAACTGGACTGTTTCAAAAACTGTACAAGCACACCTCAAAAGCCTACTGGGCACAAAAAGGGATCTCTTGATCAGATTAGCTGGCCCTTGTGTGAAGAATTTCATGAAAGCCCGTTCAAGCGTCCTGATTCATTGCAATGGCCATCGTTGATTCTGTGAACTCTGTGCCGCTTCTAAACTTCCTTAAACTTGCAGAGCAACAGGGGTGCTCGATGCCACTGCTGACCACTGCTGCTTTGTCCGCGACCAGATGAAAAAAGCTTTTGAAGACAGGTTCTTAAGACAGCCTTTCAGTAATTGTTGGAGAACTTTTCAGTGATTGTTGGAAGTGTAAGAGATTGGGGCTGGTGGAAGAACGGATCCTGGGACCAAAGTCAGCGTTTTTGCACGCTGAAGACAGCTAGTATGACTTTCCGCAAACGGAGGCGAAAGAAGAGGGGCGCGGCTGTGCCTAATTGCAAAAGCTGCTCTTGCAAATCGACGGGAACCGACTGGCTCAAAGCCCCCACTTTTTTGGACTCTTCTTCTGAAGTGCTGCGGTGGAGATTTACGAAGACCACATGCGAAGACCAACTACGGCGCATCCAGATAATCAAGTACGTGATAAAAGAGTCCATTGCTCTCGAACTGCATGGAAGTCGGATGATCAGGAACAATGATCAAGACAACACTCAACTGATTTTACGCCGAACGACACAGGCACCTACAGTAGCTTACCGATCTCTTACGGAGCATTACGTCACAGCTCTACAAGACTGCGACATCAATTGATGTGAAAGACCGGTCCATGCATGTCCACCCTCTATTGTCCGCATCCATCGAACCTTTTATCCATTCTGCATGATTGGCGCTAAGTGTGAAGAGAGTCCGGTCGATCTGTTGGTATAGCATGCAAATCGACAACTTGCATTGCACTAGTCTCATGAGCACGCTATCTCAAACTATTGTAGAGTGACCTGACACTGATCACTGTAAAGCTCACATTTCTGCCGTGCATCGGTCGTTATGGTGAGCACGAATGACATATGGATCACTGCCTGTCCGCCCAAACATGGACATGGATCACTTTTGAGGCGGGCAGTATCCGCGTCTCGCGCTCAATACTTCGATCAGATGCATAAGCAAATCGAAGGACGTGCCGTGCGGGCCGCTGTCAAAACTGTTCTCGTACCATCACGTGAATCTATTGATCATTATTGTAAGTAGAGGTTGACTCAATTGGATTTTCCCAGGCCCATTCCAGAAAACTTTAGGCTCTTACAACAGATCTCACAACAACTTGAAGCCTGAAAACATCCTTGACTGCCCAAGTCTATTGCACGTAGCCGCTACTCATGGGCTCTAAGAAGCACGCTAGGCGCTGCGGTTCTTGCTTGAGCCCTACCAGCTCTTTCTTAGAGTCGAGGCCGGCAATGAATACGGAATTGTATTCCCCTATCTCACTCGTCCTCTTTTGCTTTGGGCCCCTTGCGCTGTGTCGTGCTTCGCCTGCTTGACAGTAAAGACTACCGTCTGTGTCCCCCGTCCTTCAAGCAACCTGCAAGCGTTGGCCGACAAGTTAGAAACAGCCCTCATGCAGAAAATATCTCACAGTCTGCATTCGATGCACAGACGACCAGAAACCGCCGATGCGCCGTCGCACTTGCACATCGAGTTCCAAATCTGGCTGCAACAACACTTGCAAAGCAGGCGACGTAGTCTTGAGTGGCCTGCAGAGTGCCGCTAACGCCTCCCTCAAGTCTCGAAATCTGAGGCCGATTAAACACATATCAAACCTGAGCCAGTGGGTTGTCTCGCTAAGACCGCTCATTACCGGCGTCTCACGACAAAGGCTTGAGCACAAGACGGACAGAGAGCCCCCTGCAGCCGATAAACTCTTCGGCAAGAAGCGACCTCACCCCGTTGTTGGTCGGGAGAACTTGGCCTCGCAACCGTGGATACTGTCGACCGGGCTTTGATCAAGGTATACTTCGAACCGCCCTGACCTGCAAAGGCCACACCGATAATCTGGTTCCTCTGATGCGGATCGCCGCTGGTTTCGGGCTCTAGATACATGAGGATCTCCACAGCCCACAGAGTTCCCAGTTGGCAAGCCGGAAACGTCCTTGAGGCCGGATATCGGGATCTCTGATGCACAGACGGGTCGCTTGAGACAATCGTTACATCGTCTGGGCCCGCCCTTCTATCTCAGCTGCTTGCCTTACGCCTTTTTAAAGAGACGTTTGTGGTCGAGGAAGATATCAAAGCAAGCATGCGTAAGAGGAAGTAGTACACTGAATGTTAAAAATTTTGATATACTGAATTTAAACGAATTAAACCCAAAATGTTTTAAGCCTGGATGTAGTAAACCTGCCGTTGAAGGGCAGCTCCAGGCGGAAACGAAGGGGACTTGCCCACCTGCCCAGCCACGGCGGGCCACAACGGCTTATGAGACTCTTTTCTTTGTTCTGCGGCCCCAAGTGCACCTCCAGCATCCCCCGCAATAGCGCTTTGAGCAACCTGAGAAGAACGGCAAAGACGAAACGTTCCGCGCTGTGTTCCAGGATCTTCGGCAAGAAACTGGCAGCTTTGTTTCATCGAGAGATCGGCTAAACGGACTCAGGCAATGGAGGTAACACACCTGGAGAAAGATGCAGCTTTGAACTGGTGGGTCGCGTGACCCGCATGCGAAATGAGCAACCATGAAGGCGGGTCAAGCGACCGGGCATCTGGTTCCTAGAGCACCTGCGGTCAGCTGGTTTCCGAGATCTTTGTCGCTTGATAGAGGTGAGAAGCAAACCCGGAAGATTGCCCACATCTAATTCTGAATGAGGCAAGGCGACTGGCCAGTGTAAACACGGACTTGGCATCTTCATCAGAAATGCCGCGTCACTTACGGCGCCACTATAAGAACCCAACGGCAACATTATCAACTTCAGGAAAACATATTACATCCCTCTGGCCTCAGGTTATAATAAGACCACCACAGCATACTACGAACGGCGTGTGGATGGTTGAGACCATGCCCTGCTGGTGTTTGGTGCTTCCTTACCCGAGTAGAGGGAGGCGCCCCGCAAGATATGGGAGACTAGCGGCTCGCGTTCCGCTCCTTGTTGTAGCAAGCGCGGCACAGGAGACGGAACGTGTCCTCGAGGGGGGCATACCAGCGAGAGCTCCACTTTTTCTTGCACTGGCTGCACTGATTTTCTGGGTCTGAGAGCATTGGTTTGTACTGGGGGCGTTGCTTGATGGGGGATCCCCCCCCCATTTGGTCGTGCGGTTCACTCGTTGACACCCTCGTTACACCTTCTCTGTCCGATTGCCCACTAATAACATTCTCGGAGGACAAGTCGTGCAGCCTGTTAATCCTCTCCGTTGGGACTGTCCTCTCTTCCATTTCTTTTGCGAGTTCGTCCGCTCTTGCCTCTGCCCTCGCCGCGGCCGACTCCGCCTTCTCCCGCAGAGTTACTTCCTCGGCCCGTACGAACTCCAGCACTGCGACTCGCGCTTCCGCCTTTCGTCGTCGCGCACTCGCCTCTTCTTCTCGCACACTCGCGACTTCCTCGACTTTCTCGACGAGCGAACCTCTCAACTCCGCCAGTTCCGTTTCCAGCACGCCGGCCCTGATCTTCGCTACCGCAGCGTCCGCCTCTAGTTGCTCCGGACACGGCATCCTTCCCAATCGTTCTGCGAGGTCGTCCGCTTCTCGGCGAGCCACTGCCTCGCCCGACTCTGCTCTCAAGCGCCGCGCCACTTCTTCCGCAACGATTCGCTCCATGTCTGCAGCTCTCACATCCGCGTCGTCCGCTCTCCAGGCTGCCTCTTGCGGGCTTCTACGCGCCTCCTCCGCTTTTCCACGCGCCTCTTCCGCTCGCGCTTCCCCCTTCTCCGCCCTGACGTCAGCTTCGTCAGCCCTCACAACAGCTTTATGCGCCGCTCGGGTCCTCTCAAACAGCAGCAGCCGCATGCGCGTTACTTCCTTCTTTAGCCCAACAGGCGTGTCGCGATTCCCCGCAATACTGGCGACGACCGTATCCAGCTCTCTCGCAAGTCGGTTTGCGTTTGCTTTCGCCAGTGCCTCGCCCGTTTCCGCCCTCGTTCAACGAGCAACTTCGTCGCCCAGTGCCCGCTCAACGGCCCAGCTTTTGCAATTGCTTCTTCCGCTCTCTTCTCCGCTTCTTGCGCTCGCTCGTTCGCCTCTTCAGCTACTGCCATCGCCTCTCCCACCGCTAGACCCTTCTTTGCAAGAACTCCTCGCAAAGGCGTGACCTCCGCTTCCGCTTTCGCAGCCTGGCGTTTGCCCCCGCGGCGTCCGCTTCTGCCGCCTCCCTATGCAACACCTCGCTGTTCCACCGCACAACTTCGGCTTCCAAGCAACTCTCTAGCCACGCAACCGTCTCTCTCACATTCCCCTCACCTAAAAGCGGCTCACTCCGCTTCCGTTTTCCCGTCGCTGATTCCTTTCTCTCGGGCGTTGCGAGAGCCGCATCACAACCTGCCTTGGGGCATTCGTCGGATTCCCCTTGCTCCAGACTGAGACCTGCCTTTCCAGTTGTGGCGCCCTCAACCGCCCATTTGCCCGATTCCCCTTCCACTTCCTCCGTCCTCTTTCTTTTACGACCCCGCTCACCGGTTTCCACCCCCCTCAGTTGTGAGAGCACTGCCTTCTGCCATTGGACAGTTTCCCCTCCCGCAGCGCTCAAGACCCGGTCCCTTTGTGCTGCCTCTGCAAACCTCTCCCCTGGCAGCCCCCGTACTTACCCGTTTTTCAGGGTGCCCCCTCAAGTTTCAGCGTCTCACTGGGTAAGAACGCCATTGCTCTTCTCCTTGAGCTTGGCCAGATTCTGAAGTGCTCCCGCTCATAGTACAAGACTCATAGGGAAGTGGGTTCTCACCGACGTTGTGTCTGCAGAAGTGAAATGGGGTAAGAGAGGGGTTTGGGGAGGGGTTCAGGGAGACTACAGTGATTCAGGGCTCTGCCGCCAAGTTGCTCCACTGACTTCATGAAACGCACAGGAGGTTGAGAGGAGCAAGGGACACATGGACAAATGCTGCAGGAAGATGAAAGAAGACATGCTCTGAAGCAGCAGGAGAACTGAACATCTAGCCAAGACTGTAAGACACACAAGTTGAGTTTGACTTTGACAGAGAATCAGTGAGTCAGATCCCAGACAAACAAGGGCTTCGCGTTTGCAGGCATTCAAAAAGAGTTCCCCCAGCAGTGGGGACTGGCCCACTGAATTGCGCCCACGTGAAAGGGCCCATTGAGCAGACATCACCACTGAGATTGTACTTTACTTGCTTTCCCTTCTATGTTTGTCTGTTGGAGAGAAGGTGCAGACATATGAGGTCCCCCTTGCATTATGGACACAGTCGAACTTGCGGTCATACTTTGAGAGGGCACTACTCAGGAATGTAAAGTTCCGTAAAAGTAACTACCCCAGTAATACTGTCAACGTGAGGTCGTGAAATTAAGGCACCGTCGTCAGCTTTCACAATCAGCCAGTAGCCTACTGACACATTGCATTAGCCCGCGCACGCAGACACTCACAATGCTGCAAGAGCAGACCGTCCCTGTTCTTGCACAACACCTTCTTCAGTGGTCCTCCCGAAAGCAGCTCCTCTCATAGGGGTGCCAATCCTCTCACACTCTCTGACACAGCATCTTCTATGTCTTAGAGGTCCTGCCCCTCTGATTACTTCAGCTCAATGCAGCTGGGGACAGCTGGCCATTGCTATGACTTCTAGTGACAGCGCCAGGGAAGCTAGCAGAGCTGAGGGCCAAGCAAGGAATGCTGCCAGGTTCCAGCAGCCTTCATGGGTGATGGGATGCTTGTCCAGGAGAGCTGCCGGCCAAATGCAAAAGCGTCCCTCATTCCATGCGGCTCTCCATTATGCAGCCAAGGCAGGGGCACTGTCAAACAGCTGGCTATATTAAACCATGGGTTAAAATGCTTAACCAGTCTGGAAACCCTCCATTCGGGGAGAAGAGGGTATTCCGGTTTGGCTACCCAAACCGCGGAAGAATGCGGAGCGACCGGAATCCGCAGGAGGTGGGTAACTAGGGGAGAACACTGCTCGAGCGTACTGCATATATTCTCCAGGGACCACAAACCCAGACGGTTTAGAAAGCTCAAACAATCCATATTGAGCTGCTTATACAGGACTGATCTCCACCCCCAATCTGCCAGCCTCAGGCTTCGATATGTGATCGGCTTGTCTCTGATCCACGATGAAAGCTCCATTTGATAACATAGTAGGATAAAATAACACACCGCGGGATAATCACTCGGAGGATATGCATGCAGATTGGCTCGCAGCATGAAAGGTCTCATTAGTCATAAGAGAACAGGCCGTTAATCCGTTCCAGCCTGTTCATTTGTTTAACTCACAATTGCGCCTGCCAGGGCCACCTTACGTAGCCGTACTTCCTCAGCAAAACCGATTCAGATGGATACATTGGGTAATGGGTCAAAATGTGAGCTTAAATTTCAGAGCTTTACCTCCTGCTTTACCTGATTTCATAGTCACTGGCACGTTTGCAACCGAGTCATTTGGGTCGTGATTTGTGCCGTAGTTGCTCATGTGCAGTTTCACGGGTAGCCCTTGCCAATCCGACAAGGCACGACTACGGCTACGCTCTGCTCCTCTTACATCCTTGAACATCTTCGGAAAACTACCAAGTCGGTGAACTGCGGCACGTTTTCGACGTGACCTTCGCTTCTCGAATTCCTCACATGAGTCGTGCAAAACCCCGATCATCTATCCTTCTGGTTCATTCTTCGTTTCTCCAAACCGGGCTTCGCTTTGCCATCTCGACAGGACCGGCCCTTGAGTGAGCATCAGAACCCAACGACTGCAATAACGGAGAGATCGGTCAACAACAGCCCACAGGTGCGTGGCTCTGGCCGTGTATCGAGTTGAATATACGAAGGGTCGTGTTGCAGGGCACTGGGACAATCAAATGAGATTTGAATGTCATAGACAAATTGCGTATTCGATTGATCGTTCATCAAGCTTGGGCGAGTAAGGGAAGCTCAAAAGAAATCCGATCGCCTGAGCATCCGAAAAGCCCAATACGCGTCAGAATGACGAGTTGAATATCCGAAACGCTGAGATTTAAACGGTGAACATTGCACCCAGATGCGGACCACCCTTTGTATTGACTACGATTTCCTGCTTGCCAGCCAGATTGAGCACGCAACTGCCCAGATCGTTTCGTCAAACCGAGCAAACAAATGCGTTCTTTGTAACCTGGAAAAGACCGCCTTTCCATAAGCGGCCAGGCATTCAAGGCTTGATTTCTGCATAACTTATCGTAATTCTATCCAAGAAGCGCCCGCATCGCATTTTCTGCCAACTTGTCAGCTGCTTGGGTCCTTAATGGAAGGAATCGACGAACCAGATCAGACGCGAAGAGATTGGTCATGAATTGTGTCTATACGATGAAGCAAACCCCGGACGCTACGCCTCACACTCAAAATACTGGACGTCAAGCACACATGCCGTGAGCAACACATTCGAACTGCATCTACTACCACCGATCTCGAACGGCCTCAATTGAAAGAACAATTCGAAGCTCAGAGCCTGCGAAATCGGGCGTGACCTAGGACCGTCTGAAGGTGCAAGTAAAGCTGACAACTACGGACACAAGCGAGGCTTGAGAGAGGCTCAACTATGAGCTGTTAACAAAGCGGGTCGCCGAGATCGTTGGAATTTTGCTTCGCACGCATAATAGCAAGAAGCCGGCGGACGGACCCCAATGTTTGATGAGATTGGCGAAGATAAAATGAGCCTAGACAAAGAAAATGTTCGAATCTACGAAAGCTTCTGCAAACCGTGGCGCCTAAAAGCGGAGTTGCATTCCTACTTACCCGCCTATTGATGCGCAGCCTTCACCGCCGGCTCTTTTCCCCCACGCCGTTCCGCTGAGACGGAGGGACGCCGTTCCGCTGAGCCGGACGGGCACCCGACACGCCGTTCCGCTGACCCGGACCGGCATTCGCCCCGTTCTGCGGAGCTGGACGGACATTCGCGACGCTATTCCGCTGCACAGGAGGGACGTCGTTCTGCTGTGCCGGACGGCCATTCGCCACGCCGTTCCGCTGCTCCGAACGGACCCCTTTTCCCTCTGAAGGACGGGCATTCGCCGCGCCATTCCGCTGAGCCGGACGGACGCCGTTCCGCTGAACCAGGCCGGCTTTCGCCCCGTTCCGCTGAGCTGGACGGACAGTTGCCACGCCGTCCCGCTGCACAGGAAGGACGCCGTTGGGCTGGACCGGGGGGGCGTTCGCAACGCCGTTCCGCTGAACCGGACGGGACTTTGCCGCGCCGTTCCGCTGAGCTGGACGGATTGTTACCACGCCGTCCCGCTGCAGAGGAAGGACCCTGTTCCGCTGACGAACCGGGGGGGCGTTCGCCACGCCGTTCCGCTCCGGCGGACGGAAGCCATTCCGCTGAACCCGGGGGGCGTTCGCCACGTCGTTCCGCTGAACCGGACGGGATTCCGCCGGGCCGTTCCGCTGAGCTGGACGGACGATCGCCACGCCGTTCCGCTGCGTGGGACGGCCGCCGTTTCGCTGCTCCAGATGGACGCCGTCCCGCTGAGCTGGAGGGGCATTTGTCAGGCCATTCGAGTCCGCCGGACGGACGCCGTTCCGCTGAGCCGAACCGGCCCTCGCACGCGCATTAGTTACCGTCGGGGTGGCAACCGCAAATTTTGCGCCACCTAGTTGCGCCCGTGCCCGTTGCCCCGTGCCATAATCGCTTCCCGTTCGGTACGTGGCAATCTTCAAAGCTAATTCCACTGCAAGTCCGCCCGCTCGCTCCGCATTCCACTCGGCCTTCCGAAGCCCTTCGTTTCTGTCCACGAGCAAGCTTGTTAGGCGGGCAAGAGCGGCGACCTTGACCTGCGCGATCGTAGCCTCTGCGTCGCCGTTTATAGGACCATCCCGCGACAACGCCAACCCTTTGGCTTGCTCATTTGCCTCTGAATGCGCGCGCATCCGCGAGGTTGAATCATTCGCAAGCGAGTGCCCCCCAGCTTCTTCGGCTCTTGCGTCTGCCCGCGTTGTCTCCGCAACCGCTTCTTCCGCTATCTGTGTCTCCGCTTCCGCTTTCCCTGCTTTTGCTTCCGCTCTCCGTGCTTTCCCTTCTGCTCTCGCTTCGGCCTGTTCCGCTCTTGCGTTTGCTTCTTCCACCGCTCGATCCTTGTCCTTGAGCAAACCTCTCATGCCATCAACCTCCGCTTGCATCTCAGCAACTTTCACATTTGCTATGGGAATCACCGCTTCTACTTCTCCCAGACGGCTCTTCATCTCTTCCAGTACTTTCGCAAGACCGTCCGCATTTTCTCGCGCCTTCGCCGCAGCCGTTTCCGCACCCATCCGGCGCGTCATTTCGTCGGCGAGACTACGTGCCAGTTCTGCCGCTTCCGCCTCATCCGCAGCTTTTGCGTTCGCCTTTTCCGTTTCCGCTCTGGCCTTCTCGCGTTCCGCCCTCTCTGCTCTCGCCTCCGCTTCGTCCACCGCTCGGCTCTTCTCCAAAAGCAACTTTCTCATGCGAGATAGCTCTTCAGGAATGCCCACGTAAAATCCAGCTTCACCGTTTTTGATCTTTTCCAGCTCTTTTGCAAGGGTCTCCGCGCGCGCTTGCGCCGCCGCCGCCCCCGACTCCGCTCCAATTACTCGACCCGTCTGCCCGGCACACGCACGCATATAGGCCGCCGCCCTCGTATTCGCCTCTTCCAACCTCTTATTCGCCTCTTTTGCTTTCCGCTCCGCAGCCTCCGCTCTGGCGTTCGCTTCCGCCGCCGTCTTCTCCGCATAGCCCGCCCTCGTTTCTGTTTCTTCCAACCTCTTCTTCAATCTGTTTACTCTCTTATTCACTTCGTCCACCCTCTTATCCGCCCCTTCCGCCCACTTATCCCTTCTCTGAGGTCCCTCTTCCGCTCCTTCCTCTCCATCTCCCGCCCTCGTTTCTGCATCTTCAAACGGCTTATGCGATCTCTTTAATCTCTTATCCACATCGTCCACCGTCTTATCCACCCCTTCCGCCCGCTTATTTATTGCCTCAGGTCCCTCTTCCGCTCTCACTTTCATTTTCACCTTCGCATTTCTCTTTGCCTTTCCCTCATCCACTGCAGAATCCTTCCGAGCGATCAAACCCCTCACCCGCATCAACTCCGCTTCCAGCTGCGCAGCCCTCATTTCCGCTTCCGCCCCTTCCGCTTCCGCCGCCTCCCTTCGCACAACTTCGTCGTTCCAGCGAGCAGCTTCGGCCTCCAAGCAGCTCTCCAGCCACGCCAGACCCGCCTCCAGATTTTGCGCGCCCAGAAGGGGCTCGTTCCGCTTCCGTTTCCCTTCCGGTCCGCATCGAGCCGCCAATTCCGCCCCGCACTCAAAAACACTGCAGCTCCTACTTGCCAGGCCTGCTTCCTTGCTATGGCCAGCAAAACAGTCAAACCCTTTCAACGTTTCCGGCTCCTCGCATTCTGCCTCTCCCAGTTTTCTGCTTTTCAGAGTCGGTTCGATCTCCTCCTTCACCAGTCTTTCCGGCCTCCTTCTTTTTCGACCCCCCATTGTTGCGGCCGTTTTCTCAGCCGCCAGATCGCTGCCTCTGGGTATTGGTGGTCACTCGCAGGTTCTCATTGCTGACTGTGCACGGAGGAATTCACTCGGAATTCCTGCAGAGCATATGCTGCTGTTGGAACACCTGTCCTGGTCATGGACCCGTCAAATTCTTGCCACTCTCCGCGTCTGGTCGAGCGGATTTTGCGGGCGGAAGCAGGGCTTGTCATCGGAGACACAGAGATCTCGAAAGGAGTCTGCAGAAATAGCAAGAAATCAATTTGAGGGTAGGCAAGGGTTGTATTCGGTTGAACAAAGAGGACAGTCGATATGTCACAAGTCTGCCTGAAGAGAGTTACAAAACGAGTGCAGCTAATCCGTTGAGCACATCAGAAAGACCAGGGTACTTGTAAAACGTCTTGACACATTGTCCTTCATCTATGTGGACTGAATGCACACCCTCCTGTCAATAATGAGGTCAGTCATCGAGACCAGACATCACCAGGTGGAGCCAAACCCAGATCCTATTCCCGCACAGGATGTTTTAGCCTTGAGACCCTTCACCACTTGAGTTAATCACGTCAGGAGCCCTTACAAGGGATGAGGTCTTTTTCATCCTACCTTCAATTGGTCAGAAGTTCCAGCATAGGACAACAGCCTTTGAGCCCATTACTTCAAATCCCAATGCTAGAAGCGGAAAGAGACCTTGCAAGCATAGCAACTCCCTTTGATTAGCTGTCACTCTTGAACCTGGTACCTAATCACCACCATTGATGCTGAATCTAACAACAGCTTCAAAATCCATTCAAAGAGGCCATTGCGACACTCGCCGACTACTCCAATCAGATCGGCTGGAGCTTTTGAAGTTCACCGCAGAAGACAGCTGAGGCATGCAATCCGCCCGCATTTTGAACATACCCAGATGTTGTGCCTGGGCTTGTGAATCATGTTCAAAATGCAAGTCAACATATCTGTGCCGCCCACTCTAGTTGATTGAAAAACTTTGTTGCTACAGAGGGAGGGTTGAACGAGGCTGAAGCTAGGGACTGCAAACAATTGGCTGTTGTTGCAGCTGACCGTGCATGAGGATCTGCTAAACAATGCGGAGCGAATACCGACGAAAGAATGAACACCAACGACCAAGTCAGCTTTCTGCATTCTATGACAGATGTCCTGCGCCACAGAGAGCTAGCCGCCGGGCAAACTTGACAGCGCTGCCGGATGCGCGCAAGTCCCTCTTGAGAGCGGCTGCACGAAAAGATTGGCCGCCTATCCGGATTCAAGGGACTGCGCTTGGAGTGAAAATACAGTGCTACATAAGATCTAGATTTCTCTCCGTGCAACGTGACCGTCTTGTGCGAGAGTCCGATCGTCACGCTAGCTAGGATGGCCTGACCATGCGAGAAAGCGATGGCACGATCATGCGGCTGGCTAGCTCGAACATCACGCTGTCTGAGACATGATTTGTGCACTCAATTGACTGTGAGTGCAGTCGGGTTTTCAAGGGGCCAAACGACTCGCACGAACTTCACCCACACCAGTCGGAACTTCGCAGGCCAGGCACTGACTCACATGTCTATCTCTGCATTAGAGGTTTCTCGCCTGCCTCTTCCTGATTGCCCTACTAGCATTGTAGAGATCTGAGATTGATTAATTTGGCGCAACTCGATTCGCCATGACCAGAATATTTACACGTTGGCATTTCTGGATCAGCAGGCTTAGGTCGAACATGCTCTTCTGCAACATTTATAAAAGGTATTTGACATGGTAGGCTGGATCTGGACCGGCCTCGATGCTCTCAATACTCTCTGATACAATATAAGCCTGGGCATATTCAATCATGCATGGCTCAGTCTTCAGCGCATGCGCTCCAGTGGCGCGCTAGAGCTCCCCAGCGTACATTCATGCTTAAGAATGATGCGCACCAATGAGTCGCCCACATGATCTGTATAGTATTTTGCACTTTGGCCCGCAGCATCGAAAGCGCCGATGTTCGTAATACTCTTGTCAAGATAATGATTTGTCACAGGCTGCAAATCAACCCATCACACAGTTGAGCCTTCAAGCCTAGGCCGGGCAGCCCGCATACTTAGTCGACCACTCTTACGAAATCCATGCGAACAGATAGAAGGGGAATTGAACCGTTCGGAAATGGCAACTTTTGTTTCTAGTTGCCAAACCTCACAAGCACGATTACAATCATCCAAAGCTTTTGTGTCGTAGTTAGGTAAGGCTGTGCACTTGCTTGTAGCCCTTACCGCTACGACGAGGCATGACTGCGGTTATCAAAGTTCTCACAATCTTGACCAACTCCAAGAAAATATGGGACGCCTTCCGCAACCTTGCTCAACACGACGTCACAGAAGTCGGGCATCGCCACCCTCGGGGCCCCGGGAACGTTCCGACAATGCTTCTTGCGATTTTTGTTTTCAACCCAGGTTTGCTTTTCTCCAAGTCTAGCCCAGAGAGGACTATGAAGAAGCACTGGGATCCGAGACCTGCAACAACGAAAAGCACAAGGGACAGAGAATCAAAGTCGCGTGGCTCTTGTAATGAGTTCACAGCACACAAATCGAGCACCTCACTGCCGACGATCAGCGGCGATCTGGAGCTGGCCGAGCGGATCACCCAGATTGGACAACTTTAGACGCAATGTTTAAGGGCATTGATCAACTTGGGGATATTGATACCTCAGATACGCGCCAGCCTGAGGGGTTTCTGTCCAATCGGCCGTACACTCAGCAAAATGCACCAACCTTCACAGCATTTGCTGATTCACCGTTTTCAAGCAATGGAGAGCCAACTCAACTGATAATTCCGAAAGGCCACACGGCCAGATTCTACTCTGTAGACTGACGGAACAAATCCGCAAGAGGACCGTGCCAGACGAGCGAGGCACACGAAGCGTACTCTGATTGCGGACTCACCGAGATCCGCTTATGGAGCGCCCGGGCCAGCTTCTTCGAAAGAGGTCAACTGCAGCCACCTGAAATGACGGAAACAGCACACCAGATCAAAACTTGACCCGTTTTCTGAATGACAGTGACCTTTGAATGAACCAAACCAAACCAAGCTTTCACTGAACCCACTTTCCATGAAGCCCGGGACGCGCATTGTCAAAAAGGCAACAACACTTGACAAAGCAGAATTAGGTTTTGCAGAGGAGCGGACGTGAGCACAGGGCCGCAGGCATGAACCATCTCAGGGTGAAAGTAAACTTGGGAAATAGGGACATAAGCGAAACGCGAGTGAGGCTCAATACGAGACCACAGAACAGTCGTCAGAAGGGCTGCATTGAACGCTTAAACAGCCGACAAGCAAACCCCTGAGACTCCGGAATCGCAGCTGCAACAAAGCTGCCAAGATATCCGGTTTACCCCATGGAAATCTGTGGACTCCCCTTGAGTAGAACAACCGTAAAACTGGCACCCGTTCCTTTACCCACCTAATGCTGCCCAGCCGCTACCACCGGTCTTACTCGTCCCACGCCGTTCCGCCGTTCCGGACGGGCAGTTGCGCGCGCAACAACCAGCGACGGAGAAGCAACCGCGAAAGCCCGATCAACTGAATGCCCTGGCACCACTTGCCCCGTTCCTGGACCGCTTCTCGCCTGGCAGGCGGCTATCTTCGCAATCTCCATCGCAAGTCCGCTCGCTCGTGCTTGCGCCAACGCCGCCGCTGACTCCGCCTTCCGGAGGGCTTCGTTCTTGTGAACGAGCAAGCTTGTCACACGAGCCAGTTCCTTCTGCATTGCGGCGACCTTAGCCTGCGCGATCGCAGCCTCTGCGTCGCCGTGTTTTCAACACTCCCCCGGTTGCGCCACTTTTTTCGCATGCCGATTGCCTGTTTGCCCAATTCCTGCCGTCGACTGTGCCCGGACCCGCTGTGTCAAATCCTCAGTGACCGAGTCGCCCGCTTCTTCGGCTCTTGCACTTGCCCAGTTTGTTCTCGCAATCGCCTCTTCCGCTCTCCGTTTTTCCGCCTCTTCCGCTCTGGCTTTTGCTTCTTTCGCCGCTCGATCCTTCTCAACAAGCAACCGTTTCAGGCCAGCAACCTCGGCTTGCATCCCGGCTAACCTGGCGTTAGCTAAGGCGCTGACCGACTCCGCTGTTTCCGGACGGGTCTTACATCGCTCCAGCTCTCTGGCAAGACCGTGCGCATTTTCTCGCGTGATTGCGGCAGCCGTCTCCGCACCCACTCGACACGCCACTTCGTCAGCAAGATTGCGTTCTCCTTTCCCAACTCTCGCACTCGCAACGCCCAAAACATTTGCGCGCGCTAGATCCATTTCCGCTTTCTCCGCTCTTGCATTCGCTTCGTCCAACGCGTGGCTCTTCTCCAGGAGCAACTGTCTCAGCCTGCCGGCCCCGACCATCTCAAGGCCCTTTTCGGCGTTCTTGGTCTGTGCCAACTCTCTTGCAAGGGCATCCGCTCCTGCTTGCGCCAGTGCCGCCACAGCCTCCGCTCTAGTTACACGACCCGTCTGCTCAGCAAACGCACGCGTAAAGGCCGCTGCCCTTGTATTCGCCTCTTCCATCCTTGTCGTCGCAGCTTCCGCTTTGTTCTTCGGAGCTTCTGCTGCGACCTTTGCCTCCGCCACCATCTTATCGGCGTCTTTCAACCTCTTATGCACCTTCTCTGTTCGCTCATCCATGCCCTCTGCGCCCATCTTTGCCCATTCCGACCCCGTTTCCGCATCCTCAGGTCCCTCTTCTGCTCTTGCTTCCACTGACGCCTTGGCAAACTCCACTCCCCTCCTCTCATCTACTGCTGGGTCCTTCTCGACGAGCAGACCTTTCAACCGGATCACCTCCGTTTCCAGCTGCGCAGCCCTTCTCTCCGCTGTCGCAGTGTCCGCCTCCGCCGCCTCCCTTCGGACAACTTCGTCGTTCCACCGCTCAACTTCGGCCTCCAAGCAGCGCTCCAGCCACGCCAACCCCGCCTCCATATCCTGAGCGCCCAGAATCGGCTCGTTCCGTTCCTCTCGTCCTCCTGCCCCCTCTTGAGCAAAAAATTCTGCTCCAGATACCACATGGACGCAGCCTCCAGTGGGCATAATCGCTTCCCCTCCTTCCCCACCGCTTTCCTCACCCATCGAGCAAGCCCCTTCCAACACTAGCCGCTGGCATGTTGTCTGTCCCAGTTTTCTACTCTTCAATGCCAATTCATGCTTCTCCTCCACCAGTCTTTCCGGCCCTGTTCTTTTCCGCCCCCCCATGACTGCGGAATCATTAGCAGGGTTCTTATTGCTGGCGGCAGGCAAAGTAACTCCACCTGGTTTTGCAGCACAGCGGATGCTGCTGACGGATCGTATCTCCTGGTCGCTGAACCATAAAGTCTCCACCACCCTCCGCGTGCAGTGTAGCTAATATCACGGGCGGCTGAAGGGCTGGTCACTGATGACGCGCAAACCTTCAAACAGCCTGCAGAAGTGGCAGGATTGCTTGTCAAAATCATACCACAGAACGTTTATGTTTGACTGACTGCAGGAAAAGTATAGTGTGACTCGACTCTGCCTGAGTGTGGAAACAAAGCGAAGCCGGCCGATCTGACATAGGCACACAAAGAGGAATAGGGGGTTCTTAGGCGATATTGACCAGTTCTCTTTATCTTGTTGGTATGAACGCATAAGCTACCAGTCAAAGTATGGGCATCGTCCAGCTCAGACAAGACAAGAACACTGTGAGTACTAAGTAGCCCAGAGAGGAACAATCACAGACAGTTAAAAGGGTGAACCTTTGCGAAATCAAAGCCACCAGAACTTTGAAAACTAAGTTCACTCTCCCAACTCTGTGTCTGGGAACTGAATCAGCTCAGAGATGCCCCCCGTTCTTCTGTAGACAAAATATGATGAGGAGATTTGCGCCCCATCTCTGTCTTCTTTCAATCAGAAGACTGACTGCTATGCTATACATAAACTCCCGTGTATCAGATCCAAGGAGCCAAGCTTCAGCAGAAAGACAAGAGCCGCCTGACAGAATCACTGACGTCTGCCTCGGGGCACGTGCGCTCTTTGTGAGCCCTTCGCTTCTCAACTGATGCAACTAGATTGGAAAAGTACACAAGTATCAAATGTGCAGCCTTGCAATGGGCCCAACTGTCTCAAAAGCGGAGGCGCCCCCAGCTGCGTTGTGAGACTATATCAAAAGGGACAATATACAAGATCTCTTGCAGAAGATTTTATCTTAGTGCCCCAACAATGCTGTTGTACTTCGTGGGTTTGCCAGCAGCCACCACCACCTTTTTCTGTGTATAAGCAATGTTCAGCTCACCACCAGATTTTCTCTGCGAGCGCACAGCAATACGTACAATGCTGTGAAAGCAAGCGGCCCTTAAATAGTTCTCCAAGTTGGTTGAAGATGCAATATTGCTCATTGTAGATGCATTGCTTGTTCTCAAGCCTTTCAAGAATTGACGCCGAGCTGGGACTTACATTATCACAAATGCAATTGCTCCTTCGCCGCGTTCTGCAGTGCGCCTTCCCCACCCTCTGCCACTCAGAGACTATTGCTTATTTCAATACCCCTCACGTCTTCCTACTATGAGAAGGCTAATGAGTGTCAATTCTGCATTCAGCGGGGTGTTGATGTAATCGTGTGCAGGTGCTTGCAACACAATGCTGTTCAGCTGCCTCCGCCAGCTGTCAGAAAGTCAGAAGGCAACTACTCTATCATCTATGTCCACCTCTCGGCCTCATGAACACTCCCAATGGAGCAAAACCCAGAAGCAAGCTGTGTAACTGAGCTCTGACTCTGACTCTGACTCTGAGTCTTGCTTCTTGCAGTGGGCAGAATTGAAGCCGCGCGGGCCCGGGGGGTGCGGGGTGCGCAGCCCCCCCGTCCCTTTTCACAGCTGTACTTTGCAAAATGAGTCTATAACATTTTTATGGTGTTTAGGGCCAATCGGATCAGGGGATGTAGCTCAGATGGTAGAGCGCTCGCTTAGCACGAGGTCATTACGACGTCAGCACTTGCGAGAGGTATTGGGATCGATACCCAACTTCTCCACACTATTTTTGGCATAATTGTGGGCGGTTTGGGCACTTTTTGCCCCGTTCTCTACACAGCGTACCATTCTCCTAGGCAAAACGGGGGGGCTCCGCCCCCCGCCACCCCTCCCGCTCTCCTTCTAGCTGGTCCGAATTAAGTGCCAGATCTCGAGTCCGAGTTATTGGAGCGCTTGATGACTATTTGATGCTCTAGGGCTGCCAGAGGTTTTCACCGCAAGCAGTGCAATTACCAGGGCGCCCCTCTTCTTGAACCACCGCTTAATACCTTGGAAGTATCCATTTTTTTCGTTATGACATATCGCTCTCGCTTGTCAAAGAACGTTCTCATTGGTGCAGCTTTGGGAAAGCTTACAGTAGAGGGGTATTGTCCTGAAACGCACCGCCGCAGTTGTAGCCAAAGATTAGGTAGAGACTCTCAGCAGATCGGTGTCTCTCAGATCCTCAGGCTTCCGGAGACGAATGATTCCGGCACTGGGGTCTTTAAAAGAGACTACCATAGGAGAGTGTAGACTGCGGATCAGCGAAGTCTTTAGGAAGTGCTAAGTTGGCTTCAGTCTTCGAGAGGCGAAAACAAAAAGTTGGCAACCGATCAAGACTTGAAGAAACGACTATCAACCTGCCTGCCACACAATTCAACATCTGAAAGCGCTTCAAACGAAAAGAGCCCGAAACGAGGATACGGATCCGAGCTAAAAGTTTGAGATGGCACGTTAGAGGCCGTTCCAACTTTTCAGCTTTTTCACCTCCTCTTATAAGACTTATAAGCTCAGTGGCTTCTTTCCAGTATTAGTGAGGCGGCCTACAAGGGTTGCCAATGTTGAAGGCATAGAAGCCGGTGCATCCAAGTGTTCCGATTCAAGTGTACGGTGCCCATAATACCTCGTTGGCGAACTTGAAGTATTTCTCATAGAAGGTCATTTGGCTCACCTGATTGGACCAGAACCTGCCTTGTATGTGTGCAAGTTTTCTGCAAAGTGTAAAAGGTGCACGCTGGATCGACCACGCCATGACATTCTGAATATCAACTGTTCATGCAAGAGCATGCTCTCTATGCAAGATACTGGCACATCGATCTGGACGTGGACGTACTAAGCAGGCCTCAGTGATGATGATAATGCGAGCCCATCCTCAAGTCACTGACGTCAACAGAATGCACGAATGCATGCCTTAGTGACCCATATACCTGAGATCGCGGACAAGTTGTAGATTTAACCTTCTGATAGGGCTGCAGTGCATATACGAACCTAGAGGCTAAGTTCCTGCGATCATTCCTCATAGTAATTCCGGATGGATCAGTGCCGGGCCATGCCGAATCATTGATTGTCATGCGGCGAGTGCTTACCGAGTTCGACACGTGACAATTACGTCCGCATGATAAAGCAAAGATATAAAAGTTTGATTCAGATATGATGATGCTAGCATGTGCGTGTGCTTCGCGATCTCAATGACTCTAGAAAGCTCGAAGGCTAAGAGGGCACCGTGTGCACGAAGTCGTATATATACGATCAATGAAGCAAGCCGTGCATGTAGGTATAGCCTGACACCATGACTTGGACATGCAGTTGCCAATCGTAGACGCGCTCACACATGCCAACTGTCGAGTTTCATTGATGTACGTTCTCTTTTATCTGCCCATGACCATACCAGCCCGGTGGGCCACGCAGCTATCACGGTTATAAGCGACACAACATCGTGTCCAACCTCAAGCGGCAACTTCAACCAGAAAAGCAATCAAATAGCTGTGAAAAAGCTCAAAGCAACGGAATGCGAATGCATAAATTAAGCCGTTCTTCACATGAGGGATTCCAAACGTCAGCCAGATTTCGATATGGAGGGGCGTGCGACCTACATAGACCTACTTCTGCTTGGAGAACAATTCTCACGTTGACGTCCATTAAAAGAACCAGAGACTCAAGCACCTTTGACCGTCTCCTATCCACTAACTCGGCTCCTCACGTCGTTTGGTACCCCTGTACCGACTCTGCTCGTATATGGTGCAGCCAAACGAGATGAAGGACGCTGGCTACCGTCACACAGTAGTGGGCTAAGTGATGATCGGCAAGGGCCCACTGCACATTAGAAAGACGGGCGTGAGAGGCCTGAAATGAAAAAACCCAGGCGATTTGTTGGACGTAGCAACAGAATATATAATCTAAAGCGTCTGCAACGTCTACTAATTTGCTTAAGCAGAAATACATTCGTACCAATAGTTTCGGTGTGAATCCTGCCGCTCGAAGCATGTGTGACTCACTGTTTGCAGCAGGCCAAAAGAAGCAGATTCGTAGCACATAAAGAGAGCCGCGTAGGTTGGCGTACCTTGCTCCGGTGGTGGTTCCCGCCCTTCAGGAAGAGGAACGCCACGCTCAAGTAGAGTGCCAGCTCAGCCAGCATGATCTGCGGACGAAAAGGTATGCGCTTCTCAAAAGCTGAGGGTAACTTCCTTCGTTTTTGTAAGGAAGTTATGAGCGAGCTATAACGCACGAGTGCAGTTACCAGTGCCGAAACAGAAAGCGAAAGCTGCAAACCGAGTGACACTCGGCTGGGTTATTTGAGACGGTCGTCACAGAAGTAGGGAACGTGTTTCATCTTCCACTCCTCAAGCCAAGATAGGATCAGAAGGATCAAAAAATAGAGAATTCTCGAAGAAAACACGTCGGGAGGCTTTCTCAAAGTTAGCGCCATCTATTCAAAACAAACTTACGCAGATTAAGCTGATTGAGGCCATCTGGAAACGCGGAATCACCAAGACAAAAGGACCGTACAGCTACCCTCCCCCGGACGCACCTGTCCTAGCGTGAAAGGATCCCGGCCCCTCACCACTTCCCACAGCAGATGCTGGTACACGCCTAAGAGCGCTATTGAACCCGCTACGAAACCGAGCACGCGAGGCTCGTCCGGAAGCACGGCTGCGGAACCAATGGCCGGGATGATGTACTTGGCATAGAGGCGGCCGCCGAGACGCCAGCTGAGGGCCTCGTCGATGCTCAGGGGGGTACCGACGATGAGGAAAACCTGGGGGGGAAGAGGGACGCGAAGCATTTGCATGTGTGCACTCGATGGAGACTGTTGTGGGTCGGAGGTGCAAATCGCCGTTTCGACTATCTGGAGGACAGAGCCATGACATTCCTTAAATGGAAGAAGGACCTCACGGCTTAACTTCTTCAGCAAGGAACCAACAACGACCAAACATTTACGCAAACAAAAGATTCTGCGAGCCCCAGGAAACGAAGGGAGGCGAGCACGAATCAACGTCGTCATCCAGTTGGTTACGACGCATTCCCTAGTTAAATGTGGCTCAATCTCGGGACTTTGAATCTTGCAAAAGGAGCTCTGCTTACATGAACCTGAAGAGCTTGGTGCTCCAGTACCCGCTGCATTGCAAGCGCTGTAAGTTGGACAATGCCAGCTTGGAAGCCGGCATCCAGTTTTCCGCTGTCTCAACGAAACGGAGAAGGGATACAGAAGGACTTACGATCCCAAGATGGTCCAGCTTCTCAGTCATCAGGCTACCGGGGTAAATGTGGGCTCCCTGCAGGAGTCCAAGCGGCCGTCAGTCATATGGAACTGGAACAAAGTCAAGGGGCAAGGAAAACCAGAAGGCACTCCTGCTCTGTTCTGCAAAGGGTTCGTGCCACAGCAGAACTCTCTGGCATGCTCTTCCTGGGGTAAAAAGAAGAACAGATATTGACTTGAAGCTTAGTAGGCAGTCAGGAGCCCATGTCGGGTCGTATATATATATGCACTCACCCTGCACACATGTGGGTGCCTGCACAGTTCATCGACTTCCTGTTTACCAGAAGCCTCAAGCAGTCGGGCAGCACGCAACTGATTGTTTAAGCTTATTGGACATTCTGGGTCCCCCACAAGATAAAAGATACGAGACGTCACCACCTCCAAAGGTTCAGGTTTTCACTGAGGATCCCTTAGGGGGACATACCACTGAGAGCAGGTGCGTCGTGCAAGCGCACAGGGGGAAGAGCCACCCGACACGGCCCCAGACTGCATAACAAAGGAAGAAGAGCGCCCCCAACTGCAATGACAGCGCAACTGGAAGGTTGAAGAGAAGAAACCAGTTCCAAAAGAGTGGGCTCAAAATTAGTGTCAAATTTGAGGGGAAGATTACGCCCCTAGATTCTGGGGACAAGTGCTTTAATTTTCAGATATAGCTGTTGACACCTGGGGCATGGGGAGTGAGAGGGTAAACACTAGGGCCAGAAGCAGGTCAGGACGGAGCCCGAAGGATAGTCAGGCCAAGTGTCGCCACCTTTTGATGACCTCCCGCTGGCTCAACTAGAAGGTTTCCAAATCCAACAACAGGACTGCTATCACAACAGTTGTTCCTTGTGTGAAGGACTGAAATCAATCATACCAAAGGTGACAGTTTCGCGAACAAGTGATGCCTTCATCAGGAAAGTGAGACCACTATTCCGCCACCAGCAGCGTTCAGGGGGCCAGAATGTGGACCAGGGCAAAACGGTGAACAAAATGAATTTTCGAGAAAGCCCTTAGGATTCATGCATCCAAACAGCCCGAACACACTCAAACGAGAGCTGTCTGAATCTGATCACCAAAGCTGACCCCGGCTGGCATTTGGATAACTGAAGTCTCACAAAAGCGGAACAATCAGCCAAGTGCATGCAGATTCTCATGCGGCCTGACCCAGCCGCCAGCCCGTTGTGCATTGATGATTTGCCTGGGGCCAATGTTTGGAATTTGATTCAATTGTACACTGTAGATTGGCGATACGCAACAGGCAATGGGGCAAGAGTGAGATTGACACATACCCCATGGCTCCAGACATTGACGCGCTCGTACGGGTCCACAAAGACATAGTGCCATATCTTCTGCCAGAACGTCAGCGTCTCCGCCGCAATCTGCACCAGCCCCTCTTCGTGCAGCTTGGCCCTCAGCTCCCGTTTCTTCCGGCTGCTCTTTGCCAAGTAACCCACGATCGCATCCAACCAACCCGACCGTTCCACATCTTCGCCTGAGGTAGAAGGGACTTCTGTGAGAGAAGACGGCACCTCCTCTGCCTCCTGTTTGGCCCATTCGCTGAGAGACAGCTCGCGGCTGATGAGGGTTTCTGTCTCCTTGGTAGCCGCTGCCTTCGTACGTGCAGCGGGCCGCTGCAAGGGACCCCCGGCATGGCCCGCAGACGACGTCATGGCGTGACTGGCTGCGTGTCAATCAGCACAAAGGCCCTCGCTTTCTAGCTAGCTAGCTACAGCACTGCAAGGTTGTGATTGACGAGGGGCTAGCAAAGCATCTGCATGTGTCCTCACGGCGACGCCCTTCTGCGCAGCACAAATCTCCTTGTCTTCCTAGCTACTGGCACCTCAACTTTGCTAACCAGGCATCCAAACCTACGGGCTTACTGGGTTAACCCAGTTTCAAACCTTCCATTGCCAAACCTCGGGGCGCTGAGCGCCGAGGCGCGGCTGGGCGCGGCCGGCTTTTGTCTCCTGCGGCCGCTGCGGCCTTCGATCTGGTGGCTTTCCTCGCAAAGTACAGTAGAGTTTGTTCAAAGACAACTTAAGATGCCAGCAAGATCCAAGACTCAGAGTGAGACGGCAGGATTTCTAAATTTGTCAAGCTACATTGGCCTTTCAATATGAACAAAAAACGCATAACAGCACGAGCTCAGGTCGATCTGCATCATGATTACCATTCACCCCTACTACACGTTCTTCCAGGGCGCCTTTCGCTTTGCTGAGGGCAAGAAGCTCACTCAGCAACAGTACCAGTATCTCATGCTCTTTTGGGGGATTGCGCGAAGCAAGCGGAACGTGAGCCTTTTGAAACTGCATAAGGATCCCATCCGTGACCTTGTCGGCCTTCCCCTGGGACCAGAAGGCGCACTCTTCGTGAGCTCACAAGAGTTCCTGGATCTTCCGAAGGAGGTGCAGGTAAACACAGTATGTTTAAATCTGCTGAATTCCAAAGGACACATTTTGCGAAATCGAGGTGGAACGTACCGGTCAAACCTGAGACTGCCTATGTCGATCATCATTTCTTTTGAGACTTTGACAGTTTGTATGCGGAAGCTCGACCTTGCTCCCAACTTGATATTACCGTCCAGGGAAGGTCTGATCGTACCGTCCGGGAAAGGTCTGAATTTGGATTACAGATTCGAAGATGGCTCAAAAAAATTGTCATGAAGAAGCCTGTGTTGTTACTTGAAGCTGATTCCAGTTTTCCAAACTCGTGCTGGAGGTAGACTTGAGTTCTGCAAAACAGTTGCGAACACGGCCTACAAGTAAAAGAAGGCGGCTCTACCAGAAGACTGTGCACCTCATGCAAAAAGAAAGGGTGTTGCAGCTTTTGCAATCATTCACACGCTCGAGCTGAGTGATGAATGTTCAAGTTTTTGTCGATCCAGACTAGGAGCTGGAGTATGGTTTGATGTCCTGTCGGAGCCAGTTCCTGGTATAGTCTGTGGTCAGTGTCCAAAACGGCGCCTGCTGGAACACAGGGTTCAGTTCTAAGTTAGGCTTAGCATATTCCGAAAGCAATACCGTATCAAACGAACGAACTATGTACTCGGCCTGAACTCGGTGAAGCAGATGCATCTCCCTGGTCGCAGTCGAGCAGTACTGTATCACTCAATCTTGGACCGAAGCAAGCACTGTTATCGGTCCAAGCGGCAATCGATCGCTTTTGGCTCATGGATTCACTTTGGTTGAGCGAGAGGTAACTTTCTTGATCCTCTCATGGCTGCAGGTCGAGTTCCTTCACCAGCGAGAACATCAACTGGCCCTTTCCATCACCTCTGTGGGACACACAAGTCGCAGCACCGGCAATGCGGAGCCCTTTCACGACAAGTGTGACTGCCATTGGGTGCCGACAATGGAGGGAACCGGGTTGGAATGGGACCGTACCAGAACGAACTTTGAGGACTATGAATTCTGGATTCAATATATAGCGAGGAACATACTGAAGCCTTGGGGCCTACGCCTGGAAGGAGAGGTATGGTACCAAGGTGAGGCCAGATGAGCGAGTACCGTTTAGAAAGAGCTCCTTCACCATGCTGAAGTAAACCCTCAAAACCCTCAAAGGAAAGCTTTGGAGAATGATGTTCATGGAGATTGCTATTTCACAGCTGAGTATTATGGTAAACTATGGCCACAAACGTAAATAAAAGTAGAGGCTTGGTGCTAAAACATGATTTCGCACTCACTATCCAGAAAAGCTTTTCAAGCCTCCTCCATGCCAATTCTGAAACTTTGTCTCAAGAAAGTATCTCCAACGTATCCACATCAATTGGACCTCTTTGCAGGCGAAGCTAATTTCGACACTGGAAGGCTTGTTGCAAACGAGACTGGCTCCGTTGAAAAACAAGTGGCTTGCAAGGTCGAGATCGTAAACATGCTTGGTGCCGCTGCCAGCAATTACGTGGATCTAGCCAAGACGCTACCTCACGAGCAGCTCAAGATGAAGGACGCTTTTGGCCGTACTCCCCTCATGCTCGCTGCCTGGCTCAGATCCTACGACATGCTGGAATGGCTCAGCAGTCAGCTGAAAGGAGATGAATGGCAGCTGGACGCGCAATAGTCAAAGCAGGCAAGCTTTCGTCCTGCTAAAGCTGCTCCTTTCTACGATTGCCGCTCCTCGTCTTTTTAGGCCCAATCTGGAGTCGAAAGTCGGGTCAAAATTCGTTTGTGGGACGGAGAGTGCACATCCAGCTTTATCTCAACGTTTAGTAATAACTCTTGAACACTTCCTTTCAATCCCTGCTCCAATTGTATGAGCGCTGAGTCTGAAATACGCTTCATCTTCTGCTCTGCTTGGCAGGGGATGAACGGCTGATGGTTTCGCGAAGACGTGCAAAGATTAGGCTGGCGCTAGCAAGTCTCTAGCAAGATCTTAGATTGACTGGCTGGATGCACTTTTCGTTCACTCACATCTGAAAATTTGAAACTTTTCGTTCACTTACTCGCGAGAATCAAGGAACCAACTTCTGTTCTCCTTTGCATGCAGCCGTGCACTTTTGGACCCACACTCGACGGAGCCACTCTCTTCCATCTCCTACTCGGCCTCGACACATCTCATCCAACGGTTCCCCGCCTCCTAAAACGCCTCGCAAATTCCGGGAAAGTCCAGCCAAGCATGCTGGACCGCCTCGTGGTTATGCCTCGTTTTGTGGGAAACATAAGCAATCCCTTGACTGCCGCAGTCTTCTTGGGAGACCGCCTCCTGACTGGCTGGTTGCTTGCCAATGGGGCAAATCCGAACTGCTTTGAGGTCGTCACCTTCTCGGACGGTGACAAGCGCGTATCGGAGTCTTCCTGGCCTATCGTGCAAGCTTCAGTGCAAGGAAAGCCATGCTTTCTGAAGTTGCTGCTCGAAGCAGGTGCCAGCGTGCACGTGGCTAGGGGACCAATCACCCGCAAAGTTCTGTTGGGTTCTCCTGGGACTGTGGAGGCCCCTTACCGGAATCTCAGAGAGATGACGTCGCTGCATCTCGCTGCCTATCATCGCCTTTTCGAAAACGTCCGGATCTTGGTTCTGCACGGGGCCGACTTCAGAAGGGAGTGCGACTTTCGGGAGCACCGTTATAAGTACGGGGATCACGGCGAGTCGACCGCAAAAGACTTGCGAGTTCCGAGGGGCGCAGTGGAAGCAGGATTCCAAGATGCTCACGAGCGGCATGCCAACTTTCAGCGGTTTTGTCCAGCATATGACGTGCTCGTTGAGAAGGCCGTGTCTAAGGCGCTCAAACAGTATGATGCGACAGTCCGAGCAGCTGTAGGAAAAAGGCGCTTTTTAGTACTCGGTTGCCTCAGCTAACATACCTGCCGGAGGACGTGCTCAGGTACATGTTTTCCTTGGCAAACCTTTCCTACCCCTAAGTTCCGTAGAGACTTGAGTCCTATCTTGAGAAAGCAGAAGTTGGAAAGTGCCAAATGATATCGTCATGAGAGAGCTCGCTGCATGTTCGACTGCAAATAAGATCTAGACGGCACTCGTTCTAAAGCATAGTTTCCGGCTTGAGTAAGATTGAATGTGTCGGAAGCAAAGGATGTGAAATAGTTCTCGGTAGACATTGTCAGCCGGTGTGGGGACTTGCCACACGATCCCCGCACTTGGGTCGATCAGGCTTCAGAGGGCATGGTTTGACGATCCAATCAACCACTTATGCACGTATACCCTACATACCGTAAAGGTTGCCGTTTTTAAGCAACTGCGTGTTTTGAAAAGCAAGGGTGTTGTTCAGTCCTAAGCAATTAGACATGTTCGGCGTACATGTTCCAGTGCCATCGTCTGAAGCCAGTCCCTATATATGCAGCTCCTACCGACGCTCGTTTAAACGTAATAGCATGCAAGACTACGTCCGGTCTTTCCCACTGGTCAGACTAGAATTGCACAAAATCCTTGTAACTGCTTGCATGGCACTGTCAATTCTTGTCGCATGCGGCATGACGACCTACATGGTATGGTTCAGCCGGGAGCCACGTACTTCGTCTTTGGGCAGATCTACGTTGATGATCGTGTTCTGTCGTAAGTTCTCGCCCGAAGAACGACTCGCCAATGAGATGCACGCAAGATGTGCTTTGATGGTAAAAAGACTTGACGGATTTAATGCATATATGTTTGAAGATCGACACTGAGTAGAGGTTTTGCAGCCGCCACCGCTTGCTATGCTGGCAAGCTCCACGTGGAGTCCGTCGGACTTGACGCTCGTCGTAGAGTCGACAACATGATATGTGACAATTCTTTCGCCTGCTGATGACTTCAGCGATGAAGCATTCAAATGTCGGTCACGACATTCTCAGCGTTACCTGAAGTTATTATGGGTGTACATTGAAGAATAGCTTACAGAAAGCACTGAAACGAGCCGAGTGAAATTGAAGTTGCCGCTTCAAACTCGATCAGCATCGGCATTGTACTTGGACAATAAATGCTCAGCAAGCCCTTGTCTCCAATACCTCGATGCTGAACTTGCGATGCACGAACACTTCACAATCTTTGAAGCTGGAAAGATAGACCTTTCCACGTCCGCATGTTTGCTCAAGTCAACCCTCTCCTCCGCTTATAGTCCGTAATCTTGAGCGACCGCCGCCCGTCCCGCGGCACCCCGATCGGCGCCCCGTACTTGGCTTCTATCCTCTGCTTCCGCGCGAGCACTGCCGCGGCCGCGGCCCCCGCCGTCGCGCCCTGCCCCGCGCCGACGGGCTGCCACTTCGCGAGCCCCTCCAAATCGATCGGCAGGTCGAAACTGTGAACTCGCAATGCGTTCGCTTTCGGGTCCACAGGGGCCTCCGTCTGCACCAGCAGGTCGCCGTTCGCCGCCTGCGCGACCTGCGCCTTGGTTATCGCTAACCCGTCCTCTAACGAGACCACGCCCGGGTCGCCCGCCTGCGGGAGCGCCTCGGCTACCTCCCCCATAGTGAGCAAAGCCGTCTCGTCCACTTCCGCCGCCGCGCGCGTCTGCCAATAATTCTGCGAACGCGTCCATCGGCGCGAGAACGGATCGTACTCCCCCCCCGCGCTGGCATCGGTCGACGCCTTTAACCCGTCCTGGTTGAAATTCTTCTGCCGGTTCCGCTTGTTGAGATCCAGCATCTTCGTCAGCCGGTCGCCTCCCTCGCGGTTCTTGATGAACAGCTCCAGCTCCGCGATTTTCGCCTTGAGTTCCGGGATGTCGTCCAGCCGGCCCTGGTCCTTGGCGGCCTGGACCTGCTTCTCCAGACGGGCCTTCTCCGCAGCGGCGTTCACAGGAGTCTGCGACGGAAGGGAAGTCACTCAAGGAAAGGTAGCGTTTGAATGGATGCAACAGGCTCTCAAGCCAAGCCAAGCTTTTCGCTGACCCCGCAAAAGCGAGAGTACATTTATGCATACTGTCTTCTTCATCCGTGACGGTGAGGTCGACGGAGCGCCCCTGGCTCTCCTTCCCACCACCTCGCACAAACGAAATACAACAGTCCTGAGGAAGGTCCCACAGTCGACGTTCAAAAAGTGATTACACAGTGTCACTAGAATTCAGACCATGATGCCGTGCACGAGTACCCTGCAGAAGCTTGGATACAGTTCCTTTGGGAGGTCTCCTTCAATTCTACAGACTGAACAGGGGGATAATTTGTTGCTCATCCGCTTATCTTGCTCTTTCTCAGCGACTTCGTACGATGTTACGACACCAGTCCCGTAGAACCCAAAGCAGAGCCGCCCCTCAACGAGCAGAAGTTCCTTGTTAGACCGACTGGAGGACCCGAAAGCACCCCTGACACAACACCACAAGACCAGAGTCGCTCTGAATGAACCCAGAGTCCACATCGCAAAATTATTATACCCAGATGCCCAAACCAAAACTCAGACCCAAACCCGGCATCCTCACCCGCCGCAGCTTCTGTTTCTCCAGCACCATGTTGCGCACCGCCTCGCTCGTGTACTGGAACGTCATCGCTGACATCAGCGCCTCGCGCTTCTCCGCGACCTCGCGCTTGCTCATCTTGCGGATCGCCCGCTTCTCTAGTTCGTTGCGCCACTCGTTCCACTCCTTCGACGACGGCCGTTGATTGGACACCTGATCCATCGGCCAGGAACGCTCCGCAACGCCCCACTTGCACGTCAGCCGCCGCGCGATGCTGCCCTTGCCGAACTTGTACGGCTTGTTGGCGGGATTGCTGTCAACGTCAACCACCTCCACCTGAGGACGCAAAAGAAAGAGATGTTACCGGACACGTCAGCCACGTCATCCATCTGAATCTGAGGATTTGAACAGTCTAAACTTTCTCGTATCCGTCGCTTCTCCGTATGACTCCCGCACACTCACGAAAGACGGAAAGGCGAGGATTTCAGCTTAGAGTCAGGCAGGAATGAAACCAGTTCGTAAAGGAGCGCCTGTAAACAGAAGGCCGGGCAAGAGCGCAAACTTTTACTCAAATGCCCCGCGAAAACGACAAAGCACTCGTTTATCACAGGCGGAACATGTGTGCGGGGACAACCTCGAGTCGCTCAGCCCCCCAAAGAAGCGCAGCACCATAAGCGGCTCTACTGTGGAGGCACCGCGTCAGCCGGCAGTTACATCAGCAAGTTCGAAAAAGCGGAGCAGCGAACAGCCGCACCCACCTGGGGAGCGAGTGTCGCCCATGCTCACTACCACAATCGTGCATCCAAACAACCTAGAACCAAACGCACGACATGGACAGGCGAGCATGCCGTCACCAAAGGTGACGTCAGCAGAGGCTAGGCTGTCTCCGAGACTGTAATCTTCGTTGGAGCTGCGGCCCTGCCAGTAAGTGCACTCCCCACAGTAAACTGGCCGTATCGGCAAGAGGAATGATACCGCCAACAAAAGAAGACAACACCAGACGAAAGCAGTCACCTACGCCTCTGATATGTCAATGAACAATTCAACCGCTAAACCTCAAAACGAGCTTATTAAAGCAGTCTCTTTCTAGCACAAGGGGGATCCCCCCAACTCAAGTGACGTCAGCAGCGCCTTACGATGCGGTACACGTTCTGGCCGCTGGGCCCCTGCCCGATGCTGAGCCGAAGGAGGCAGTTCCGGATGAGGTCGTCAAAGTACGGCTCGTAGCAGTGCTGCTCCAGCCACACGCGCTTCACCACGATCTTGTCCAGCTCCTCGTCCATCGCGTCGGGGTCCGGGCGCCGCCGACCGCGCCGCACGTCGTCGTCCGACCTGCTGGGGGGGGGAAAATCGCACTAGTAACCAAAGCTTTTGCCAAGATGAATAAACGAGCTCCTTCTCGGTCGCGTCGGGGTCCGGGCGCCGCCGGTCGCGCCGCACGTCGTCGTCCGACCTGCAAGGGGAAGTACAAACCTCGGTATAGTTCGCTCGCAAACGCCACAAAGTTGTCGAGATACTCGTTGATCGCGTCGGGGTCTGGGCGCCGCCGGCCGCGCCGCACGTCGTCGTCCGACCTGCGGGGAAAACAAAATCTCGCTCTAGTAAGCAAAGCTTTCGCATGGAAGTAACGAGTTCCTTCTCGGTCGCGTCGGGGCGTCGTCCAATCTGCGGGGAAAGAAAATCCCGCTCTAGTTGGCCAAAGCATTCGCAAAACAATGAGTAACGAGTTCACGCTAAATCGTGTCGGGGTGTGGATGTTGCCGGCTGCGATGCACGTCTCGTTCGACTGGGGAGAAGTGGGGTTCGGCTTTGCTTAGCCAGCGTGTTGGCAAACCGCCTTGATGGTTCTGGCAAAGCTAAAAGGCTGCCCCAGTGCACCTCGTTAGGACCAGTATGTGTGCTCTGCGTTGCACGAGTCTTCGTAAGAACATCAGAAGACAGAGTAAACGCTTTTGTCACCCAGTACTGAGAAGGCCGTCGATGGTCGCCATCGTTTTCGTTTTCTAGCCGGGGAATGCTTCAGAATTGGCTTAGCAGGTTGACGCATTGAAAGATACCAAGACTGGACCATGCGTCGTGGTCACTGGACCGAATCCAATGCCAACGTCCTGCCGAAAGCGCGGCAGAGAAGTTTCCATGTAGTAAGAAGTCAACCAGAAGCGAGTGTACGAGCAGCGACGAGGTAATTGTGGAGAAAACGAAGGTCCACGACCCAACATTGAGTCCAGAATTGCCACGTCGGCTCCACAAAGATTCTTCGCTGACAAACGAAGGACTGCGAATCACAAAATTCGCACAGCTTCACGAGAACAAGAATCTTGCAAACAGCGGAGGAGGCGGCGTCATACCTGGCGTCTTCATCGTCATCGTCGCTTCTGGCTCGCTCGTCTTCCTCGTCGCTCCGATCACTCTGCGAGCAAGACAATCCGAGCAGGTTTAGTAGGCGCACGAGAAAGAGACATACCCCTGAAAAAGAGGACAAAGAATCACTTATCACCATCCCGGAGAATAAAAAGAAAGAAAAACAAGCGTCAACGTTGGTACCTCGTCGGCGCCTCTCGGTGAGACTCTAAAGCCGTCAGAACTAAAAGCCGTAAAAGCCGGTCAAAACTATCGAGGGAACACTTGCAGGACTAGGAAGAGGCCCTTTCAACTCCTTCCTACGAGGTCTACAGAGAGCTCTGGTAAAACCGGGACTGCGTTCAGGCAGATCTTGGCAAACTTGAGGGATACGACACAATACGGCAAGACACACATGAACCGCCCTTACATCCGAGGAGCTCCCCTCATCGCTCTCCCTCCCCTTCCGCTTCGGCGACATTGACTCCTCCCGTCTCCTCCGATCCTGCTCCGCGCGCCGCCTGTTCCCCCCCTCCACCGCTCGGTTTCTCCGCGCCACCAACTCTTCCAGCGCGCTCGCTTTCTCTTTGCTGCGGGGGGCTTCTCGGGTGGTCGAGAGCTTGGACCGAGTCGGCGGCGCCGCGCGCGAGCGCTGCTTTGCCTTCTGTGCTTTCTCGGCGGCTTCGTCCCGCTGCCGGGCCTGATCGCGCAGGGCGCGCCGCTCGAGAACTTCGTCCCGCCTGCGGGGGAGGTGGTCTTCACTGTCAGCTTTGCTCTGAACTTGCTTCTAGCCGTGTGCATCTCTGCCGGTATCTTTTGGATAGCTTTGAAAAGTCGAGGTCAGCAAACCTGCGGGCTTTGACGTCACAGACAAGCGCAGGGATGCATTGTGTAAGTGGAGAACGACCCACGAGAGGCGAACAACACTTCTCTGTCAACGGCTAGCGGGTGATGAACACAACGTAGTGGGACTGTAAAAGTCAAAGGGGCGAGCCCTCCGTGATAATGTCTGGCTAGACGTTGTCAGGGGCTGCGCAAACTTCATCAGTGGGGCGGGAAGCGAGGCCTTCCTGTACTTTGCAAAACCAGAGCCGTTCTCTAAAGTTGACAATGGGACTTGACCTCCACGCAGGTCGAGTCCTAACGAACCAAGCCCAAAAGTCACTCCGTCAGACGGGCTCCTCCCTGAAACATTCTCTTTTGAAGGATATCGTGCATGTCCTTTGTAGTGCCCTCATTTACCACTTTGTACGCGGACCCAATTGCACCTCACCTTCCAAGAGCATGTCTGAGGATGACGTCAGCCTTGTGTCAGCGCTCACCTCTCCGACCGCTCCGCCAGGAGCATTTCTCTCTCCAGCTCCGTCATGGCCATCAGCTTCGCACGGTCCTCGTCGTCCTTGAAGAGGTCCTCTCCGAACGACAGCTCGCTGTCGTATCCATCGTCTTTCCTCTCACCATCTTCTTCCTCCTCCTCTTCTTCTTCATCGTCCTTGTCGGCAAAGCGCTTCTTGAGGGGCATTTTGGACCCTCCTTTCCCCTGCGATATAGTATGAGGAGGTGCAATGAGTCCAAGAGATTGCAAGTCGACAAGCTTGTTATAGGGTTTACACTTTCAGCGGTGGTGGTTATTGGGAGAGCGGGGGTTTGTTGTTTCGTGAGACTTGATGGTAAGCTGATGCTTTGTGTGGAGCACAATTGGAGTGTTTACTATAGCATCAAAGATCCAAAGCCAGATTCGCTCCCTCTCAAGCTGTGCAAGAATCATGCGATGATCTGCTTGCTTGCCACCAAGAGTGGCCTGCAACTTTGACACTTTTGCATTACGCCCGGCTGCCGACTATTTAAAACCTTATTTTGAAGGAGTTTAGAATGACTCCATCAAAGACAGTAATTCAAATCTGTCCTGCTTCTTGATTGGCGCCAGGTGGCGCCACGCATTTGCTGACCACCAAGCCCCAACTGCTCACTTCGACGTGCCCTATGCGGCCCGCCGTGTTTCAATCCAATCAAGCCCTGTGAGGCAAATCCGTAGATCAGGACAGAGCGCCCCACCTTCTTCCCCTTGACATCAGCATCCGAATCTTCTTCTTCTTCTTCTTCCTCCTCCTCCTCCTCCTCCTCCTCCTCTTCTTCCTCCTCTTCAGATTCTTCATCTGACTCGTCCCGCGCCACTCTCCTCCTCTTCGACGGCTTGGACTGCCGCCTGGAAGACCCGCCGCGCTTGCCGCCGGCCTTGGAGTGGCCTGCGACCATCAACAGCTCATCCTCTAGGTCCGACATGGTGGCGGGAAGTATGAGCCCAGTCCACGTGCAATCCTGTCTGGCCCTCACACCAATTTGTGTCCAGAGAGAGAAAGTTGTCTGAAGTGAACGCCCTGGGCCTGAGCCTGAGGCTAGCTGTGGTCCTAGCCGGCATGAATTCAGGTGGCATTTGTGCACGGGTGAGCAGGCTTGGGCCCAGCAAATCCCCTCTGCGAATGCCCTCGTGGTTGACACCAGATCATAGTAGATAGGAGGAATTTACCAATGTCGTTTGAAAGTGTCAAATAAGGAAATACAAATTCGGAAGATAGGATTCAATCACACCATCTTGTCTGACGAAGGAAGAAGAACTTCATGCAAGAAGAAGGGTGAACCCTAGACAGAGCCGAGGACGTCAAGCGCCGGAAGAAGGGAGATTGGGTCACCCAGAAGAGAAGAGGAAAGGGAGAGGGCAGGGGCTTCTGGGTTGGATAAGCGGACGGGGCACCTCCCGCAGGCAACATCATCTGTACATTTGCAGAATAAGAGGCGTTGTTACATAAGGGGCTTAACGATGGCTGCCCTCGCTCACGCATCTTGCGCCATGGGGGCCCTGAATCTTGCAGGGAGCGGCCTCGCTTCTTCCACGGTAAGCCTTTTGGTAATGCTCAGTGATATGCCGTCATTAAACTGTTTTGCTTTTGAGCTACTACAGCAATGTGGAGCTCTGAAGGGTTTGCTTTTTTTCTGATTCGGCCAGCGGGTGGCGGGTACATTTCCTATGCTGCACTGGCCCCTTTTCAATGTTGCGGTTTGTTGGCATCGTCAGCAATGTCGTTCGATGTCCGTGATGAATGATGGTAATGGTTTTGGAGCTATGGGGGGGGTTTTGCTGTGGCTCTGCCCATGTTCAGCGGTCAGATTGTTTGCTTTCCAGTCAACTCCGGCCTTTGCTGTCAAGGCAAGTAGACAGGCCCCACCACGACGTCGTTGATTGAAGTGAGAGTAACATTATGCTAATCACCTTGAGAGGTTTTCGTAGGGATGAGAGGCTTTAAACCTGATGGTGAGTACAAAGGAAGAATGTACTCGAGTATATTCGAAGTTGCCAATGGTGACCCGAAGTATGGAAGATTGCTTGGAACAAATGGCGAGCGGACTATATGCAATGCAGCCGGTCTTGCCATCCCTGTTGCTCTGGAGTACGTACTCGTTCTGAGCTTGCATAGGCTGCCACAAATAGTCGAGGAGGAGCCCCAATGGACAATTCGTAGTTGAGGCGTTTTGGGGTTCTGACTACCTTTATTTGTGGCACTGTTGCTCATTCGTGATCTTCCCAACTTTGGCAAAGTGTAATAGCTGGCTCACAAATCGATGGGCGGCCCTGTGCTGAACTCCAGGAGCTTTTTTCGTGCGCTGTTGATAGCTGCAGCGGTTAGCATTGTTGTCAAAAGCGAGGAGTACGTAACGCTGGCTTGCGAATGAATGGGCCCCACAATGTTGGGAAAAAGGCGAAAAACACGGCCACAGATCCTCGTACACAGGCTTTGAAGCAGAACGCTCCAGCTGACCGGAGATCGAAATTTGAAACACCCTGCGGCTATCCGGTGCCCTTGTGGTCATGGAAGGAGATTGTCGCCACCAGGAAATGCTCTGATGCTTGACAGCTTTTTTGACACACTACTTGCTTGCCGTTCCAGGCGAGGGCCTCCCCTAGTTCCCAGAGCGCCTTTGTGGCTCTTCCAAAAACGTTCCGGGCCGCAACAAAGACAGCGGTCCCGATGCACTGCCACCGGTCAATCACGATGGGGTCCACATTGAAAACGAAAGAGCAGGTGAGGAGAAAGCGCTCTTTGGATTATGTATCCAACTAAATTAAACTAAATAGGCTTCCGCATGCCGGAGGAAATATTCAGTCAATTGCGAGCCGAACTTATCGGGAGATGGTGCCGCACTGATCGTTGGACTTGTTCTTTTGCATCCTCGAGGACTCATAAGCGGCGGGTTCTTGTCATTGATTGACTGTGAGGCAGGGACGAAACTCTTAACAGAGGGAAATGCTTTTGGGATACATCAAAGTGCCGCAATTCTGTGAACACACTGCAAGCAACAATTCAGCTCTTTAAAACTGTGCGTGAGTAGGCCCGTGACTTGTTCCTGAGAGTAAGGGCTGCCCCATTAAGTTCAAGTCTGCAATGTCTACATTCTTCGCTGTTGCCTTTTTGCGTCCTTTCGTCATTCTGCCGCGTCCCAGGACTCTCACAGGCTGATACCTTAGCTGTGTAATGCGTCCGTCGTACCGCCGCTGTAGTCTTTGAACCAGGCACAAGGTTTCCTACCTGCTCGCTGAAGACAGTTGTGACCTTTCGTCCAAGTTCTGCCTTGCTTTTATGGGCCGGAATGTATCCGAAAACTTTGCAGCCAAGTTTGAACACCTTGCCAAAACCTCTCCCCTCCCTTTCTTTGTCTCTTAATCTGTTGAGTGGAGCCCAGCAGTTCTTGGCCCTCTTTTCCCACCACAGACCAAATACCTTTCACAGTTCTCAGAGCCGGCTTCAAGGCATTCCGGAATCGCAAAAGGGGCTGCGAGACTGAGGTGGGTACCGACAACAGGCCGATTCTACAGGGTACGCAGAGACAAAGGCCGTTCAGAGTCAGCTCAAGTCTTTCCAATCCGTTTCCAGGTTGCGGAGTATCGGTCCTGGACCGATGAGGAGCTCGACCAGAAGGTGGCTGACTGCAAGATGGAGCTCTTCTTCCTGCGGATGCAACTGGCTGCCCGGCAGGAGATCAAAACGCATCGGTTCGATGCGCTTCGGAAGACGGTGAGTTTGTTCAGTCCAACAGATGCAGTGGGCTCAGCTTTGGTTGACATTCTTTTCACAATTGCTGGCCGCTCGGTAGGGGATTGAAAGGGATTGATTTTTTGCCCTTCGGAAGATGCTGAGAGCTGGAATCGGCTTAATTGATTGGCACATTGCGAGGTCGACCTACATTAATTGCACTTGGTAACGGGGTTCTTAGACAAGGAGTTTTGTTCGCTTGAACCGTTCCGAGTGGTACGTGGCTCTCCTTGTGGGTGGTTCTTACCGCGCTCGTCTGATTGAAGGCTGCCCTGGACTTCAAAAGAGAAAGTGCCTTAGGCTTTTCTCGTGGAGGTGCATCAAAAAGGAGAGTCCATTGCCGCTTTGGAATTGAGTCCTTCAAAGTGGGTTGTAGCCGCCTTTGGACGATCTTTATTTGGGACAATAAAGCCTTCGAAGGGCTCACGAGTATCTCGAGAGCTTTTTGTCTGTTGACCAAATTTCCGGCTACGAAGTGCCGCGGAAAAGAGCGAGATACATTCAGTCAGATCATTCAGAAGCACCAGCCGTAACGATCCGTTCAAAGCCCTTTTTTTGTGACATTGTTCCTTATCTCCTTCTTTCTGCATTTGTTGCAGGTTGCTAGGTTGCTCACGGTTAAGAGGGAACGGGAAATCGCGGAGGGCATCAAGCCCCGGGAGTCACGGAAGCGGTCGAAGGCTTTGGAACACGCTCGAGGGGGCTGGTGGAAGGTAGCCAACATTCCCGAAGAGTTTAAGTATTTGACCACGCCCGGGGAGGGTGATTCTGTGGTGGAGATCTAGTCATAACGGTTCTATTCTAAAAAGCGGCATGCAATAGATATGGAGGTAGCAGCGGAAACATTCGATTCTTGGTTGCCCATTGACAAGCGATCCGTTTGAAGCTGCCCTTTCTAAAAGGTTCAAGTTGGTTATCGCTTGAACGTCCTCACGAGCCATGGAAGTGGCTTTTCCCAGGCTTTAAGCTGCTGAGACTGTGGTTCTGGCATGCCCCTCGCTACGTTTATCAGTTACACAAGCAGCTAACCCTTCCGTCGGATTCAACTGGTTGTTTATGCAATAGTGAATATAAATTGTGCATCCTACATGTGAAAGATTGATCTGTAAGGCAATTCATTATTGCCGAAAGGGCAGGTGGTGTGATCAGAAGTAGACTCTTACGCATACAAATGCATGGCCGCCGCGGATGTGGCCACGGCTTCTCGTTAGTAGCTTCACACTTTCTGTACTGACGGTTGCTTATCTGGCCAAAAATTAGTATCATGTGTGCACATGCCAGATGATATATGTTGGCATGCTCGATGCAATTTGTGTTTTTGCACTAAGCTTTCCTAGGCATGCATGTGGAGGGTGCGCGTACTTGTGGCACATTCCCTTCCTTGCAACTCAGGTTGTCACCAGCTCCATGGGGATCAAAAAGTATGGATGCACGAAGTCGACGATCGAGGCTCTTGACTAGCCATGATATAAGCGGTCGATCATGTAAGCAGCTACGTGAGCCAGCTAGTTGCGGCATGGTTGGCTGGAAGACAGCGGCGCTGTCACTGCGTTTCGCACCCGATGCTGCAAGCTCGGACAATCATCGCCGCTCCATCGGATGCTATTGAGAAAGTAAAAGCCAATCTACCTAACATCCGTTCATCGTACTGAAGTAGGGAGCTCCCATGAAGACTTAGCTTAGGTGCGCTTCTTCGCAGCATCCAATATGCACTCCAAGACACTTGCTTCTGGGGTGGCCGCGTAGTTTCGGATATTTGCGAAGCAAAATGTATGACCAGAATCCCACCTCAATTGCTCTGATGAGAAGGGCCCGCCGGTTCAAGAATCTATAGACGGTCCACAGCAAGTTGACCTTGCAAAGACAAGTGCAAAAGCTTAGGAATCAGTTCTGCCGCTTGCTTGCAGCACTCGGCCGAAGAATACTCCTAATTAGATGCATATATGGGCCCCACTTTTGGAAAGTTTCTCCATTAGTAGTCGAAGGACACGAAACCCTCTGCAAATCAAGACCAGTCGGTCGGACGATCTGGCGTATAATGCAAGTAAGTTCTTTGCGCCCCTCCGCCAAGACTTTTGTAGAGTAGCCGCGGCAGAGCCGTCCATCTAGATCCTATTACTGCATAGAACGGAGATTTAGAATTGCAAGGTTCCGGGGACATATCAATCGTAGGCCTGGCCATTTCGAAGATAGCGTGTTTCAGTGTAGCTTGCGGCTGATATTGACGGCATGAGCCCACGTGGATTCTCTCCTTAAAGAACATTCTCGTAAAGCTTGGCCCACATCCAAATCTCAAAGAGTGTCTGACATGTAGTCGGACTTTCTCAATCCCAGTGGGCTAGAGGACGCATTTCCGATCCCTCTGCTGCAAGAGACCTACTGGCCTGTGCGACAATCGAGAAGTATAAGAAAAGCCTGAACAGAGGAGAGTTTTGATCGACTCACAGCCAGGTTCTCTTTCCTCTCCCGAGTCGGTTTTTCCAACTTCTTTTTCCTTTCCTTCTTTTTTTCTCCTTTCGTATCTACCCTTGCGTTAGCTTCCTCTGCCGTGGATTTCTCTTCAGAATCTCCTTGTGCAGCAGCCACTTTGACGCTTAAGTGACGGGTTGATGCTCTCTTCTCCAACCCTGCAAACCTCATTCTCTTTAACAACTGCTTCGGCTGCATGTTTGAATCGTGATTTGAGAGACCTTCGTCCATCCATTGTCGACAAAAGGCCGTGGGCATGTGTCCTGGTGTCAGTAAAGCGGATGCCATATTGCTCGCTTGTTGTTGACTTGAGGCGCGACTAGCTCGTGCTTTAGTTGGAGTTTCTTGTTCTGAAGCACGCCGGCAACAACATAGGAGATTAAACAAAAGCGTCAAGACACCAGCTACTGTATTACAGAGTACCACATCTCTGATACTCCTGTATCAGGTCGGTTTTGCAGGGCTTTCGATTTTGAACCGGCGCGGCGCCGACCCGCGCGACGTGCGCGGCGCGGGTTCCGACAGGGTTTACTAGTAGGGCGGGCGGCCGCCGTCCGCGGCCGACCAAGCGGGCGCGAGGCCCGGCCGCGCTCACGTCGCTGAGAGACGTCACAAGGAGGTCTTGCCCCCGCACAGAACCAGGAAGCAACAGGCATCCAAAGATGGCAGAACTGGAAGAGGCAATGATTAAGTTTATGAAATGTCGTTGGGCATATGAGGCGGCGGTTCGGGAACGGAAGAGACTCTTGGCGAGCTGTGCAGGCACTGGAGAAGCAGCACCCTTACTAACGAAGTCGGAAAAATTACTAGCCGTCCGAGAAAGAGAGAACGCCATCTTGCGGGAGTGGAAGGAATGGGACCGCAAATGGGATGCCCAGGAGGCGAAACTTGGAAGATATGAGGGCTTCGAAATGACCATCTTGCAACCTGCTGCACATTTGTAATTGCCCAGAGCTTTTAAGCTGCAGCACATATGGCTAGGATTGAATAAAATGATTGCATGAATCGTTCTATCGTTGCATTGTAGGGCTTGCCCTAGCAACGTATTGCTGAGGTGGGGCTGATGTTGGTAGTTGGTTTTGCAGTTGCTTTCATCAAGAAATCCTATCACATTCTGCGTGTTTCCTGGAGGTATGCGCAAGACGACGCGAAGCTGGACTGACAAAGCGAACAGCTGAGTACAGCAAGACAGGGTAACTGTTTGAAGAACCTGAGTAGCTTGCCTTTACTCATGTATAGGGTCCGGTGGAAGGAAGTTTGAGCAAGCTCAATATGTACGTTACACACACTCCTTGTGTATACCCTGCATGTATACCTTGAGAAGGCTAGACCAGTGGCCTGGCCTGGGTGGCTACGATTTGTCAACGGAGAACGTCCTTGTTGCTTCTCAAACGCGCAGACGGGCCAACGCTAGCTTGCGAGCAATTCTTCTGGATCTTCAGATATTCGTTCAATCGCCAGCTTTACATTGGTAGACACCACGTGCCGGGGGCGTGTTCACAGAAAGCTGGCCTTTGTGGCGAGCACGTGAATCGACCATGGATCAGGCTAACCGGCCGGACAGACGTTTGAAGGCTGTGAATCGTCATGCATGCAGTTCAATCCCATTTCCAACATATCTGATTGATAATCTCTCCGGGGAATCCCGTGCATTGACAATAAAGTGCGAAAGGAGGATGACACATTGTTTTGGATCCAGAGTCCCTCGGGACGTTCTCCAACCCGCACATAATGGGGGACGGCTGCATCAACGTGTAGTTGCGGGCTGGGGCCGGTAGCCGCACCTCCTGTGTCCGATGACGGTACTTAGTAACTAGGCGGGTGGCCGCCCCACTTATTACGTGTGCAATGAAAGGTCCATCCGCGGCTCCTGGCTGCAAAGCATGCCCCGCCCGACAACTAAATCTTCTGTGCCAGAGAGGAATCATGTGCAGCCGATCACAGATGGCTTGATTCTTCTGCAGATGCACCTTAAATCCAAGCAGTCCAACGTCATATCAACTCACTCCGCTTCAAGGCCCGCTCGTTGGTGCATCGATCATTGCCATTCGCTGGCTGCGACGCTAGCTCAACTGCAGCGGTCAACATGCATGTATAATCGAAGGCCCTTGACAACGACTCTGTCGCCAAACACAAGCAACTGTACTTATAGTTGCAGCATTTTTATTCCCGTGCCCAATTGTGTCACTAGCTCAAGCTGAAGTAAGGTGCGCATATACGGAGTGAAACACAAGAGGGCTCAACATGCTCATCTCACATGGCACATTAGCTGGCGGCAGGGAACAAAATGGTACCCTGTGTGACTTGCATCGCAACGTCCACATGACGGGCCAATGGACGGCGTCAAATCGACTCACGAGATGCTCTCATGCGGAATGCGTGCACTCTAGCACAGGCACGGCACATTGATACGTTTTGCGCAGCCCGAGCTCTTGACCACACTGCTTAACGGCTGTGACTGTCTCCATTACAAGCGACCGGCGCAACGAAGCAGCCTCAATTCCGTTTCCGAACGTATTCTGAAATCGAGCCAATTCTCTTCCGTCTACAGTCCGTTCGCAAAACCGCGGCCGTCGTTCAGGAACCCGGGCAACGGCTCGACCGTCGGTTCAATCCGCGGCAGCGGCGCGGGGCTCGGGAGGCCTCCCCTCGCGTCGTATTTCAGCGCGCGCTGCACGTAGAACAGCAGGTAGACCTGCGAGCCCTTGACAATTTCCTCGTCGACCCGCGTCACGCACGCGTCATCACACTTGTACCATTCCCCCTCCCCTTTCAGATACGCGATGTAGTGCCCCGAGTCGAGCCGGCCCGAGTGCGTCACGACCGCAAAAAGGTCGTACAACGGGCAGGGGCTGGGTTCGAGGTCTGTTCCGGCCGTCGACCGGAACTCCCCCGGAAGCGAGGCGGCCGGAACGGCGTCCGGTGCGAGGTTCAGGTCCGGCACCTCCCGGTGCCGCTGACGCAATCGCACGATCGTCGACGAGAGGTACGGCGTCATGTCGAGGGAGGAGGAGAACTTGAGGAAGCGGTCGACCTTTCGGGAGGTCTTGTTCGACGACGAGTGTTCGAAGCGCTTGATGTGCAGGCACAGTACGAGGGGCAACTTCCGGATCGACATCTGCTTCGTCGAATCCTGCCGCTGCTGGCACCGCTGGCAGTGGAACTTTTCGTTGTTGCCCAACCGCTCCGGCCGCGTGAACCGGTTCAAACACCCCACCAAACTCGCCTCCTCCTGCTCCTCTTTCGGGGGGGTGCTCCCGCTTGTGCTCGCGACCCCCCCCTCGCAGTCCGACGCCGTCCCCGGCCCCAGCGCCGCGGACGACTCCCCCTCTTCGGCCGCCACGTGGCCCCTCGTCACAGCCGCCACGTGTACCTCCTTGTCGGCCACCACGTGGCCGTTCGCCTGCTTGCCCCGCTTCCCCCCCCGGCCCTTCCATTTCTTCCCTGCCGCCGGCCCTTTCTTGCTGACGTCAGGATGACGCTTGCTAGGCCCGGGGCCGGTGCTGGAGTCGCTCGAGAGCCTGTCACGTGTCGGCTCCTGGTTGGGCGGTTCCAGGTCGAGCGACACGTCGACGCACGGGTCGCACGTGGTGGAGGTGAAGCCGCAGACCGTGCAGGTGACGTCAGAGCGAAGAACGCCCGAGAAAACTTTGTGCACGATGCAGCGGCACTCGGCGTCACCCACCCTGGACAGGAAAATGAACGACGTCAGGTTTACGACGAGAGAAATCGATGAAACCGCTCCAGAAGCAGGAGATTAGCTTTTGTGCACAATGCACGGAGCTCGGTGTGACATTTCTAAACAGTTGAGAACTTTTGCAGATGACAAGTGGATGCTTTCGGAGCCTTTTATTGCTTAAGGGCAAGGAGATGGTCAGGGGAAGGAGATGCGACCGTCAAGGATCTGACCAATCGAGAGTGTCAAAAGGTAATCCGGACACTCAATTGGACCCAATCGGAGCAGTATCTGGGAGAAAGGAGAGAGTTCGGGATTCAAAAGTATGTCCACGAGTGTCCACGAGACTACGCCTTCGAAATACGAACATTCAGGCTGAGAGAACGAGAAAACAATGCGAATCAGGAAGCTTTGAACTTGTGATTGCCACTCATTAATAGAAGAAGGCTTGACAAAAATTGGGATTGGAAGCATGGCCAGAAAGCAGAACTAGCACCTGGCCGCCTCTTGGAAATTCGCAACCGTTTGAATGCCTCCTGTGATGGTTAAAGCGTTTTGACAAAGAACGGCCCCGAAGGAACATCTCATGCATGATGAGCCAAGATCGCCGCTCGACAAAACGGCCAAACAAAACTTGCGAACACACCGTTCAATAACATATAATCAAGCTGCTGATGCCCGCTACACATTAGTTAACCTGAAGACTTCTGCAACAACATACTCACGCCAACTGCAGCAAAGCATGCAATGGGCTATTCGAGAAAGAAGACAAGACTTGTGTCAGAAACGGAGACACAGGCGGACGGTCCGGACACAAGTTGCACGGAAACTGCTAGACGACAAACCGGCCAGATGAAGCTTGCGTCCAGACCGTTCAGAGGTTGAACCAAGTTGCTGACGTCCGCTTCTTACTATGGAGATGTGAGCGAGAAAGATCTATCTCAAGCATCCTTAAAATTACGACTCGTTTTTTGCGGCACTACCCAAGGAAAGATACAAATCTCCTGAACACACCAACAATCAGTCGCAGAAACAAAGGAGCAAGCGGCCAGTCCGCACCTATCATTCTCTAGACTAGGTATAGTAAGCTCAAGTCATAGTACTGGGACGGGTAAGGTTAGTATGGGGGTTAGGGTGGGTAGGGTTGCGGAGGGGGGGTGACTGATGGGGTTTGGATTTCCAGTGTTAGCTCCGTTCTTACTATACCGAGGCTTACCATAACTATTCTAGAGAAGTCATTGCGTACCTGTGTCCCTGAGGCCGCCGCGCCATGGGCGACATCGTGCCAGCGTTCGCATGAATTCCATCCACCGTCGAAATGAAGAACTCGTGCGCGTCCTGCTGCTCATACCCCGCCAGATCCTCCGCGTGTCGCCACCAGCTGCAAAGATGGTTAGATATGGGTTAGCACTGGCTGCGTGGTGGATGGTTAGAATATGGGTTAGCACTGGCTGAGTATTGAACTTCACAGCTCTGGCGTGCTGACCGGGTCTTGAAGTGCTGGTTCCGCGAAACGGTTGCCAAAGGAATCGAGCCAAGAGTGCAGGGATGCTATCAAGGCAGTACACCAGAGTTCAGCAAGACACTGACAGAATAAGCAAGGATCCGAGCTGCGACATGGGTTTTTGGAATTCCTCAAAATACCTCAAAAAGAAAGAAAGAGACTGAGACCGAAGTAAGAGTGCAACGTTGCAGCAGCCAAATCAAAGCTGCGCCGGCCTGAGCTGTGAGAATTGACAACCTGCCGGACAGCTTCTTGCTTTGTTCTGAGCTTTAACTACCCCAAGACTCTGCATTCTGTCAGGGAAGAGGGAAGCAGTATGCGAGGCAGCCTCTGCACAAATGGGGCTTGAACAATCACCTCAAGATATGGATATGAAAGCAGAACTCCAGGGTTCTAAAGCTCGCACCCAGCAAGATCCATGAGTTCATTACACCACCAGCTAAACACGGGTTTACAAAGAAACTTGCACTTAGCTGAAACAAATGAGCATCCACATTCATTACCCATCGACGCGGCGTCCAAAGTTTTCCCATCCCCATCCCTGTGCTTTTTCTGTTTGTTATCTATTGTTCCCTTCTATCTCTCGGTTCTTTGTTATGGTTTGGCTAAGAAAGCATGAGCAGGCTTCCAAGCAACCTGAGACATTTCTTGCGAGGCAAATGCAAGCCCTCTTCTGTTCGCTTGTCCTCATGCGAGGCATTTAGACCCAGTCCTAAATGCTACCTAGACTTTTCTCTTTAAAACCCACCTGTAGAGGAAGTCCGCTGGGCTGAAAGGCGCGCGATTCCCCGAGAATGCCGCTCCGAACATGCTATCCATTTCGCACCCCAAACAATTCCGCGCCCCATCTTTTTGGCACACCGCCCGGTTATGCCGGTCGTTCAGAAAGTAGTTCCGCAACGGGGGGGTGTGTAACAACGCCTGGAGCACCGAGTTCATAAAACACGTGTTTCCCAGGTTATTCAGGCCCCTCAAGCCCGCCGGGAACCCGTTTCTCAATTCAGGTGTGATGGGTCGCTCCCCAGCTATCGCCCCCCCGTCCCAGTCCTTTTGCTTGGCCATCTTTTTCCGCCGCTTGATTGGCCGGGGAAAGTTCGCCGCCGGCAAATCGTATCGCCCCTGGTTGCTCTCCAACTTTTCCCTGTAGCTGACATCCGCCGCCAACCCCTCCCGGACCACCGCATCGAACTCGGGGTCGTAAACGACGTCCCCGCACGCCCCACAGAACAGCACTTTCCGCTGGACGTCGACCGCTATCTCGTGACCACCCCCCTGCAAAGCGTGCTCCCTTGCATGCTGCTCTTTCGGCCCCCAGCACCCCACCCCCCCACATGCCAAACACGAGTACAACCTACCAAGCCCAGTGCAGCACCCGGGGTGTTCACACCGCTGTGGGGAGGTATTCGCACCCCTCTGCAAGAGCTCTGGCAGCAGGTCATATGCCCCCGCCCCCCGGTGCAGCTTGAACAGCTGCAGGTGCTGGCAGGGGGTGTAAAACGGCCCACCGGGGACCCCCCCCGGGAGCGGCGCCACCTTTGCACACATGGTGCCGGGTCAGCCAGCGCTTATTCGCAATGCACTTGTTCACACTGGGCCTTTCTGCATGAGCCTCGCACGTTGAGCTGCTCGTTTCCGGGCTTGTTCACATCAGCTGACCCTACCAGGGCTTCTTCACACCAAACAGGGGGGCACCTTTCTTGGACTGGGCCAAAGGGTTTTTGAGTGGGAACGGCTTCAACGGGCCCCTTCAGAAGAAGAAGTCAACCTTTAGGCTGCCCAGTGTGAACGAGCACCGATTGGCAGGCTGCAAACAAGAGGCTCTCAGTCCACCAGTAGATAGGGGGTGCCTGCAGATCACAGGGCAGGATCCTGTATTAGGAGAGATGCTGTGATGGAAGCGAGGCCGGCAATGCAGTCTGGGAAGAATGCTGTGGGGTTGGTCCCTTCCAAGGAAGGTGACACGTGTCCCTTGTTGCTCACCACCATAAGAGGACCTTAGGGTTCCGCATGAAAAGTCTGGATTGGAAACAGGAGGCTTTCTTCTTTGGGGAATGGCTATTCCACCATCTTCGGGGAAAAGATGCCTGTAAGAGCCTCGGAAGAGCATGCTTGGTTGATCTTTTCAGAAGGAACTGACAACGAGAGGGAGCGTGTCACATTAGAAGTGAGATACACGACTCAGAACTAGGGTTCCAAATGGTTGCAAGGAAGAAGCTAAAAGCACAAGGAGAACTTGAGAAACACACCCACCTTCTATCTGGCCTGTGATCATGGCCAATGACCATCAAACACTTTAGCTTGGACTCTGGCAACCACCATGGCACCTTTCTACTGCAGCAGCAAAAGCTGGGCACTTTCCCAAAGAGAGGAGAAGAAGCAATCGGATGCCCCAGCGCCAAACCGCAAATCCAGGAACCTGGCGACCACGAGTTTGTTTCCGCGGCCAGACTTGGCGTCCGAATTCTACTGCCCGGTAGGAGACTGTTTTCTGCCCGGTTTCAAGTGAGGCCTTGCTTGGATTAGCTATCACCGGGCAAAACACCCCGAGCGATTTCAGGAGATGTCCGCATTTTGCGTCCCAGATCTGTCCAGTGTCAACACAGAACTCAATGATAGATCGTCCGCAACAAATCCTCCCGGCACGGCCGTGGCCGCCCTAGCCGCTAAGCAGGGTTTGAAGGGTTTCAATCCCGATGTCAGTGACGGACCTCTTGGATCGCGATAACGCGTCTAGGTGTGCGAAATTCAAGTACCTAAGCCCCGTCCAACGGTCCTGGTACTGGGAGCTTGCATGACCGGCACACCTCTACAAAAGGCTGGCCAAAATGTCAGGCAGCCATTGCCCTCATCTGTAAGTTGAACGCAAGTATGGGACCTAGTTAAAAGGACGTCTCGTCCATCTGATACTTATACTACAATATAGCACTGTAGCACAATAGCACTGATTCTTGTTACCAACTGCTGTGGGAGACACGAACACAGCTCAATAACGGGTCTTCCTGCGTACTGATAACGCTTCGTCCCGCGAGTCGTCTGCAGAGTAGTAACGCTGTTTGTGAAAGCTGGTCTAGAAGCGGTTTATCCCTTTCTGAGGCGTACTAACTGGTTACTGTCCCCAGTGTTTTTAGTGAGGGCGGAAAGCCGTTGTATTCCTGAGCCCAAAAGGGGGGGCGCTTCGAGTTTGTTCTCAATTTGGTGAAGTATATGCTGACCGGGGGACAGACCCCCAGCAGACCGGGTTGCAAACGTCGATGTTGTTGTGCAGCCTAAGTTTGCAGTAATGATTTATGGGCAAACGAGTACGATACAATCCAGATACAGTTCAGATTCGCGGTGCAGTCGCCTGAAGACGTTCGATTTCAAGGAGAATCCGTGTCACAACCGAAACAGCGCCCATGAAAGGAAGTATATGCGACTCTGGAATAGCTTCGCGTGACTTATGAACGACAGGTAGAACCGCTATATGTTTGTCAACGTTCCGAAACATGTGAAGCTTTCTGGCCGGGTTCTGGCCATTTTCCTAGAACTTATAACGTATTCGTTACCTGATGACGTCGTCCCTTAGCTTACTCTCCCGCTGATTTAAACCCCTTCGACCTTGTAATCTTCTTCGTCCGGAAAAGAAGATCTCTACGTACTCTCTTTGACACCCATCTTGGAAACTCTTCCTGACACCACTTCGAGTCAGTCTCCTTAACCAGTTCGAGCACACATGTAACTCGACCCTACGCGTCTCCTCAAACGTCTGAACAGGGTAATGCTTGAACCTTGAACCGTTATAAAATCCTACAAATCAACTGAGTTCTAGGTTCGTTCCTCTCTAAGAACTCTCATCTATTTGAGTATCCTAATGCCGCCTTGCTTCTGTTTCTTCCCCTTGATGACTGAACCTGCCTTTTTAATATTTTGACGTGTCTTCAATAGCCTATGACGTGTTGCCAATGTTCTATAAACGTGTCCATCCTCTGACCTACTTTTTGGGTCTCGGGGGAACAATCACCACTGGAACGGTGCAATTCTGAACTAGGTGGGAACTGACGCTGCCCATGAAGATGCTGCGAATCAGGAAAGAGCACGTGTCACTTACGAAACCAGCAATCCTAGCTTATCAGTTCTGTTCGCAGCCAAAGTTATTTGATAGCCAAGGCAAAAGGAGACGCTAAGACGGACGGTTTAGAGCCTCTGGAGGAGGTTTTGCATCCTAAGCTTATACCAATTTCTTCCAATCGTGGCGAACCGCTTTGCTTTCATGTTACTATTAGGATTCGTGTTCTGACGCCAATTGACTGCTGCCACTGTGTTGCTCGCTTGTATATTTCCTCTTCTAAATCAACTTCTTAAGGAAACTTTCGGCGGCGCTTACGTCAACGAAAGGGGACGCAGAGTCACAGCCAAAGTACGAAGATAAAATAGAGCAACAGCAAAGCGTGAGCAGAAGCAAGAGGGAAACGCAAAACGAAAGCCGGACCGAACAACCGAATTCGGATGAACTGTTGGGAAACCAAGAAAATAACTTCAAAAATAGACTCACGTTTGCAACTTGTTGAGCCCCCGAGTGCCCACCACGACCACGTCAACCGGGTGACTCGCGACGTACTCAGGGATCACCGTCCGGGGATCCCCCGGAATCACAACGATCTCGCTGTCAACCTGCGAGGATTGAGCGAGGAGGCGTTTGAAAGGAAATGCCCAGCGAACTTTCCCTTCCGGCGACTTATGGTACGAGAATACTGCTTGTAAGTCGCCCTGCCCAACTTACCCTGGTCAGCAAGCCGCAACGACAGACAGTCGACCAGTAGTGGTGTCTTAAGGAAACTTTAAGATTCGTAGAATTCTTCTTTCGAGAGTCTATGTATCGCCCACAACGTCTCCAGTCAAAGCATCTCCGCCTAGATTCTGTTTGGATTGACTGAGAGAAGGTGCGGCTGACTTGAGCAGTGCAAAAAGAAGCGCACCAGCACTTTACGGCTCGACTCAAGCGGCAGCACCTTAGTTCCATATATTGTGCAAAGTGCGTGAAGCACTGAACTGGGCCTAAGAGACCACCGGAACTCTTATCTCCTTTCTGTGTGCCCTGATTGGCTCACTGGTCGAGCAACAGCTTTTGTGCTTTTGTTCGTCCGCGCGCTTTCAAACGTACATCGATACCTGTTGTGCCGCGCATGCGGCCCAAAACGCTCTCTATTACTCCGGCTCCTTTGTTCCTTCTTTTCCTATCGCCCCAAATGGGCCTGACTGCCTCTTTACAAAACAGGAGACCACCCTCTGTTTTGACAAAAGTCTCGCGCACATACATACAAACTCGAACAGCTAAACATATCATCTAAAGTTCCCCTGCAGGAAAAGAACAGAATAGCATTTGATTTCCAAAGAGCGTTTTATCTTCAAATCTTAGATTGCTGACGGAAAAAAGTAGTTACGCACCTTCAGGCCCTCTCGGAGCTTCTCCAGGCTCTCGATGCGTTCGCTGTTGAGGCGGCTCTGCATGATGTCTCGTTGCTGCTCCGTCAAGATGTGCAGACCCACGACGTCATCGTATTCTGCAAAAGAGGAAAGCTTACATGTCAGACAGTCTGGTGCCAGATATCTAGAGTCGTACCAACCAAGCTGCTTTGAGAACAAGATGGACACGCCAAGAAAACGGCATAGGTCGCGGGAGGAAAGGCTTTGCTTGCAAAGAAAGCCCCTGGTGCTTAATGTTTGGATAATCTACTTTTTGCAATATGTCTGACAACGTTCAGGGCCTTGAGTTAGTATGCAAGCTCCACGAGTAAGTGCAAACAGAAAGTGATCCCTAGTTCTTCCAAATCTGGTTCCCAGGAGCAGCATGTATGAGGTCTATCCAAGAAGAGACTGCCCATCAAAGCGTCTTCCTTCTTTTGACTAGTACAAAAAAGAGAGCATGCTTCTTCTTGACTGTCCCTTTTTTGACATTCTTTTGAGACTCTCAGCTTTTTAAGGCAACAAGATACTCAGGCCTGTCCAATCGAGCTACACTTGAGGCAAAGCCTTTGTGTGAAGGGTCGGCCTTTAGAGCTGTTTCCTCTGACAACATTTTCTTGCTGCAGTCTTTTTGCTGGAGTTGAAAGGGATTGTAGTCTAGTGCATACTATAATAGCGGCTACAGCTGAAACTCCCTCGAGTTCCAAGATAATATAGCTATCATGGGGAGATCAGTGGAGCTGGGAGATTTCCGATAAGGTACAAGAGACATCAAACTTTTGAAGACAAGCTTGTGTCCTGCTGAACAGAGCTTTTGTGGGGCGTATGTAATCATTTGCGCAACAAAAGATGGCCCTAGAAGGCACCTCGCATTTGAATCCAAACCAACCTGAATAGCAATCAAAGCAATTGACCACTTGATACTAGGTCAGGCGTCAGACACACATTGCGTCATAATGGTATGGTGAACGCAAAGGGAACTTACCATCCAAAGCCGTGACCGCCTGAAACAGTATCAGCGAGTCGCCTGGGCCCGTTGCCAACTTCTCAGCCGCAAATCTGAACGCTTGTTCGGACCCTTCAGAGCCATCGATTGCGCACAAGACCCGCTTACCGGACGCCATATTGCAGGCTGTAATTGCGAGATCAGCTGATCTGTCGTGGGGTTCAGCCGGAGCAAATGAATGCGCTTAGAGCAAGTGAAAAAGCAGCTGCTGATGTTGGACTTGCGAGGAACGATGTGCGTCTTGTTTAGAGCGCAAATGTTTGTCTTAAACCCGTCTTAAAGAGCTGTGGTGGTTTTCTATCGTTAAGTGCGAAAGCAGAGTCCCTGCTGTGACCATAGTATCTGCTCGACATTGGGACTGCCGTCGCAATCTTGTGGGCGTTCGTCCATGTCGACCGGGTGAAGTACCGGCCATGATACTGACAGCCGACATCAGGGAAAACCAGAGAGTCAGAGATCCGCCGGCTGCGCCACACCTGGCCCGCGGGTTAAACCAGCACTTAGTACGCCTACGCCGAGTCAGTGCCACGTCGGTGCAAACCAGCTAAATATTGCAATGTCGTTCGGATGTCGACACGGCCAGAGGCAATCTGGCCGGCGACCCAATTGAGAAGCGCGCCCATCACATGGCTGCATTTCAATCGATTCCTATAGTAAAGGGGCTTGGAATGTTTTCGACCCTGGTCACTGCATGGCAGTGGTAGCCGCAGCAAATCGATACAAGCTTGATCCATCAAAGGAGCGTGGCCGCCGCAGAAAATATATTTTCCCACTCGGCTGCCGCCCTGGCAGGTTGTGCTTGCACGGCAGATGGTATGGTTTCTGTGACTCTCAGCATCATGAGGTGCCGCTGTTGAGTTTTGGCGGCATCATGTGCTTGCTAAGAAAGTCCACAGAAACCATTCTGTCCCTTAAGAATTCTGACTTTGCGAAATGTCAGGCGAACATGGCAAATTAACTCCCGCCAAGGAAATCAGTGGGTCCTTGACAATCTCGTGTTGCTGGAAGAGCGCCACTGGGCGACTTTGGACACGGGGAGATCCATGCATTCGTGAACCAATGCAATACTCTGCTTTGTGCACGCGTTCGGTTGTCGACTGAGCATGCCAGCTCTCGTTTTCTGGATTTCTACCCCTCAAAGGGTTCAAAGCCCCTGGGCTGGAAACGCGGGCTTAAATACGTTGTTCCTCTCGCATCGCTTCTTTGAACTTTCTCTGCTCCTCTAGCGACAGATTGCTTTCGTCTACTTCGTCGCTCATGTTCAGAACTCGTTCCATCACTTCGACCGACACATCTACCCCCGCTACCTGCGCCTCTTGCATGAGCAGATTTGCGGTGTCCTTTTGACAGCCCTCCACGGCGGCCTGCAACGCGTCCTCGTACAGGAACCTGCCCAATCACAGGGTGACACGTCAGCATTTGTCAGCGGGCCCAGCCGCACATTTGAGTACTGAATAGATGCGGACGAAAACACGGATGGAGATACGGACTACAGGGCTGAAACTGTCATGAAGAAGTTTACGAGACACCTTTCAGAGCCTTCTTATGCCAGTCGAATTGTTTGGTTGCTGCAAGACAAAGGATACGTCTGCTCCAGACTAGAAGCAGAGCAACCAATCTAAGCGCAGCACCTATTTGCAGCGGGAAAGTTTTTTGCATAGTCCCTTTGAAAGTGTGCCTATGGCAGTCCGATCAAATTGCTGACATGATACGACTACTGCAGCGTGCTGTAACGTTCCAGGAGCCGCTTCAGGTGCAAGCTCAACTGTTCACAAAGCGGCTGCTAGCAAGAAAGCAAGAGATTACGAGCAATCAAGAACTCAAGCCGAGTGCAAATGCGATACACAAAGGACCGAGTTGGCCAGGACGGACCTCAAGAAGCACACTCTGACCAAAAGTCTGACTTCAGAAGGGACTTGCAACCAAAAGCGATAGAGGAATGCACAGACGGAAAGCGCACCCGAGAGTCCGTACTTGGGGGGGAATGGCCAGGTAAACGGAAAAGAAGCCCCGGTGCTTCACATTTTGATGTCGGGAACTTTCGCTACTCGTCCCGAATCTAATTGGAACAAAACCCTGGACGATTGCAGCTCCCTTATGTCTGGATTGAGGATGGGGCGGCAACAGAAATGAATGACCAAACAACAAGCTCAAGAACTTGGCTAAGGTATTCTCGAGTGTTGCAAGACTTACCGGCCGTAGACGTAGCCGTGGCGCTCGCGCGCCACTTGGAGGAGCTCCGGCAGGTCCTCCACCTTTTCGAGCGTGATGGCGTGGCGAATGAGGAAACAAAAGTCCTCCATCGTCGGGGTGCCGCCCAGCTCGACCACCTGGCGGACAGGGCCACTCCGTTTAGGGTTTTGTGGTTCAAGGTTGTAGAATTTTGAGGTTTGACGTTCCAGGATCATATCCGATTCTGCAAGGGTTTGGCTCTTAAATCCAGGGCCTCGAGGAGTCTAAGCAAACAAAAGAAGTCCTCCATTGTTGGAGCGCCGCCCAGCTCCACCACCTGGCGGGCAAGACAGGAGACTCGACTTTCAGATTTAGCAAGTTTACATCTCTTGGAATTGAGCTTTCAGATTTGCGGACGAAATTTCGTTTTTTAGTTGGTTTCAGGGTCTTGGATTACAGAAGTTCGAGGACTCCTAGCACGCAGTGGAGATCTTGATTTTAATGCGCCGCCTGGTTTCACCGCCTGACGATGCCGGGTCGTGACTCAGATTACAAACCTCTGAGGATCTGGCGCTTGCGTCATAAACGCTTGGAGGCTGGGTGAAGCGGTGAGAATATGTTCCAAATGTCGCGCGGATTTGAAGATCAAGGTATTTCAGGAGCATGCAATCTAAAAAGTTTTCGAGATAGAGAATCCACAGCTCTATCGCTTGAGGGAACTGCTGACCCTGTAGAAGTCCCCATCCGGACCCTGTTTGGTACGCTTTCTCTCCCAAAAAGGCGCTCACTATTTGCATTAGACACCGCGTCATGTTAAAATACCGACTGCGGTCTTCCATCAACCATTCACTTTCCCTCCCTGAAACTGCGCCCACTTTTGCACCAGACACCGCCCAAAATTCAGAAATCCCAAATGCGGTCTTCCATGGAACAATATTTTTTTACCCCTAGAAGTGCCCACCTTTTGCACTAAAGACCACGCCGCGTAATGATTGTGCCTTTAAGGGAACAGTCGCTCTCTCGTTCTGAACCTGCACATATCTTTTGCTTCGAACACCCCCCATATGGAGCGCCTGATTCTCCCTCCCTTTTTTTCTCAGCTTTCCACCCAGATTTAGCACCTCCACCCACCTTTTACATCAGATACCGCGCCATGTCAAACGCCTCGTTTCTACTCTTCTCACCGTTTTTCTTAGCGCCCCCCAGTTTTAGCACCTGCACCTACCTTTTGCATGAGATACCGCGCCATGTTGAACTCCCGGATGCGGTCATACGATTCTGCCGGTTCGAACAGCCCGTCCCGATACGCGGCCCGTTCGTCGTCCTCCCAGTGGAAGCCCCACCCGCTCGCCGCGTCCACCCACTCCATGCGCCACCACTCCTGCACATCGTCCTTCGCCAGCCCGCTCGTGCCGCTCTTCTTGTTCAGGTACCTGTGACAACACAGGGTGACGTCATTAGTGACGTCAGCAGAAAGCTACCATAAAGCATCATGTAAAGATCGTCGAGATCCGGAGCCAAGCCACCACTCCTGCACGTCGTCATTCGCCAGCCCGCTCGTGCCGTTCTTCTTGTTCAAGTACCAGTGGCAAAAAATAGGGTGACATTATCAGGGACGTCAGCAGAATGGTCGGAGACAGCACGCCGTCGTCGTCAGGTGGTCCTCGGCCAGCCCGCTCGTGCCGCCCTTCTTGTTTGATTACCTGTGAGAAGGTGGGGGAACCCCCCCTCCCATTTGCCCCCTAAGAATAACAGGGAACAGATATGGGAAAATCAGAGAAATACCTTACAAACGGCTCATCTCGTCGAAGCATATCAGCTGATTGGCCCGCTGCTTCTTCCAATACTTGATGAAGGGTGGAAAGTATGCTGACAGTAACACGTAGCAGGTAGCACTGGGTCTGGGCTCCTAAATGTTCCATCACTGTCTGTCCGGCATCGAACCCGAGGGACCTCAATGCTGGCACACACTTAGCACCAAAAGCAGCCGACTCACTCGACGGCGAGCGCCTCAAACTCTTCCTCCGTCTTCTCCTCCAGCAACGTGTCCAGCTCGTTCTGCCGGGCGCTGTATCGGTGCCCCCGGTCGTACCAGTACGGCTCCATGGGGCGGATCGCCCGCCCGGAGTTCTCCCCCCGGTGCTCGCGCAGGAACGAGAGCCAGTCGTCAGGGGGATCCCCCGGGAGCGGAGGATGGTCGTACACCACTTTCGCCTCCTCGCGCATCCGAATGCGCGACTCGACCTCGGCGTCTAGGGCGGCTTCGGCGGCCTGGGAGGAGGAAGAGCATAATCTGACGTCAGAGAGGCGTTTGATGTACGTCAGACGAATTCCCGCTGGAAGGGCGTTCAGCGTTGACACTCTGTCTCCGGTCCTCAAACCGTTCAAAGAACGCTCCTTTGTACTAAGTAGGGTATACAGGTGTTCGCATAGGAGAGCATCAAGCGGGCACGGTGACAAGGCTGCAAGGGCGATGGGTCGTGTTCAGTTGCGCTAAGCCTTTCCTCTGCTGACGCCACATTTTACAGCCCGTCAATGGTCCAGGCCAGACTTATGAATGCAAAAAAAAAAAGGTGGCAAAAACATGTGACTTGCAAAAAACAGAGAACGAACAAGAGAGAAACTGAAACAGGCCTGGTCTGCCTGACCGCCTTCTTCTGACGCTCTTCCCCCTGATCCCGCAGAAATCACTCGGCAGATTTTGAGAACGACACAAGAACGTCCAAGAATTAAGACCTCTTGAGACACTCCACCTGCCACGTGGCACCTCCCCACTCGCCCTCTTATCCACAAGCTCCTCCCACTCGTACTTTGCAACACCAAACGTCCCTGGAATCTGACCACTTGTGAGATGCTGCCACGTGGCCTCTTCTCACTCACCGCCTTATCCTCGGGCTCCTCCCCCTCGTATCCCGCCGGCACCCACATCTCGGACCCGCGCGCCCGCGCCTCCCGCCGCGCCTTTTGCACGCGCTCGTACAGCTGCGACCGCGTTCCGACCGTCGATTGCTTATACCCCGCGAGTTCTTCTTTCAGTTCGGCCACCAACAGCTTGCTCGCCGCCTTCGGGACCCGCTTGATCGGCACCGACCGCTCGATCTGCAATCAGAGGCACCAAAAGATTATTAGAAATCAGACCAACGTAAGCGGAACAGAACATTGTAAGAGAAAACACGCGCTCTAGACTGTTGACCACAGGGTTTCTGTTGACTCAGCAACCAGAAGCTTGCTCCCGCCTTTGGCACGCGCTCGATAAGCACCGACTTGCTCAATCTGCAAGTCAGATTTGAGAAAAAAAGTAAGAACTCGCTTCAAGCCATCTATTGCTTAGTATGCAAACTGCTGGAGAAGGGCTGAAGGGCGCACGAATAGCATTTGTCAATATGCAGAGAGCGTTGAAAACGTTGGCGGTAGGTATCACGTCGTCTCGACACACCCCTAGCCTACGTGCTCTAGAAGTACCAACTCACTAAGAAAAGTTCTGAAAACAACAGCCTCTTATTCATAACGCTCTCACTCTGAGAGGGCAGAGCGTGACAATCCTCTGGCCTTGAAAGAGCTTTTTGCACCCAAGCCTCTTTACCAGAGAGTCAAGAATCCCAGATTTCGAGCCTGAATCTGCACCGTATGAATAACTTTTCTCAACGCTCAACGCTTCTGAAAGCAGAAAAGGAAATCACAGGCGTTTCAATCGTACCCTTGAGTTCGATCATGAACAACTCCTTTTTTCCGGAACCCTCTAAGCGTACCCTTGACTATCTACGAACAAAACCGAAAACTCCTTGACCCTCGCACTATTCTTGAAGCGCTCGACGAGCGACTCCGCCTCCCTTCTTTTTCAGGCCCATTTATGAGCAAGCCCAGGCCCGTTTATTAGCAGACTCCAGTGTCACTCTCAAACTCCTAACACCCATATGTGAGCGCGCCTCAGAACTCAAAAGCTCCAAAATCGCTCACATCGATCCTGCACCGCTCGACGAGCTTCTCCGCCTCCCAGCGCTCCTCGAGCGGCGCGTCGGGGTCCACCCGGCGCACGGCGGCGTCGAGGCGGTCCAGCTTCTTGCGCCGCTGCAGCAGCGAGAGGTGCTTCTGCCACGAGATGGACGGCGCGCCCTGGGCGAAGAAAGCGAAGCCGGGGTCGTCCGGGTTGTGCCGCTTCTCCTCCGCCAACTGCATCAGAATCACGGAAATGTTGAGGCTTTTTTGGAAGTTTTTCGCGGAGGTCTGACTGTTTTTAGGAGGGCTGTTGCCGCGTGATGAAGGGCGGAACTGCACGCTGAGCCGGGGCTGGGTTCGACCGCGCCGCTTCTCTTCCGGGCGACTGCACAAGGACTTCCAAGATGTCGAGGCTTTTTCCTCAAACCGACACCCTGAAAGTTCCAATCTGAAGGAGCCGCGGCTTCATTCTGCAACATCCTTGCATCCGGCAGGATTACGAGCGGCTCCAAAAGCACTCGACCAATCATCAACGTGCAACCCAGACAACGCATCAGCATTCCTTCCGCTCGGATCCTGGAACAAAAGGACCAGTCCCCCAACCCCTCACCTCTTCGTCCGTTTTGGCCCAGTTGGGCTTCCGCCGCGCCTTCACACTCCCCGGCAGGTCCTGGCCCTCAATTTCCACTACCCGAAACTTTTCGAGGGGGTCGTTGAAGAAACCCAGATCAACTTCCACGTCCATCGGATCGACCCAACTGGTGCACAACGACCGGCCCCACTGGTTAACCACCATCACCCGTGGGTTTACTTTTAACCCCGCGCGCTCCATGTTGGCCAGGACGAGAAGGAGCTCGTCGATGCGGGCTGCAAGAAATGAAGTTAGGTGAGGTTAAGAAGGACTAGCGTAAAAGTTAAGGATAGGATTTGATCTTACACGTAGGTTTTACTCTCAACCCCGTGCGCTCCAGGTTGGCCAGGACGAGAAAGAGCTCGTCAATGCGGCTTGCGAGAAGGGTTTGTGAGGGTTAGGATAAAGGTAGAGTTTGAGTATCCAACGTGGGCTTCTTTTCACGCCTGCGCGCTCCATGTTACGAGGATGAGAAGGAGCTCGTCAATCCGGCTGCAGGGAATACTGTTTTGGGAGCGGTCAGCCTTTAGCTTGGAGTAGCATGAGGGAAACCTTGTTTGCGTCTCTTTCAATGGCTGCGAGGTCTGAATGCCAGGCGCGCTCCATATTGGTGTCAAGGAGACGAGGCTCCGCATGGCCTGCGGGGTGGTTACAAGCTCGCAGGCTGTTAAAAACTCGTATCGTTCTTTTGTGATTGTGAATTTGCAGGTTGTCTGCACGAGCCTCGAAGGTCTGTTTGGCTGTGAGCAAAGCTTCTGTTGGTCGGTGGGCGAAGCAAATGCCCACAGCCTATATGATGTCTTTGAACAGTGACTGAAAGCCTTGCCTTTTGCTTTGTACCCTACCGCGGACGGCTCGATGGTCTCCACTTCCAAAGGAAACTGAGTAGACAGAACAGGTCACAACCACCACCGACGTTGATCCAGCGAAGGACAGTTGTTTGAGCTCAAAGGACACTGAGTAAAGCTATCAGCACAAGAGGAATCGATCTTGAAAGTGTGATTCGTCTAGCCAGATCAGGCTTACCCGCAGAAGAATTCACGACTATGTTTGGGAGGCCAAGTAGTGGTCCTTCTTAGAAACCAGAAAAGCACGGCCGCAATGTTGACGAGAAGGATCGACCCTTTAAACTCTTGTATATGAGAGGAACTGCTCGTGCTTTCTACAAAAGACGACGGAAAGGGACTCGCCAGACGAAACCCACCTGACTGAACTAAACCTCGTACGTAGATGTCGAGCGCCGAGCCCCGGCCGCGGTCTTCCTCCTGGGGCAACTGACGCAGGATGTGTGGGCCGTAAAAGTTGACCAGGGCCCAGAAGTAGCGCCGCCCAGTATCCAGGTACCGGTTGATGGCGAAGAACTCGAACATGAGCCTGCAGGTGCCCGAGAAAAGGGACCGATTCACGGCGGTGGAACATACGAGAATTATGCAACTTTGAGCAAGACGCTGAAATGAGTTGGGGGCCCGAGGAAGACTTTGGTGGTCAACAAGGTGAGCCGAACTTACGAGTCTATCCGATTGAACCTCAAACCCATTTGATGAATGCAAAGTGTTCTCAGGGTCAGAGAAGTTGAGGCTTCACTTTCACGTGATGCCCCTTCGTGTCATCAAAACTCTGAACGATGGCTTCAGGAGAAAGTCAAATCCCCACCGCTCGCGAATCGACGACGAAACCAACACGAGGCAGTAGCACTGACAACTTGACTCAATGCCTGCTTCTTGAGATAATTTCCTGTGAAGATCGAGACCACTCACAGGAAGGTTTGGAGGTTTGGTTGGAGCAACCGGTTGTCAGTATACAGGCCGGCCAAGATTTCCTCTATGTACTCGTCACTGCAGCAGAACAACAGCTCACGTCAGCCGATTTACGGTTTGATGACACAGGGAAAGCGCTAAACTCCAGGAAGCAGCGCGGGGTCAGTCGCTGCACGGCCTATCACGACCAGCAAGCCACATCCTCGATGAAAAAGTATGCTCAGCTCACTTACAGCCCCTCTCGTTCAGTCTACTTTCGCCCTGTTGAAGTCTGCCCTCTCCCGCCCTCAACTTCGGCGACTGAACATATTGCAAGGTTCAAAACGTAATACTACAGAATCGAAGCCGAAGTATGTCGACTAAATGGCACAAACCCGCGGATCCCTCTGCAGAGTAGTAAACTCTTCGAGGTTCCCAAGGAAAGCAGACTTGAAAAGCTGATGAAACCACTCACGAGTCCCTGCTGCCACTAATGAGCTCCCGGATGTATCCTTCCAGCACAGTGTTGAAGCTGTGGATGTCGGGGTGCTGGCCCGCTGCAACGGGCGACAAAATTGGAGGGTGGTGGCTGACATGATGGCAAATCTTGCTGACGTCTTTGGCCAAAGATTGACGTCATTGTCTGGAAATCCTGGGTGACGTCTTGGATAATGCGATTAGCAACAGGGCAGGGAGAACTCTACACTCAGCAAGGTGTCCGAAGTTGCGAGATGTTGAAAGAACTTGATCAGAACAACATACGGCGACCAGACCGCTCGACGACTAAGAAGCGGACAACAGAAAGAACTAAAGAAGGGTCAGGGTTTTGCTGCAAAACTCACGGCCCTGCTCCTCCATTTCAACCCACGTCTGATCTCTCGCGATGTCCATGGCTGCCACGGAGACGCCCCGCTGCCGGATCGTCCACGCGTTGTTTGACTGCGAGTTTATGATGACACGCCAGCGAAAGTCAGTAGTATACCTGGCTGTCTAGTATAACTAGCGGCCTAAAGCAGAGAATAGAATAGAAGAACGAATGGAAGACGAGAGCGTTCTGAGCCATGAACAATTAACACCGACGATCCTCGAACGGGAAAACTAGTCGCTCCTCGGGTTCTGCTGTACCACTTCAATAGAGAGAGCGAACAGCTGCTGCGAATAGTGTTGCTCGCACCAAAGAAGACCCAGGATAGAGGCAACTTCCCACTGACACCTTCCGAGATGTCGCTGTCAAGTGAAACACCACTTAGAGCCACGTCAAGTTCAAGACGTATCACGGCAATCAGTTTGTCTTTTCGGCTTCACTCCCTCTTCACTCATGAAGCACGACAAGAATCTGCACCTCTTCGTTTCTCAACTTTATAAGGTACGTCTAGTGTGGACACTTTCGTCAAGTCGAACATTCTCAATTCATCGAAACACTCACCAAGGCTTTAAGAATGCGGTTGTACTCAAGCACCGACAGTAGATGCCCCCTCCGCCGCATCAAATCGATGTACGTCCAAACCGCCTTCATCCCAGTAAATCCAAAGCTTTCGTTAACCCGAAGCATCTCTATCCACCGTTCGTACGGCACCGGAAGGCCCCCAGCCGCCCCGTGGGTGAAGACGCGGTTAGCGTCGGTTATGTGCCCATGCTTAACTAGCTCGTCTGCAATGAGAATGATTTCAATCAGCAGATATTTAATCAGGTTGGACAAATAACAGGCTTCTTATGTTTCTTAATACCTAGCATGTTTCTAAGCTGCCAAGGTGACTGCACCTTTCAAGGGATCCCGTCATATCAACCACGACTTCATGATTAGGCACAAAGATGACGTATAACTACGCAGGTTTGACTGGCTGCGTCTATCCAGGAATTTCCGGAGGCCTTTCCAGTCGCGGGATGCTGGGATACACCTACCACAACCCTCGCTTCAATGACCATCGGCTACCGAAGCAACTTCTCTGTCCCCCGAGCAATCATCCGTTTTTCGAACACCTCGAAAGCATCTTGCTTCTAGTTGGGGACAGCATTTTACAGATTGCGAACGAGTCAGCATAACTTATACTTCGAGCCTTTACACGAGCGGTCCACTCACCGACCACCCACTGCCACGGCCCCAGTGCATCGTGCCCTTCCCGCTCGAGCAGCGCCAGGACTTGATCCACCCGGGCACCCAGCCCCGCCTTTGCAAAGCACTGCAGAATCGCCTTGAACGTCTCCGGCAGGGGGTGCTCGCCAGTAGCGAGCGCCCGCCGGAGCGCTTGCACCTGATTTGAGAAAGGGGATATCGTATTGAGAGTTGAGCCAGGGAAAATCAATTGAGAAAGAAGAGAAGACAGCGTTGCTGCCGAAGCCGGAAAGACTTTTGCCTACTGCAACTTTCTGCCAATGAGCATTCTCCCCGACTGTGTTGCCGATTGACTCTGTGCTTGGAACAGCACCTCCATTTTGGTAGGGACGCCCATTTCGATAGGGAAGCTGCTTTCACTAGCGCCACCCAATGGTGTCCCACTGATCACATCGGAAAGAGCCATCCCTGCTTTCCCAAAAGCCTCTTCCCCAATCTCGATTGAGTGGATCAATAAACGCAGACTGCACCGACTTCTGGTCGTAGGGCTGCCACATTGAGCTTAATCAACCATAAGCGATTGATATCCACCACAAGCTATCCAGGACCACCAGCGGCACTTACCGCCCCTTCCCCGTCCCCCTGCGTCGCGTACGCGCACACCACCGAATGATGAATCTTCGCGCCCGGTTTCAGCCCCAGTGCGCGCATCTCCGACAGCCCCCCCTCCGCCGCATCGACGTCCCCTTCCCTCGCTGCCCTCGCCAAGCGCATCATAAACTGCAGCCGCAGTTTGCTCTCCAGAGGGATCCCCACTGTTCCGGTGCGCCGCCGCCGGGTTCGCGTCCTCCCCGCCGGCCCCTCGAACTCGCTCTCCATCCCGCTGTCGAACCCGCTCTCAAACTCGCTCTCATACTCGGAAAAGTCGGCGCCGGCGTCCGCTTTCGGGGCGGGCCATGGCTGCCTGGTTGCGGCTGGCACATGGTTTCTCTCCCTCGCGTCTCTCCCAGAAAGAAAATCTAGATTAGGAAACGAGTACTCGTTCTTCTTCCGTCTACTTCTAGTCAACCGGTCTGAACCCCCTAAAGGCGTGCCGAAGGAGCGGCACTTGGCACAATCGCTCCGCTCGCTGGGTGCACGGCCCGCGCTGACGTCAGCGCGCCTGGCAAGAGACCCAAAGGTGACATCAGCGGTGCTGGTGCATGCTGATGTCAACGGGCCGATGCCACCACCGACCCCATCAGAGCAGATTGCTGTGCCCCAAAGCGTTCCACGGTGTAATGTGAGGTGCGACGTGCTTAGCGCCATATTGTGGACCCCTCTGCGCTGCCGCCGCTAGCCGGTGCACATTGCACTCGCTTCCAGTTTCCGAGAAAGTCCGTCACCAATTTCTTGTGATGGTAATGGTGCTTTCAGTGGTGACAGAAGCGCTGGCCTTTCTGATTGCAGTGCGGAGCCCTCACATTGCCTGACATAGGCATCTACAGAAACAACAAGGATATGCTTTCCACTAAATGTTTCTGAAAGGTGAGCGCCCCAGCCAAGTTCATGCAATGGGTCGCTAACGTTGGATTGTTTGAGCGATGTTATGCCCCTTCCCATCAAGCAGAAGTCCTACCCTCTCTCGCATGCGCAAGGGTAGTTGACCAGGAACGGCGAAGGAGATTTGCTGCGCGCTTTTCCCTGCAACAGTGCAGTGCATGTTTCGTTGAGCTTTTCCCTGCCGCTGTGCGAAGGCTAATAGGAGGCCAGGCCTGCGCCGGCGGAGCTCCGACTCCCGAGTGAGTGGGTCCTCCCTCCAGGCGAAGGAGGCCAGGTTCAAGACATTCAACCATTCGTTAAATACTCTCCGCGGTTTGAAGCCGTCCGATTGAACGAGGACTCGAAGAGAGGCAATTGAACGTCCATCACTCGAATTAGGGTTTGCTGTTCGAAGTTTTGCAGTCTGATTCCGAGTCTGAGCGTCTGAGCCTGTGTGATGAGCACAGCTCGTTTCGTTCAGGTGCTTCAAGGCGCTAGAGCTTTTAAAAGCAGCACAGAGCAATGTGGCTTCGAGGCTTTGCCATGCGCTGGCCAATTCTATCATGAATTGAGGCAAAGCTGGAGCCTTGTTAGCTCGCGGATTTTGACGGAGGTCATCAGATAATTTGCTAGTTAGAACCGGACTGGCGTTTTGCGTCCTGGCCACATCATGGTAAGCTCTGCTCCATTCAGCTGCCTTATAACCTCAGCATATTGCAGCAGCCGTGGTAGAGGCAACCCTTGGGTGACTTTGGCTCGTGATCTGCATCTTGTGAGAATCAATGGACAATCCTTGGTTAGTCAAGAAGGTCCTTGCACAGTCAGACCACGCCGAGGGACCAAAAGCAGAAATGTGTCAGCCCTTTCGCTGTTGGGTAGGATGCCTGAGACATAATCAGAAGTTGGCGCAGTAGCTAGAGAAGACAAATTTGTTGCATGGGCTGCAGCTGTTTTGGTGTAACGAGAGGACAATTGGAACTTGTTGCTCCTAGATTTGAGTAGGCTCTCAGCGGCAATCTCACCATCAAGCAATACGAATTTATGAATTTTCAATCATTGGCTTCACGATGCTGGTATAATTGGATTGGCAACAGAGTTCTTTTCGCCTTGCCTTTCTTCCAATATGACGGTGTGTCACAGAGCTGATCCACAGTTTCCACACTGTACTCGTAGGCTGAAGGAAAGTCAAAGGTGGTGGCTGATTTCCTGGCTCTGATCGACAAGAAGGACTATCGCAAAGCGGCGGAGCAGTATGAGGCGCTGGTGTTCCAAGTCGCGGGCGACACTCTCTTGAGTGCAGAACTTGAGCACCAGCTGCACCTGAGACCTACCAAACCATATAAGAAGGTACGTTCACTGGGGAGACCGAAGTGAGTACTATCTGCATCAGTCCTTTGTTGAAGAGTGCCAAGTTGCTGATGGATCTAAGACAATCTAAGACAGGCAACTCATCCCAGCTGCCTCGAACCTTGAGTTCCCTTCTTTACTTGTGAAAGGTAGGGGAAGCCTCTGAATCAGACTACAATCTTGCGCATGTTTGACCCCATGGCCTTCGGAGACTGAGTTTTTGAGTTTGAGAACCAGTCTTCACCAAGAGCTTGTCCGATTCGGATGCTGCTTGACCCCATAAGAAGTTCTTCTCTTTACAAAGCTCTTGCAGGTCAAAGCTTTTTGCCACTATCATCTCTGCCATAACGCGGATCCAAAGCTCTCAAATCAGCTGATCAGCCTCCTGAAAGTTCACATGTGGCGCATCAAACCTCCAAACCTCCAAACCTCCAAACCTCTGTGGTTTCTGTTTCTCCAGCTGATCAGACTCCTGAAAGACGAGCGTGCGGTGCGCGGCATCTTGTTCATGCTTCTGGTGCCGCATGTCTCCCACACTGTCCTGGCAATCAGCAACACCATTGCCCCCGCTCCTGGCTTGGCAAAGCTCGTAAGTGACGCTGCTTCTGCCTACGTCCCCTCAAGACACTCTGGACGTTGAGTTGTGATACTTTGAGACTTGAGCCTGAGGTTTTCGACCAGATTGACCAAAACCTCAGAGGCCGTGTTCTACTTGTCTTCGAGATCCATTGTATGAACTGAACTCACTTTCCGAGGAGATTTTGCTGTACAGCTAGCTTTAAGATTTCCTTATAAGTTACAGAGGTTGATCTGCACAATAGTTGAGTCGGTCCTTGGTCGGCCGGGTTCAAATCACTTGAATGTCTGTCGCTAAGTTCACAATCTTGACAAGACATGCTTGGTTTCTCCTCCCACCATCAAAAATTATACTTTCTATTTTCACATCCAGATTCCGATTGTCTGCTTCTTTATTCTCCTGAGCTTGCTTCACCTCCCAAAAGTCGTCTCTTTTGTAACTACGCCAGCTGGGCTCTCTGTTCCACCAGAACCTTCCATCAGACTCTGAACTTCCTGTGTTTTTACTCTCGTGCCGCTAGTCTCGTGCCGCATCAACGAGCCTCTTCGGAGACGTCTGTAGGCACTCTATCTAACCAATCCCATCGAACTGAAAACCATGTCCGCAACGGCCCCACGCTTCGTATATCCAACCTTTCAACTTCGCAGCCAGTCCTGTGCGAGGTCTCTTCAGAAGAGCCTTCCACACCAGCCAGCATCCCTGTTTCGTACTTCAGCCACGTTCTATCTTATAGCCATCCGTTCCTTACCTTGCAGTTAGCCTCCTGCGAGACATCCGTCGACACGCTACTCCAACTCGGCTCCCTCCTTCACTTCTTTGCCGTCCGCGCCCTTACGGACAGCCCCGCCTTTTCAGAAAAGGAAGAACACGCCATTCGCGGCTACTACATCTACACGTGCTTCCTGCGCTACCTCCTGCAAGCCAGTCCGGAATTCACGGAGCGCGCTTTCCGGGGGGGTCTTCTCTCCCTGCTCGTGTCCAACCACCCCTTCCCAGGCCAACCCCCCCGAAACGGTGGGCGCGCTGAACTGTACCGAAAAATCGGCCTTTTCACGGCGGGGTGCGTACACTGTTTTATCGAAAGCCCGGCCAAACTAGACCAAGTCTTACGGGACAGTGTTGCGGGGGGTCTGGTGCCATGGATAACCCGGTTCCTGAAAATGGTAATCGCGATCCTGACCCGGTTCCCGGAGTTAGCCCCTCGCTTCGAAATCCAGACGACGAACCTGTTCGACGCCCTTGGGAAGATCTGCGAGCGTGCGAAGAGTGTCGCGCCTAGTTTGAACTCTGCCGCGGAGATTGAAGCAGTGTTACAGTCCGTGAGGGAAGTCAAGCCCCGTCTCAATGACACCACCGCGCGCTTCGCGGCATCCGTCCTGAGCAACGCCCACAAGTGGACAGGGGCGGCGCCGATCACGCAACCACGCGAAATCGGAGTCAAGGCCAGCGACATCGGAGTTCTGTGTTTCGCTGGGAAGCATCCGTGGCCAACCGCTTCGACGGTCAGCGCTTCGCGGGAGAAAACCGTCAAGAAGCTTTCAACCAGCCTCGTGACAGACGTCGCCGTTTTTGCGTTGTTACCGGGCGACCTTCGAGGAGAAGCAACCGGGCAGGTGCAGCGCACTCTCAGCAACTTGGTCGCCGAGATGGAGGAGGGCATCAAGCGGGGGGAAATCTCCCGAGCAGTTATCGACACAGTCGGTTCGGACGTCCTGAACGTCGTCAATGCGGAGCTGTCCAAACTCCCGGCGTCCGTTCATCCGCATCTCGTCGGTCTGCTCATTCTGTGCTTCAACGCTGGGGAGGACACCGAAGCCAAGTGGCATGAGTACACTCGGGTTTTGATTGGGGTCAACCTGCTAACCCTCGACCGGCGTGCGAATCTTGTGTGGCCGTTTGTTATGGCTCTCTTCGGGGCTCTCGACTGGGAGAAACTGTCGGACGGCATGTTTGGCGCGCAGCTCGTCTTCATGGCGTGCTTCAAGAAGAGTCGGCAAAAGGCGTCGAGCTTTCTCCACGCGGATGACGTCATGGGGTTAGTCAAACAGGCGTGGTCGGTTATCGACGAAGCAGGGACGGGCCCGGAGAGCCAAGTCGACGAAACCGTCTGCGCCGCGTCTCATCGAATGTGCGGCCCAGGAGTTTCCCGCCGTTCTAGATTTCGTCGTTGCAAACGTGGCGCCACTGACGCGGTTTCTCGAGTGGGTGACGGTCCGATTCGCGTACCGGGACCTCGGGAAGGCGGGCCGGCCGCGGGGCCCCCCGCCGTCGAAAGTAGACTTCTCGCGCGACGACCTGATCCACATAACGCTGATGCTCGAGCCGCTTTACATAGTCTTCGTACTCGCTTTCGAAGCTTCCCGCGCCGACGCGGCTGCGCGCGAGCGCTTCCTGTCGACCACGGCCGTGAACGGGGGGCTCGCCACGTGCCGGGCCATCATGAAGAGCGCGCGGGCCACCCTGCTGACGTCAGGGGTGGCGTCACCTGCGGGATGTGATGACGACGACGATGTGGAAGTGCTGTCACGGTGGTACCTGCAGCATATGGAGTACACGGACAAGCTGTGGGCGGCTTACGCGGAGCACTTCAAGCTGAGGCCGTGTAGCAACCCGGTAGGGAATTGTCCTGAGGATTTGACACCGACTTTCGTTTTTCTAAGTTGCTGCCGTTGAAGTTTTTGTTGGCTTCGACCAATTGCACGTGTATCATCCGAGAAACATCAGACATGTTTTGAGAGTCATCTGACTCTTGGTTTTGTTCGCCTATTTTAAAAGTTGTGAGCGGTGTGTGCGGAAAAGTCTAAGCTGAGGCCGGGGAATGTTTACGAGTTATCAAAAAGCTGGGTTCGTTCTGTTTTGACCCCTGTTTTCCGAGATCTAACCAGTGTTGAATGGGACAGTTCAGGTGGAACGTACAGTGGAAACCGTAGAGCGACTCCAGCAAGCGTTTCTAATCACTGCAAGCGCTTACTTTCTTGTTGTAAATATCAGAGTTTCTCTTTCGCTGAGCACTGTCTCCGAAGTTCGTGCACGTTACAAAACACTACCCTTGAAAGGAGATCGACTCACTTCAGGAGTGATGGCTTGTCCAATCGTGTCGTATTACTTTTGGTACTGGACGGCTGTTCAGTCTCGTCTCTTTCCCTCAACAACCCAGGCTCTTTCACTCCAAGTTAGTAGAATATCGTTCCCCTGAAGGACAACACGCCAACACCTGTTACGCCTTCTGCAGGAGTGCGTTGATGGAGTCATCGAGTTCCGACGGGCGACTTTCAAGTCGTGTAGCGCGTGCAGCGCCGCCCAATACTGCTCGCGAGAATGCCAGGTCAGCAACTCTTCATTCAAGATTGCACTCTGCGGGCGTCTGTACGTGCGGGATTAAGTTGCCTTCCGGCCAAAACCCGAAGCAGTCAATGATGGATGAAATTGCTTTTGTCTGCTCCGATCAGAGTGCTGGGAAGAACGAGACGGTCTGAAAAGGGGCCTGTTTGATTCTTTGGAGTCGCTTGCCGCTGCGAGGATGCTGGGGATTCCTGGCGAACAATTGCTGCCCACTTGCATGCTTTGTCGTTCACGACGGGGCCCACTCCTGTCGTAGGAAATCTCGGATCAGTGAAAGCGGACTGTGACAGCGGATGCGTTCGTCGGTCCGACGATACTATGGTCACTGTATGACCTTACCACATGAGACGGCTATCTAGAAGAAAAAGGGCTGTGGATGAGTATTAAGTGTGCGCTCCTTGTCGTGCAGTTGATCCATTGGAAGAGAGGTCACAAGCAAGATTGCAAGAAAGCGAAGGGCCAAGCAAACGGATCGGGCCAGCAAAGCTAGCACGTGCCAAGGCTTGGGACTGTGAAATGATGCTTTTGGGGAGCTTTCAGGACTGACAACTTAGGAAGAGACAACAGACATGCTGGGCCGCAGATACCTTTCGATGGGGGCACGACATCGACGGACTCGAGGAGCGTACACTTGGGTAAAGTGAACACGTTTGCCGACCACCTGACTCTGGAAATCGACCCTCCTTGTTTGTTCAAGATCCACAGCAAAGCATGCCGGCATGTTGCTAGCGATCGAGTCCGCTGGGCCGAATGATAATGGATTCTTCTCCCGGACGGTTGCAACCGCGTCACTGGCGCTGATTGTTACGAGCAGTCAGCCACCATGCTTTCGACGTTGCATGTTCCACGTACACAAGAAGCTTCAAGTTTCCTGCTGTTTCCGCCAGTAAGGAAGACTGAATGTGAGCACTGTACGCAATCTGGTCATCAGCCCTTATGCTTGATCGGCGCGGGTTGATATTTGACCGTGAGTTTTGTACGTACGCGCGATCTGCAATGATGTTGTCTGGAAGCTAACTGACATATACTTTTGAACGTCTGCGCTTGCAAGCCCGGCGCTGGGCCGCCGCGGGCCTGCCACCCTACGACCGGGTGCGGCCCATGGCAGGCCGGCGGGGGCAGATGCTCTGGCAGGCGTCATACTGAGATTCAAGTCATCATTAAGCATGAAGCGCGTTCAATCCATGCATTGCGAGTACGACCATATTTGTGCTGGCAGTGCAGTGTTTTGATTGCTCGCGGCGATGTTGATCGAAGCAGCCGGGCGCCCTGGCCAAGAGCTCTAGACGGGTGCTATACGCATCATTAATGTGTGCAGGCGGCTTGGCCTGACCCTAATATGCATATATGGAATGCATGGCATCTATCATCATACATGGTCAACTCTGGCATAGGAAGCCCTTATAGGACCTTACAAGTAGGTGCCGCCCAGCACCAACATTAATTGAGGAATGCACGCAATTAACCGATTTACGTCTAACATTGCAAGACAAGCTAGCAGACTTGCAGTTTGTTCATTGCAAGCCTGACTCGGACACCTTGCCAAGTGACTGCCACAATGATGCGCATCAATGCACCTAAGAGTTGCTTGCCCAACCTTCACTTTGCATGGAGGCGGCACTTGATGATGTGTGCGCTTGGACGTGTCAATGTATTTCCTGAATAGAATCCAGCACTGTCCGCCCCTCTACCAGGCGCTTATAGTCCATTATCCAATTCTCGCCGCCGCTCATCAGCCCCCACCCAAACTCCCCAGCCGCATACTCCCACATCCGCCCCCGTTGCGCCAACCCTCGCCGCTCCCTAAAGTCGGACCCTACAAAGCTCAGCACCGCGATCGCCTCTGGGTGTATACCCACCTGACCATCACTTATACGATAATCCATGCCGTTTGCTATGAGCTCCGCGTTTGACGCGGGGTCAATGTGACCCCGACTCTCGTAATCCCGCTGCTCGGCGCGCGTCAATTCTATCGGGACAGCCCACCACTGGACGCCTTTTGGACTGGGGGCCACGTGGGCCGTGTTCACATCGCACAGCTGGCGGCACTTGACCATCTCTTGCGCGCTGTACGACACGTGGACGATGTCGAGGCCGCCGAGCGCTCCAATGGCCTGCTTGCAATAGAGAGTGAGGCTTCAGCTTTTGGTTCGAACCGTCAAAGTCTGAGGTCAACAACTAGGAACGGCAGCCAAAGCATTGAGGAGATCCTGTTGTGGTCTTTGAAGAGAAGGGACTTTGGCGACTGTTGCCAAGGTTTCCGTGCGGGATAAAACTTGACAACGGCCGTTCCGCCAATCTTCACTTTAGTGTCATGTTCGCCTCCCGACCATGTTCTCTCAGTCTTTGCTGAGACGTGTCCGTTCCATCATTCTTCACCCCTAGTCTGCCAAGAAAAGCAAAGCTGGTGCTTCCCGGAGAAACGGACACGTTACCCCCTCACCTTCCCGAGAGCCTCTAATGGCCTGTGCCAGTGGTTGGCATGAGCTCAGAGTAGGCTTAAAGTATTGCGTGGATGTTAAAGCATGGTCGTTCCCCATCCTCAATCTGACGGACGGGCAACCATCGAAAGCCGACGGCGTCGCTCTTATTGCCAATCACAATCTGGGACGAGAATGGCGACCAGAATATGTGGCCGTCCTATCGATATGAAGCACGCTAGCTACGCCCACGTACACGTCAACGCTGTTAAGAAAAGGACACGTGTCACTCCCACCGTACAGAGGCCCTGTAACGGCCGCTACAATCTTGGGGTAACCTCTGGTTGCCGAGTAATGTGCGACGCTCATGCCGGAACGAGACCGCTTCCAGATACTTCTCCGTAGAAGGCAAGCAAACGGTGATCGAAAACTCGGAGACATGTCCTTTCTTCCATCCTTCCAGAAGCACTGTAACGGCCGTTTCGACGTTGGTGTGTCCTCCAGAATCCGTGTGAAAGTGCTCGGCCTACGCCAAAACACGGTCGCTTCCACGAGACTACCGAAAAAGCAGCAGAAGAAAGGTTGGACACGTGTCCTTCCCACCTTCCAGAGGCCCTGTAACGGCCGTTCCGCCGTCGGCGTGGCCTCCGGAATCCGCACGAAATGCTCCGCCTGCGCCGGAACGCGGCCCTGGCGCTCCGAGCGCTCGCGCTCCTTTCGGCGGGCGCGCTGACGTAAGCCACCCGGGCTGGCCACCCGACTGGACAGGAACTGTGAACAGAAAGGATGGTGTTTGAGGTCTTAAGATTCATTCAACTGGAAAAGAGCGACGATTGAGAGGTCGAAATTGATGGTGATTGAGGTCTTAAGATTCATACAACCGAAAGAGAGTCTTGATTGAGAGGTCGGAATTGACGGCAACATGAAGTCGCTGTTCGGAGATTTTGTTACTAGGTTTAGGAGCAAGGGAGCTGACGAAACGGCGGAAGGACGAGGAGGAACAAGATGCGGATGCAGGCGAAGAGGAAAGAGGCTAGCAATTCGTCACACCCATATTTCTCCCGAAGTCGTTACTTCATGCCCTGGCGCGCACTTCAAAAGCAGTCACCATATCAAAACGGGCTCAAGAACAGATCGCACAACTCCGCTCGCAGATCAGTATGCCAACCCGACGCCCCGATAAGGACTGTATAGACCGGCCACAAATCTTCTAGGCCTTTTTTAGCTCATTCACTGCGGAGGAGACGCAGTGGCAGTACACCTGCCGTTTGCATCAGCTCCTGCTCCGCTTCAGAATGCTTTTGTCTCGTTTTCAAGATCTTTCCGCACCTCTCTTCCCCTTCCGTTACCAAAGACCCAAACGATGTAAAGGAGGAACAAACCAGACCGCTGTCAACAGCAGACAGTGAAAAGCAAAAGCCTTCTCTACTCCATATGTTAATCGGACCGGAAACGCAGGGACCTCTTACCTGGTAAATCTCATAGTTAAACGTTCCGGGGGGGCTGCTTCCGCAGGCCGGCAAGGGGGGGGTCTGCGCGCCGGTGGGCGAAGACGAGCGGCGGCGCCAGGAGTGGCCGATCCCCAGGGAAGCGCTCGCGGCCGCTTCCGCTTCGAAGGACCAGGGTTTGGGTTGGGGGCGACGTTCTTCCAGAACGATATGGTCTGGGGCTACGAACGATAGTTGCAGCGAGCTCTCCTGCTGGAAAGAGGAAGTTGGGCGAAGTTTTTTGAGTTGATTTTCGTACAATTCCGGACTGATTGAGGCAGTTATCGAGAAAGGGCTCCCGGCTGCTTCCTTTCAACGAACAAGGGGTTTGAGCGAGGGGCGTCAAAATTCTAAGACGACATGGTCTGGGGCTACGAACGTCAGCTGCAGCGAGCTTTCCTGTTGGAGGGAAAAGTCGGGCGATACTTGTTAACTCGCCTTAGAGTTACGTTTGGATTAAACCAGGCAGTTTCGGAGCAAGAGATTACGGCTGATCAAAGCTCGATAATTCAGATTTTGGGTCGGGAGCGGCGTTCTTCCAGAACAATGTGAATGGGGGCTACGTACGCCAGCTTCGAAGAGCTCTTTTTGCTGGAGAAATAAAGTGGGCAATATTTGCAGATCGATTCCAATTATACTCCGGACTGTTCAAGGCATCTACCCGATTCTCGCTCCAAGGTGCTTCCGCTTCGAAGGACCAGGTTTTCAGTAGGGGGCGGCATTCTCCCACGACAACATGGTCAGGGGCTGAGAACGTTAAGCTGCAGTGAGCTTTTTCCCAGAAGCGAACGGAGATGCGTATTGGACAACATCGATTAAGGAGATTTGTAGGAGAGGATGAGCGGTGATCCCATCAGAAGAACCAAGTTTTTGCATACAGGGCGCCACTTTCGACACGATGAGATATGGCGACCTCTCATGCTGAAAGAGATACGGAAGAAAGAGTGATTCAGAATCATAGAACAGACGACCGGGGGCTGCTTGCGGCCAATGTTGGCAGTTCGTTTCGAGAACGCCCCGAAATATGAGTGATGGGCGATGGTATAAGTATCCGTGATCAGAGGGAGACGAAGCTTACCGAGAAAGATTTTTTTCCTTCCAAAACGTTGCGTTAGATCAAAAGTCGATGATGTGGGATAGTCTGCTCTTTGCAATCATGGGCATCGGCCTTTTCAACCAATCAACTCGTTACAAAGTCCTTCAAATATCCTTTTCCTCCCAGAGTCGCCCACGGAAACATGCCCACGCGAAAGAGAGGCTTACAGGAGGGCAACTAAGACGTAAATCAGATTTACAGGTCACAGATACTTCAACTCGATGCAATTCGTCAAGAGCTTTGTGTCATCCAAATCCCTCGCTCATCAATCGGTTGCCGACAAGCTGCTCAATCCCAGTGAAAACCAGAATTCTGAAAAAGTCAAACTCACGGCAGTCTTGGGGCCTGGGCTCGGCGCCCTGTGCCCCCCCGGGCTTGGTGTGCGCATCGGACTTTCGGACGGCCCCACGTCGTCCAAATCCGACAGCGAAGACTCGGACAGCCGGCTCGTCATCTGGGCTGCTTCGCTGTTGATCTCTGGGGCCGCACTCACACTGCCCCTATACACACCTTCCCCGTTCTCGCTACCTCTATTCATATTGGCTCCGAATTCGCTCGTTCCATTCAGGCTGCCTGCATTGACGGCGCTCCTTTTCACACCGGGCCCGTTGGACATGGGCCCGATTACACCAGGCCGATTTTCACCACTTCCAAAGTCGATGGATCTAGCCAGATCGTCCCAGTCCTCATCGCCGCTTTCCCGACATAAGAACTCCCCCAAAGGCGAAACCCCCACCCGCAGAAACGGAATCTTTCTCACTTGGTAGCTGTTCTGGCAAGCGGGCACGATGCGGAGCGCCTCAAGATGCGTCGGAAGCCATTCGAAGGAAACGAGCGAGGAGCCGTGCTTAAAGTCGGAGTCGCTGACGGCGCGCCAGAAGCCGGCCTGTGCAAGGTGGCGCATAGCACATGTTCGTTGCATTGACTAAGGCGACACGAACTTCACTGACTAAAGGTGGAGTCAATCGTTTTGCACCTAAAGCAGGCTGAGGGATAAGTAGAGCCAATTGTCAAGTACACTGGGAAAGATGAGATAGTCTCCAAGAAAAGATTAGGGGAGACGTAATGAGCATGACAAGGGAGCCTGGCAAGGAGGAGTCGAGTAAATTTTACTGGCTGGTTACCTGAAGTCGTGGAATCTAGTTAGTGCAGACACGGAACGCGGAGTCACAAGTTAGAACTCTGCCTCTCAAAAAGATGATGCCACCAATCACGGTACAAGAACTGGAATTTGTTGTCCTGAAGATTTCGCTTCAACAGTGATGCAGGCAGCGCAAGATGAGAAATGCATTCAATCGTGGTTCTTCCACGCAGACCACGATTCTGTAGGCATCACTAATTAAACGTTGCCACCCGACTCTTGCCAGCGAACAGGCGCACAATGCATGCCGAGTCAAGTCTTTCAAACAGGGTCCAGGGGCAAAGCTCCGTTTGCAAATCAGTCCAAGCACCACCGCCCCATCAGAGAACCCATTTGTGACATTTTCAGGCCACATCAGAGCTCTAAAGCTGCCATCATTGACAGTGCAACCTGGCACAGACTGGACAAGGGAAAGCCCAAGCAAAGACATTCTCTCCTAAAAGCACGCGGTTCGAAAGTGGGCGACATCAGAGAATTCGCAGCCAGTCCAACAAGGTCATCAAAGTATCTCAAATGCGGGCTTCAGATGCACCTCACCAGCTTGTCGCACTGCCGAAGGACATGAAAGAGCGCCCGGTAAGCGACTCGTCCCCCCCCCCAGCTGCGCACATTGGTCCTGCCCCCCCACCGGTTCACGCACGCCGGCAGCCAAGTCCGCTCATCATCTCTCACAATGCTGAGCAAACGGTGACAGCAGCAGGCAGCCGACTCGATGGATGAGTGCGGCAGTCGGGAAAGGATGTTTCCCAGCAGGTCGTCGGTGAGGGAGAGGAGAGTGCTTTCTAAAGCAGGAGGTGGGGCAGCGGGTGTGACAAGGGGCTCAGCGGTTGGGGTGTGATGGTCTGGTGGTAGTGAGCAGGGATTAGGGTTAGGGTTTGGGGCCAGCATTGTGCATGTATTGAACGACATTCAGATGGTCTGGTATGGACTTTGAAGTGGATACAACCAAGCAGAGGCGAGGAGAGACACTGAGACGGAGCTGACTACCACATCACAAGACGCGTTGCTGATGCTTTTTAACGTCCCAACCTGGAAAGCAGACTGCAAGACGAACGCTGCAGGGGCCTTACATTTTCATCTCCTCAGAAAGAGATCATCAGCGACTTTGACGATATTCCCTCCTGCTGGTCCTGTGTTCATCCCACCTTTCTTCTCCAACTTCGAGGTGCGGCGTCCCAACGTTCAAGCTCTCCATGCTCGACGAGAAAGGGACACTCAGGATCACGTTGACCGCATTACTCCATTGTGAGCCCACCATGCAGTCCGCTTTGTAAGCTCCGAGTCCATGGTCAAGGCCCAGGGTCTCGAGTCGAATCCTTCTGAACTGCCCCCTCTGTGAAGCTCACAGAAGTGTGAATACGCACCTGCATTAGAAAGTACACGTGGCATCATGGGTCGGGTGGCCCAATCACACAATCTGCTGACTCGGACTTGCATTTCGTTGTTCCCCGGGGCCTCATTTGGGGCGCCAAGATCTTGTGAACCGGGCCGTCTGCGGTTCCCGGGTTCATTGAACCTTCCTCCATGGACGCGATGGTACTTTCAACCGGCGAACTGAGTGCAACGGTACCGGTGTGCCAAGTTACCGGTGTGGGACTCGGTGGGTACCTATTATGAGACCGGCAGCCTGAGGGGTTCAGGTTTCAGGATGTAAGCCCAGGTACCCGGTTATATGTACCGGTAGGTACTGGGTGGTTACTTTAAGGTCGAACTTACCTAAATCGGCGCGCGCGCGCGTTTTGAAGACGTCTTTCTTGATATCTCGAGCAATACTTGAGCTTTTTGAATTCTGTCTTTTGCATATGAAAGGGTACCTCAAGAGCATTCTACGAAGTGCTTGTCGGCAAAAATAAGCCCCCCAAGTGCATGCAATCATAGGGGCATTTTGGGCTTTCTGGCACAGATTCAAAATTGCGCGTTTGTGAATAGCAC